GGGGGGGAGGGGAGGTGGAGGAAAGGATCAGTGAGGGATTAGGGAAGAGAGAGAGATAACTAGAATGTGCTGGAGAGAGTGACGGTAAGTGAGTAAGTGAGTGAGTGAGTGAGTGAGCGAGCGAGCGAAAATGAGAGACAGAGAGTGAGAGATGGAGAGATGGATGGAGTAAGAGAGGATGACGATCGAGGTCAGAAACTTGGCGGGCGATTCCTGATTTGCCTGGCCCAGGAATGAAGGGCGGCCTCAGGTTATCCGTCTCAAAGGGGTTAGACCGCGCGGCAACTTGGAACTTGCTGGAACACCCAGCCTGCAGCCAACCAGAGGGTCTGGCACTCCAGAAAAGAGCGGAAAGGGTCAGGCACTAAACCCAATTGATCTCTGCGGCGCGCGTCATTCGGCCTCCCCATTGGGACTAGTTCGGAGTCAGTCCGAGTCCCTTAAGGCACTGCAGAAAGTATAGTACCTACCTACCTAGTAACTTAGTACCTAGGTACCTAGGGTGAGCTGCCAGGCGGGGTGGAGGGACAACTTCATACTGCATACTACAATCAATGCGTCCATTTAATGAGCAATGAAGCCATCAACCGAGTACTACTGGAGTCACTAAATCGGATGTTGTCCTTCTAGGCTGGTTTTCAACTACCGTTTGTCTTGTCTCAGCTCCGCCACCACTCCCGCGGAGAGTATATATTTTTGAGCCCCGCTCTGCACTGTACTCCAGGAAATGCCAAACAACAATGGCGGATACTTGAAATTATTGATGAAATTAGAAGGGATAGTCGAGTGTTGTTATTAATTTACCACAGCTTCACCAGCTTCACCAGCTTCCACAGCGCTCAATGCTCAATAGCGACCTAGTACTCCGTAATCAACTCTGATCAGTCTCACCGCCCGCATCTCGAGCAATGATCTTGGCGACAATTGCCAAGACCATTGGGTAGATGGGTCGAGTGGCTTGACGATGGATGCGTCTGGCCTCATCGTCTGACTTCATCCCAAAGTGCAGCTTGTGGCGTGGTTTGGGCACCGCGTAGGTGGCGCGAGCCAGGCCAGTGAAAAGACCTTCGGGTCGTTTCAGACTGCTGTTTTGCTTCTTTGCGGGAGCACCATCACTGTTGACAACTCTGATACAGGAGACAGAAAGGTGCAGCCCGGAGAAGTGGTAGATCTCTCTCCGGATTCTGCTTAGCACTCCTAGGCCGAGTGTCCGTGCTAGCAGTCCCCCATAGGCGGGGAGCTGGAACAACTGAATACTATGGCTTGCCAAGAGCAACCGCCAGAGCGACATGTGATCCATCACTCGACGGAGGGTTTCTCATCAATCAAAAAGGCCCCGGTCCAGTTGACATTCGGACTGTCCGGTCTGCTCGCTTGGAGCTGTCGTCTGGAATGCTTACAGGCAGACAAGAACAAATCATTGCAGATTCGTTAGGAGTCATCACACCCCGTCCAGTAAGATACATATGTGCGGAAATATGTTGGTGGTCGAGACAAGCTCTGCGACCGAAGGTTGGTGCTGTCAGCAGCCCGACCAGCCACCGACAGCACTCGCCCGGAGCTGATGCCGGTCGGAGTCATCAGCATCCAGCATCCTCTGTAAGAAGAGCAAAGCTCTTGCTATATTATATGCACTACTCCCCAGGTCCAAGTAACGCAAGGCTACTGGTGCAGAGTTAAGTCAGAAGACGTCCCTGCTCCTCCATCCCTCGACCGAGCCATGTGATCTGGCGCGTGTTTGTGAAGCTGGCCGGCTATCGGCAAGACACGTTGCGAAGGAGAGGTGCGGTGGTGCAGCAGCAGCAGCAGCAGCAGCAGCAAGAGGGTGAGACTACGTATGCCCAGGATCTCCCCCAGCAGGTTTACCGGGTTGTTGCAGTGATGTGCAACGTAACTGCCCTTTGAAGATGGGGGTTGGACATTATTGCAATCAGTGGACATGATGGGGAGCCGACTGGACGGGATAATGAACTAGCGAGACTGATTCCTTGCTGATCACGCCCATTGACTAACATGCAGACACCAGACACCCACCCAGTTGTATGATTCCATTCACCAGTGTGAGTGTTGTAGTGACTGATGCGGGGAAGACCAAGAGTTGGTCGGCTGGGCCCGTCTTGCCCCAATCGGGCTCAGACCTTCAGCCATCCGCCGACCCAAAGCTTGCATAAGCGATTAAGCATTGGGCGCTTTCCCCGCCCGCCCGCTATTATGGAGCAAGCAAGAGTGGACCCATCATAGTGCAGTCACTTCTCTTTGCCATGTGAGTTTTCCTGGAGACGAAAGTCACGACACACGCCAGAAATCCGGGGAAGATCTTCTTCTACAATCACCGGTATCTTCGGAAAAATTCTCAGACGATGGTCGTCCGTTTCAGCTTGTTGTACGGTTCGATCCCTATACCGGGGGTACCACCAGCTGCTTAGGGTTTCACAACAGGATCCTCCCCGATACTGCCATCATCCCAGTCACTGGCCTGTACAGTACGAGCCTGATCTGGTCCTGTTCAAGGCTAGCTGCTTCCCCCGGACCAGGATTCCGATCCCTCTTCGGCATCGCTCTCAAACTCTCGTCGTCACAGAGGACTGGGGATCCAATCAGCCTACGGACAGGCGATGGTACCGTAGTGCAGTAGAAAGTTCCTGGGGCGTGGCACGATGGCCTGAAACTCTACGGGCTGCGGGGTTTCAAGGTTGGCAGCAGAAGTGTGAATGATGGGGAAGGAAGAAGTGAGGAGTGAATGACAGCCACCTGACAGTCGGACACTATTTTAAGGAAGCTGAGCCCATGGCTTCCCTCCCGGTCCCTTGGGCTTCTTTCTTCCCTCCCCCCGTGTTCCCATCTTCACTCCAACACCCAACACCCATCACTTCACTCACCCACCCACCCACCCATCATGTTGGTTGGCAACATCTACGTGATTGCGGGTGTCTCCGTCGTTGGTGGCGCCCTCTTTGGCTTCGATATCTCTTCCTTGTCCGCCCAACTCAATGAGAACTCCTACAAATGCTACTTCAACCAGGGTCCGCAGGGACCTCCCTTTACTGATGATGAGGACTGTTCGGGTCCGACCTCGTTGAATCAGGGTGGGATCACTGCTGCCATGGCCGCCGGCTCTTGGCTGGGCGCCTTGATCTCCGGACCGCTGTCGGATCGTATTGGCCGAAAGACTTCTATAATGGTTGGCTGTGTTATCTGGTGAGTACCTAGTACTACCTAGTCTCTACTTTCCGGGAGTATCTGTTAATTGCTTTCATGCTAATCACACGCCAACTATCTGCAGGTTGATCGGATCGATTATCATCTGTGCATCGCAGAACATCGGCATGCTGGTGGTGGGTCGCATCATCAACGGCTTGTCGGTCGGTATCGAATCGGCCCAGGTCCCGGTCTACATCAGCGAACTGTCTCCACCCTCGAAGCGTGGTCGGTTCGTCGGCATGCAACAGTGGGCCATCACATGGGGGATCTTGATAATGTTTTAGTAAGTCCGGGCGATTCCCTCTCAACAACCCTCTACCTCGACTCTTCGCTCACAGAAGTTTCAGTATCTCGTACGGATGCTCCTACATCGGCGGACAGAAGTCCTACAACTACAGCACCGCCTCGTGGCGTGTTCCATGGGGTTTGCAGATGCTCCCGGCCGTGTTCTTGCTCGGAGGAATGATGCTGCTGCCCGAGTCACCTCGCTGGCTGGCACGCAAGGATCGGTGGGAGGAATGCCATCGCGTCCTGGCGTTGGTTCATGCCAAAGGTGACTTGCATCATCCCTTCGTCGCTCTTGAAATGCAAGACATTCGCGACATGTGTGAGCTCGAGCGACAGTACAAGAACGTCACCTACCTAGATCTGTTCAAGCCGCAAATGCTCAATCGGACCCTGATCGGCTTGTTCACGCAGATTTGGTCGCAGCTAACGGGCATGAACGTGATGAGTATGTATGACCCCGTGGCGGCAGTCTGCCTTGGCTGATCGTGTCCATAGTGTATTACATCACCTACCTCTTCTCCATGGCCGGCTACACGGGCAATTCCACCCTGCTGGCCTCGTCCATCCAGTACATCATCAACGTGCTGATGACTCTCCCAGCTCTGATCTGGATGGATCGCTGGGGTCGCAGACTTCCCTTGCTGGTGGGGTCGGCTTTGATGGCGATCTGGATGTATACGAATGCGGGGATTATGGCGGTTCATGGGGAGGTGGTTCCGGGTGGAATTGACGGTGTTGCGGCGGAATCGATGCGTCTGCATGGGGCGGCGGCCAGAGGATTGATTGCCTGCACCTACTTGTTCGTCGGTACGTATGATACTTGGTTCCTGCCATGCTCCACTGCCTACCCCATGCTCATCCCCACATGATCTGATCTAACTCCCGTCTCCGTTAGCTTCATACGCCCCCACCCTGGGCCCCGTTTCGTGGACTTACCCGCCCGAGCTCTTCCCGCTTCGGCTTCGTGGAAAAGGTGTCGCTCTCTCGACCTCGGGCAACTGGGCGTTCAACACCGCACTGGGGCTGTTCACACCGACGGCCTTTGCCAATATCCGCTGGAAGACGTACATCATCTTTGGCGTCTTCAACACTGCCATGTTCATCCACTTCTACTTCATTTTCCCCGAGACCGCCGGAAAGACCCTGGAAGAGACGGAGGCGATGTTCGAAGACCCCAATGGCATCAAGTATCTTGGGACTCCAGCCTGGAAGACCAGGGTCAAGACCAGTGCAGTCCGGGAGATGGAGCGCGGCCATGTGGATCTGGAGTCGAAGATGGAGCCGGGCCACTCTCACACCGAGACGGTCGCAGCTGATGAGAAGCGGGCACAAGAGCGCGCGGAGGTTTGAACCAGGCCTAGGGTTGAGTTGACGTTGACGGTGGGGTTGACAGTGGGGTTGCCAATATTTGAAGGGGAGGACGGGCTGTCCATAATCTCGTGACTAGTCCAGGGCATTTGTATTTCAGCTCTTATTGTAGCATGGCTGACGACCTTGCCGATAATACCGTAATTTCTGAATGAAACCGGCCATGCGTGCTCGTTACTTATCCGACAGTTCATATTACCTACTGCATATCCACACAGGAGATGTATCTTTTTCCTGGAGGTAGACTTCTTTTGCCTTGTACTTTGGGCAGTGTTTGGTGAAGATTGCGATCCGTTCAGTAAGCCTGACACCATGCTCGATTGAAAGTAAATAGTATGCGATATGCCATGCTATATGCCATGCTACATGCTATGCAATATGCAATATGCCACGCAAAAGCAACGCCTTCCTCCACCCACCATAGAAACAAAACGCACCGCATGCGAAGCAGGTGTGCTCGTCCCGCGAGTCCACCCCTCCCCCTTTCCTCCCATCCACTACCCCAATCCCCAGATTAAGATTTCCTCCTAGAAGAAGCAGCCTCATACAGCCCCCGAATATCGTCGCGCCACTGCCCCTCGTCGACGCGCTTCACCCGGCGATCGTAGGTCATCAACCCATTCACCTCGCCCTCGACGTCCGTCGTCTGCGTCCACACGCCCGCGCTGCACGCGTACCGGCGCACCTGGTCCTGCAGCTCGGTCAGCAGCCGGTGGCTCCGGTAGTTCCAGGCGGTCAGGTCCAGGTCCATCTCGTAGGTTTGGTTGATTGCCTGGATTGCCGTGGGGTTGTTCCAGAGGCTGTTACTTTGTTAGATATATGATTGTGGGTTGGGTGTGTAGTTGGCAAGGAGGGGGGGGGGGTTAAGGGGGGTTTGGGGGGCTGGGAGGGGCAGGGAAGGGTATTTGCCCGGGGATATGGGGAAAAGGGAAGCGTACTGCTCGATCGAGACGTTATGGCCCAGTCCGCCGAATTCGCCCTGGATCGCGATCCGGGTCGGGTCGTAGGGGGTCGAGTCGATGGAGTAGAAGGGCGTGCCGCATTGGGGGTTCGCGTAATGGTGGTTATCCTTGGTTCACTTCGTGTTAGCTCTGTAACGTGCTATGGTTGTAAATTGTGGGAGATAGGAGATGGGAGGTGGGCAAGGTAGGAGGGGTTAGGGCAAACGTACGTGGAAGTCCCCCGCGCCGTGATCGTGCCATCCCGAGGTGGAATCCACCAGCCGCGTCGGATCGAGTTGCTTGACGCGCTCTGTCAGCGACACCTCCGGGTAGTACGAGGTGATCTGCCCCCAGCCTTCGTTGTAGATCACCCAGGCGAAGACGCTGGGGTAGCTTTTCAGCTGGTGGATCATCAGCTCGAGCTGGCGGGCGAACTCCTGCTGCTGGGACTCGTTCGGGAGGATGGTCGCGCCGCTGGCGTCGTTCTCGAGCGGGCGGAGTGACGGCATGTCCTGGATGACGAGGAGGCCCAGCTCGTCGCAGGCGCGGTAGTACAGGGCCGGCTCGAGTTTGATCTGGTATCGTGAGTGTCTTTTCGAGGGGCTGAGGGGGGAAGGGTCAGCTTACGTGTTTGCGCACCATGTTGAAGCCCAGATCCTTCAGCACGCGCAGATCATACTCCATGGCTTCGCGGTTCGGCGGCGTGTACAGCCCGTCGGGCCAGTAGCCCTGGTCCAGCGTGCCGAATAAAAACGTGAAGTTGCCGTTCACTAGCGGTCGCTCGATGCCGTCAATCACGCCCCGCGAGATGGTCCGGAATCCCAGGTAGCTTGCCACCGTGTCCTCGCCTAGGGTCACGGTTACGTTGTAGAGGTTGGGCGCGTCGGGCGACCAGAGCTTGGGGTTGGTGACGTTGAATTGGAACGGCTGGTCGGAGGTGCCGTTGCTCGACCCGATCTCGGAGTCGCCCTCGTGGATGGCGATGCGCACGGAGGTGCTGTTGCCGGTGGCGCTGTGAACGGTGACGTTGACTGGTTTGGTGGTTAGTAAACAGTGATTGAAGGAGTGTGTAAGGCAGACAGCTGCTTACCCTGTCCGTGCATGTCGCCGCTCAAGTCCAGCTGCGTGATGTAGTTGGCGGGCGCGGACTCGATCCACACGCTCTGCCAGATTCCACTGCAGGGGGTGTAGAAGATGTGGCTGGGGATCAGGTGCTGTTTGCCGATGGGAATCACATAGTCGTCGCTGTCGGTCGGGTCGTGGACATAGACCAGGCTGTAGGGCTTCTGTTAGCTGGGATAGATCGAGGGCTGGAGCTGTGATCTACGTACAGCTCATTGTTCGTCGTCGCATTGACAAACGGAGTAATGTCCACTGTGAATTCGAAGTATCCTCCCCTGTGGACGCCCGCTTGCTGTCCGTTCACGAACACAGTCGCTTCATAGTCCACGGCCCCGAAGTTCAACAACACGTTCTGTCCACTCCATGAACTGGGGACGGTGAAGTTGGTGCGAAACCAAGAATAGAATGCCGACTCTGCTTGGATGCCTACAACAATTGAATCAGTTTCTGCGCTCAAAGGAGGAGCTGGTGCAACCCACCCGACAGCCCGCTCTCGAGACAAGAAGGAATCAACACCTCCTGAGCAAGCGCCTGCCCGAATGGCGGACTTTGCACCGCATCGAGACTCGTGGCAGCCTGATACTGCCAGATCCCGTTCAGATTCTTCCAATCCGACCGCTGTCGTTGCGGTCGAGGATACTCAGGCCAGGGGTCGGTGCCCACTTGGTCGGTCCAGTTCGTCGTCAACGGCGGCTGCTTTACCGCATATTTCGTCGTCTGTCGCGTCGAAAAATGCTGGATACTGCCGATACTCCGTGCCAGAGACTCGGAGGCTAGAAGGGGTAGAAGCCAAGTGGAAACCCAATGCATGACGGCCGTTAATGTCTAGTACAAAAAGTATGCAGCTGAAGTGCAGCAGCAAAATATCCCCCCAGACATGAAACACCGCCTGGGGTATTTATTCCCTTGCGATTGCTACCTAGGATTCATGCTGGAGGCAAAGCAGCAAGTGCCAAAGAGAGCCTGAGCCAGCTGATCCTACACCATGTCATCGGGCTTTTGACCCACTCAGGTCAGCATGATTGTCATTGCAGCCCCACGATAAGAGGGGATGATGGGGACACAGAAGCCCTGATATTGAGCAGACGCCAGAAGCACAGGAGTAGGGTCTTGGAGTGCTCCACCGGCCATCACTTGATCGCTTGGCAACCCAGCGTTGTGGTGCGAAGTGGATGGACTCGGGGAGAAGCCATGGGTGATGAACCGGCCCGAATGGTTGACAGCCATGTCCCATCTGCGTCCGAGTACGTGTAGACTGAATCGCTCGCCACCTGCCAAATTTGAGGATTCTGAAGCTGTGTTTCTTTCTCCAAGTCTCCAAGTATCTTCTCCACCGATGGGTGAGTTGGTAAGAGACTCTGACAGTCAAAATCACTGCATCGGGCCCTGAGCGCTGACTCAGCCAAGTCACCCAATGAGGGCCACGGATCACGAAGCAGGTTTTGGCTCCGATGGAGTCTTGGGACTGGGCTGCATGAACGGATTGCCAATCACTGATCTCATCCATTCATATCTCAAGTTTGGGTGCAGTGAATTTGCCTTCTGACCCCTTTCTGCGTTCCCTGGTGTTGGGCAATTCCCTCCCTGCACCCCTGCGGGTTCGTCCTATTGTGTTCCAGGGGCATGTGCTTTGTCCATGGTTTATTCTTCCCCGCAGATTCCAGTCTGTCCCCCTTGCCTTTTCTTTCTGTCCAGATGCTGAGTTGCAAAGTAACGTGGCTAGCAATTCTCCCTATCAACTTCTACCCCGCATGTCGCGCATGAATGCTGCCTAGGATGGGCTTCAGGATGAAGGCCTCACCGAGACTACGAAAAGTGGGACTCAGAGGTATACTGCATCATTGCATCAGCCAAGATCCCGTGCGATGATTTCATTAGGTTCGGGCTCAGAGGGATTGCTCGGCCACGCACCAGCCTTGCTGTGGCCCTATTATTCAGCCCTGCCAAGGTGCATGTAAGTGATACACCGTGTCAGGTGGGCGAGATTGATGTGATTGTGTTGATCTTGTTCATTCCTACATCACGTATTTGGTTCTCCGGTTTCGACCCAAACTATTGTGGGTGACGTGACCGACAGGTCATTGTTCCTTTGGATCACCGAGCCATGATAGCCTCGAAGTTGAGCGCCGATCGATTGATGACCCGCTGTCTGTTGGCTGTCATTCCATTTGTTGGGTTCCGATGGGTTCGATGCGGAGGGCAGGTAGGGTCGGTGGTGATCACGGGATGGAGACCGGAGGGCTCGGAAGAGTCCCTGACACCATGCAAGTACTCATACAATGTCCACTTGCACTTATAACTGCGATATACCCATATTTGAATGTTGGATACTTCTTGCCAAGTAGTGCAATATCTTAATCCCGCCCAACGGTCGCTGGAAAACTAGGTGCGGTCTCAATTTCAGGCGTGGCGTCGCACCCCACATTTCCCCGGGATTGAGTATTGTCCGCCGTAGGGAACGCCACCACGTCCTGCATTCAGTGGCAATGAATGTACCGAGTAGTCAATCGAGAAGGTATGCATTGACCTCTCCGGCCTCATTATTGATGTCTGTTGTCGGTCGGTCGCCGAGGCGGGGTGTCACAACTCCAAAAAGGCCCGATCATCGCGGGTATGGGGTTCGGCTCGGTGTTCCGAATTGTGAAACCGTGGCATCTCAAATGCTGGGTTCCTGAGTGTCTCGACTTTTGGAACGTTGTCCACCATTCCATTTTTCGTTGAAGTGGGCCCCTGGCTGTCACTTTCGTTGATCACTTTGCAAGCCACATATTTCAGTGGTAGTGTGTCAACAGTTGGCCACATCCCGGCAGCCCACTTTCTTCATGGTAACCGGCAAGGCCTGGTTGGCTGGACAATTGCACCCCGCGTATCACCTCTACTTCGGTCGCATGCTTTTGATAATCATATACATGAGCTTTTTGCCGACTCATTGTCCGTTTCGCATCCTATGGTGTCCCAGTTCGAGGAATTGAGAATGTGGTGGGATGCCTGTTCGGTGGACATCATCCTGTAGATCGTCGGGGGAGTGAGCAAGACTTTCGGATAGCGAGTCGGAATGGGATTGGTGGCTCTGCGCAGCACCGAGGCAGATAACATAGGATTTCCCTGCTAATGACGATCTCGGGCTTGATATGGGTTGAAATCGAGATTGATGTATGGATAGTGGATAGGAGGAAACATTCGATATGGCCTATGTCGCAGATCGCAACACTCAACAGCCAAACTGGCTCTTCTGAGCCTTCAGCAACTGGCCCAGTCCTTGTTATATGCTTTAGAAGGATCACGAATGTCATCGATGGTATGGCTAATGAATGAAAGCACTGCATTAATGCAGGCCCGCCAGGTCCATCATCTGCCTTGCGTAAGGTGCGGGTGTCTAGTCAACCAACAGACAGAAAAGAGAGAAATAGAAGTGTGGGGCGGATTATGCGACCGTACCTAGTAGCATATGAACAGGAGAGATCAAGAAAGACCGGCATCGAAAGGATAGAGACAGGCGCACTATTCATCTTCATATTCGCAAGGTGCCGAAGGAGGCCGAGGTTGCCCGGCCGCGACAGAAAACCAGAATGACCAATGTGATCCCTCAATCTCCATCTCGATTCGACCGTATTAGTACCAGATCCCTTAGGTCAGTGTAGTCTGCGAGGTCATAGAAGATATTTTCAGCTGCTTGGCTACGCCGCCGGGCGACACGGCACGCTTTCCATCTGGGATACCCTTGCCGACGGTGGCGAAAATCGCCAATCCGGGCGAAATAAGCACGCGATGATAGATCACAAATGCTGGGACCCATGGGTCATAACACGAATAGCCCGAACAGGCGTATCTCGGTCAGCACCATAGTGGATAACAAAAGAGCTGAGGCGACAAGGTCATGGCGTGAACATGGACAATGTTAAACACCGGCGCAGCAAGCCAAATCTTCCTACCACGAGTCATTCGGCATTCAGCCAGCCCTGGGAAAAAGTAACAAGAGAACAGGTGTTTGCTACAGATCCTAGGAATTGTACCAATGGATTGGTCGGCTATTATTTCGTCCGTGATCAACCTGCAGGTCTCTCATGCGGTCAGCACAGAAACTACATTAGCCTCTACGGGGTTGTCCGGCCCCGAGCCCTAGTCCGCCACTGGCCTGCGGCACGTCGTGATCGCTTCGAATTTCCATCTTATCGCTTGAGTCTGCCCGTCCAGTGAGGCCTGCGCCGTGTTGATAACGCTTTGACAAGCTTCGGTGGCAAATTGTGGGTTGCTTGATCCAGACTCCTCCAGACCAGGGAGAGAACAGTCTTCACGGTCACTGTTGGGACCGCAAAGTATGACATCGCGTCTCCGCCTGTTGTTTGTGTATTCTTGGATAGGATCGAAAGACACATCTTGCGGGGTAGAGCGAGTAAGCGATCGAGCAAAAGGACCAAAGGACATCTGCACTCCCTGATCTCTTCGATTCACCTAGTCAGACCAACTAACCCGGATCCGGTGTGGCTTGCGATGCTGTGTCTTGAAGCAGGACATCAAAGCCGATGGACTGCGCCCGGCCTTCAGCTCCTATCTCTCACATAACGGCATTAACAGCTAGCCTGGGTTGTCCATCGTCACTACTTCAGCTTTCAGCCCTGAACATATCGCAAACATAGACTGCAGAACCAAAAGCCACCGTACATCGGCGACGCCGCCACCTCGTAGTCGCGTTCTCTGTGTAACATGTTCGCCCGGTATTTAAGCCATGAGAGCTCCCTCTCTCCCTGCCAGGAGCTTACCAGGAGATCAAGACATTAGCAATAACTCCACACACTTACAACTTGTCATATAAAGCACAATGACATCTCAACCACTGCGACCAATTTCCTACCGGAATGACCCGCTGGGTACGATCGGTTGTACGGGCCCAATTCATTCCGAATACAATTTCCTGGCAACAGGCATTCCAAACGAGAATGACCCAAGACCGAACTCAGTCACGATCGACCCGGTCGCATTACATCTTCCTTGGAGAAACTCCTTCCCCGCAGCGCGACAGTGCCGATTCTGGCGCGAGGCAGAAAATGCCGGCAAGGCACTCCTCCAACAGATCAAGCGGATCAACCGTGCAAACAGCACCAAGGGTGGCTCGGCCAAGATTGACACGAATGAAGAGGAGATGGAGCTCTCGAACAAAGAGGTGGAGCGAATCGTGAACGCGTCGAGCGCGGCCGTGTATATGAACCCCAACTGTTCTTCCGAGGAGATCGAGATTATCTCGCAGCTTAACCTGATACTCTGGATCCATGATGGTATGGCTCGTGGTACATCTTTCGGCACCGATTCGAGTTGCTGACATCCTCACTGGCAGACATCCTTGAGTCGTCGGATTCGCCACACGAGGTAATTATGCAAGCACTTTATGCAAGTGAAGGAGGCTAACATGCGTGACCAGAGTGCAACGATCATCGAGAAAGTGACGGCGAGCTGGGCCGATATTCTTGCTCACCCACATAAATACACGGCACACTCCTCAGATATGTTTATCCGCCTAGCTCAACAGATGCTGCGCATCGGCGGTCAAGGGGAAGGGCTTATTCGGGGATACCTAACGTGGATGGCGTTCATGCGGTCGACAATGCGAGATCGGTTCACTTCCCTCAGAGATTATCTCGACTACCGGGCGGTTGACATCGGACGAGAGTAAGTACCTGATATCCTCACGCCGTCATCAGAAATCAAGAACTGATCCCATCCCCTCCGCCAGCTACATCCTGGCCGCCGTGAAGTTCGGTAACGGAATCCACCTCTCACCCGCTGAGGAGACACCGCTAGTCCCGTTGATCGAATGGGTCATGGATCACATCATCATGACCAACGATCTGTTCTCCTACGACAAGGAGCGACGCGACTCCGAGACGTGCGCGAACGCGGTCCGATATCTGGAGCAGGTCCTCGCCATTGACGCAGGTTCCGCCAAAACACTTGTCAGCAGCCTGCTCACGCAGACAGAAGGTCGGATCCATGCGGAGATGGAGAGTTTGTGTCGTTCGGGTGCGCTGAGTGAGGCGCAGATCCGGTACGCACGGGGTGTGATCGAAGCAGCGGCGGGCAATGTGGTTTTCTCCATCACCACGCGGAGATACAGCCCTATTGGGGCTGGCCACGCCAGTGGGACGAAAGGTTGAGAATCGAGGGGGGTTTTTTCATAGAAGATTAAGACAATACCAATAGACCATCATTCACTGTGGAAAATTCTCTCTCCGATGCTTAAGCCCGCTGGACGTGGGGATGGAACAGTTATCTCCGGTACATCAGGAACTGAATGGGCACAGACTCGGGCGGGAACGGGGATAACAGCCTGGCCCGCAGCATTCCGAGCTACATATGCTGGGCTGTATACGTACACAGAACACCCTTCCATTGACAAAGTCTCCGTTCGTGCTTAGAGTAATGCTAGACGTAGCTGTAAGGGTTGATTGAACATGCAGAAAACTACCCTTGCAGATGAACATAAACACTGGTGACACATCGTCGAAATCATATTGTGCAGCTTATGGCTGTTTGTCTACAATTGAAGGGTACAAGGCAACTCCGCACAAACTTCTACATAGTTGCACATGCAGAGATAAGGCGCTGGCACCGTTCTACTCGACATCACACAACTTGAACCTATTATCCAGTCCCGTGGGATGATACATGGCGCCCATGTACTTATTGTGCTCGTTCACAACCACTCGGTAATGACCCACACCCGCGTCGCCCTCTGTCCGACAAGAATTAGCCTTGAATGATCCAGTGGTTTGAGGTTACGGTATGGAAACCAAAGAAATTCGACTTACTACCAGAGTAGACGCCACCAGAGGTAAGAGGATACTCGTACAGGTCACTGGTTGAGACAAATAGCTTCTCGTGGTTCTCATACCATTCCGGGTACTTGTTGTATCCGTATGAGTTTCTCGCCTTGGCTTCATGTACGGCCCAGGCTTGTCTGCGCGCACCGTTGATATCAGATCCATCGAACCGCTGGCCACCGCAGTTGACCGGTCTGATTCTGGCGCGGGCGTCGAGGTCGCGTTCGGATATATCGATGATCTCTGCGTTCTGTTGCATTGGGGATTTCGCAATGGGGTGGCATGCCACGCTGCTGAGGGCGAGGAAGGCCACAAAAAGGGACTTGATGCTTACACGCATGGTGGTAGAGGGGAGTAGGATACAGGATTAGTGATTGTCCGATTGTGATTGTCGATGTATTCGACCCGGTTGAAGATTGTGCAAGTCGAAATACTGTGTGCGCTTCTCGTACGGATCGAAATTTACGATCGTCGCTGTTGTCGGTGATTGACAGGTTGACTCAAGATTGAGGAACAAGAAGTAGGGTCCGTATTTGTAATTACCGCGAGCTATAGAGATATTTAGTTCTATTTCTTTGTTATTCTTCAGTGTGAACAATGTGCATTGCTTGTCTTTGTTGCTTGTCTTTGTTGCACTGGGACAAAGAGCGGCCCTGTGCTGCTTGAGACCGGGCCTAGCAAGGCCTAGCAAGGCCCTACAGGAAGACCACAGATGATTTCGTTGTTTCCCTTTGTCCGAAAATCAGTGTCAATCCACGAAAAATTGTATTTTCTCTAAATTGAAAAAGAATTCTTCTTTATAAAGCTGCAACCGGGTATAGAATTGATGGATGTCAGCTAGATTCTACGATCTGGAGAAGATGCTAGCTGAGGTCTAATCATAGAGTACATATCATCGCGACAATATTTGCTGAAAGGATTCTTGTAAGATAATCACCTCTTACGAGACTTGAGATCTACTTACAAATCCAGAGCATCAGAGACAGGAAAAAAGATTATCTTCATCCAGACTTACCTATTATCCTAGCAAAGCTTAAAATTAGGTTGGCGAAAACATAAGTCTAAGTCTTGCTCGGAATGTTCGGATGACTTAGTCGAGTTCCAGATACGCAAAATAGAGTACAACAAACACTCTTATTGGAGCTATTCTTTTCAGTCAAGCAGACAGAATGTATAGGAAGCCTAAGGACTGTCCGGAAACATCGGGATGATGCACCGAGTAGTGATGTTCAATCAAGTCATCCTTTCAAGGGATGGCTTGGAAACGGCGGGGATTATTGTGGCGTACAAGCTTTGCCCGAATGTAAGATCTCCCCAAACGAAGGTATTTGTATATTGTAATGAATGTATCTTGATAGCCCGAACAGAGCTGCGTCCAAGGGCTGCGCCCACATCACTCACGTGTATAGCACGTCTTGGCTTCCCCAATTACGGCGCTCATGGTCCGTGATAAAACGTATGCTGCATACAAATCCCCTCATGTGCTCCACGCACCGGGTCGATTTTCGGAAGGCGAGGGAGACACACCCACAAAGCCAGAATCAGAGCAGACAGAACGATAACAAAGGGCTGAAGTAGTGTCACCCCATGAGCTTCGGCAACCACACCCACCAAGAACGGAAGAATCGATGAGCCCAGGCTACTGAATCCGGTGGCCACACCGACAGCAGTCACATGCATATGCTCGGGAAGAAGCCTCACCGTGGCATAGACGATGGCTGGGAAGAGCGGCCCCAGGAAGAATCCCTGCATCGCGGTCGCGACGGCCGCGACAACAACGTTGGGACTGAAGTGGATGACGAAACCAAGTGCGATCTCACAGAGAATATACAGCTATGGGATCTTTAGCATGTCAGAAGCCTGACGTGGAGTCGCGAGGACTTACGATGACGGCAAGACGTTCGCCGAGCCTAGGCGTGACAAATGCCAGAGCTATTCTTCCGAGAGAGAGTCCGAGCCAAAACCAGGCGGCGGTTGAACCACTCGCGAACGGGGCTTCGTGCTTGACGTCGCTCATGAACGTAACGACCCAGCCGGCGAGACCGAGCTCGATGCCAACGTAGAGGAAGAGGAAGGCTGAGCAGATCCAGGTGACTCGAGCGGATGGGTTCCGGGATAGTGTCTCTCGTAACCCACTCTGCTTAATCAAGGGTTCAGCCTTCGATGGATCTACCGAGGACTGTGTTGGAGCAGCAGGCATGTTTCAGAAAGCTGCAACTGACGTTAGAAGCTCGACTGCAGCACAGCCGATCTTGGTAATGTTAGTGTTGTGCACTGTCACTCTCGGATGAGAAGCTCACCATAACATAGTAGAAATAATACCATGGCAGACCGCCTTGTGACACCATCGAAGTCAAGACAAGAGGTGTCATGACAGCACCCAGACCAAAGGCTGCGTGAAGACAGCCAAGGACCTGGCTTGCGTGCTTCATGCTGCTGGCCCAAGCATTCCAAGCGGAATCTGTCAATCCGTTTCCTATCCCTGCCAATGCAAGGGTAATCACGAGCACCGGACACGGCGGATGAAAGCAGTTGACAAAGTAGGCGATTAGATGGCATGCGGGGGATATGATCGCCACGCCCCTTCGTCCCATGCAGTGATATATCTTTGTGTCCAGAACTGCTGCCACAACGTATCCTATCAGTGGAGAGAGGAAAATGACTGAGACAGCGATATAGGAGAGTCCGTAGTATGAAAGGAGCTGGAAGGAGTAAGCACTAGCAGCGGGACAATGAGCACATACTTACTTCTGGGAGCAGTGGCTAATGTTGTACGTATCAGTTACCGGATCAATGGAAGCAGAATTCCATGTAGCTTGGATTGGACGTACACCAGAAGCGGAATCATTTGCGCCCATCACGAAAAAGCTCCAGCAACACGCCATGACTTTCCAGATATTGGATTTGGGACGGTTCCAGTCCTGCCCTCGGGTTGCTGTATGACGTGGTGTTTCTATGACTTTCCAAGTTGGTCGTGCTAGAGAAAGCCATTGATGTGATGATACCTCTTCATCCCGGTTTGTGTTGCTAACTGATCTAGCGGTTGCTACTGGCTTTAGGTTGGGGACAGGCTGGTATGAATCAGTCTCGGTCATGGTGGTGCGGTCGGTCAACAGATTGCTAAGAGTGAATATGGTACACCTATATTGAACTGTGAATAGAACCAGCAGGCCAGACAATCCATGAGACGGCATGATAGATACTAATAGGACTTTAAGAGTACCCAAGATCACTGTAACCCCCTGACTCCACCTAGTATGCAGGGGTGAGTCAAACAAGCCACACGGATAGCAGTGCGCTGCGACCATGAATTCCCTACTGACCAGGTGTCTTCTTTGAAGGGCAATGACATTTGGTGCATGGTGAATCTCTTTTATCAGTAACGCTGATTGATGACCAGTCTTCAAGGCAGTGCAAACCGGCACACATCAAGGCTAAGTAGTTGTCATCGAACGACCTCAACTCTTAGTTTGTACTGAGGAGGGATAAGCTCACTCCGATCACAACATTATATTTGACTGTCGCGATAACCTCGGACAGGTCATGATTTGTCGGAGAGCTCAGAGGCTCCATCCTGCGGCGCTTGTCTGCGCCCTTTTAGGAAAAACGTTCCTGCCTTAGGGCTAGCGGATCCATAGACCCACTGCAATAGATTACAATGTGTGTAGGAATTCTATTCTTCAACAAGGAAGATTCCGATCTTTGAAATCTTCCACCTATGTGTTTTGATTTTGTCACGACTTCTTTGTCGGCACTCCAATCCTTCCCAAGGCCAGCCGATCGCATGCATCACAAGAGCCAGGCAGACCCTCGAGAAGGGATCGTCCCGATGCTATCTCGGCGGCACTTCTTTACAGAGTGCCTTGACACAGGATATAAAAACAAGAGATCATCGTAATGGAGGCCACGTGTGGCTTTACATGGAACAGGTCGAAATCGGAGACGTGATGGGATAATCTAACATGGTCCTTACAGTCTAGCTTTGGCTGCCGGTTTCATATCTCCTCGAAGGAACTCCCCGATCCCGCCGTCAATCGTCCATGCCTGCCTCGCCAGATCCTGCTGGTTCACCGGTAATTGTTTGGTCCAGCTCATCAACCTTTCATACACATTCCCATCACGACATCCGAGCGCGCTACAAAGACTCGCATCTGTGAAGTCCCAGGCATCGGTCAGAGCGGTGTTATCAGGCAGCAGTGCCCCCAGAAGTTCGTCGATGCGCGCACGCATCTGCAGGAAGTGGTCGGTAGTCAAAAGTCGGTCTTCGGCGAACGGGATAGAGGTGAATGATGGGCCTGGGTTGGTGATGGTTGTCAGAGCGAATAGCTCCGTGAGGCGTGAGAGAACGGGGAATAGGCTCGGCTGCGTTCTCCCGATGGCAGCCACACGGCGCTGCATGGACTCCAGCACAAGGTACTCTATGTACGCGTGTGCAGCGGGCAGAAGCCGTGTGAGAGATGTGTTCCATGCTTCAGCTGGGGACGACGTGCGGGCTTGCTGTGTGTAAAAGGAGTGTGCTGTGGATAGGAGTCGGTGGAAATGGTGTTGGAAGATCTTCAACAGGGATGCTGGCTCTGAAATGTGATTACTGTCAAGTAAAAGGTATGATGGTGGGAATTTCTCTCTTTCAACCTGCAGCCATTGCTGGTATCCCGAGAGAGACTCAATCATGTCGGAGTCCACCGTCCTTCCTGCTTGAATAGCGCCAACCTGCTTGAACATGTAGCGCAACGTTTGCTGCCACATGACATAATTCTCCCCCTCGAAGGTCGCCGCTGCACACGCCGTTGCCACCATATCCGGTAGCCCTGAGATTACGAGGTATCCATGTCCTCCACACATCTTGCGCGCCTCTTCCGCGCCCGCAGCAACAGCCTGTGTGGCCCAGGCTTTCAGCCCGGCGCTCACAGCATGGATAAAGGATAAGCGACCGAGCTTCCCTTCTCTCTTCTCCTGCTGATACTCTTCGAACCGGTCGTCAAACTCCTTCGAGGCAAACAGGATAGCATACGCCTGAGAGATGAGCGACAATAACCGTTGATGCTGCGACTTGTAGGCGAGAATGGAGACTTCGGGGCAGGTAGATGAGGAGAACGTGGGAGCGCCCTGCTCGCGCACCACTGCATACCGCGTCGCGACGGTCAGAGGCTGCGCCAACCCGAACGCCGCCCAATGGATCACCACCCGCCGCACCTCCAGCATTGTCGCATAACTCTGTTTCGCAAAGGTTTCCTGAGATCCTGCCTCGTTTCGCACATATGCCCCGTCTGGTAGCACCCGTGCATGCGCCGCCAGCAGACTACTTCTTGGGACACGCAGGTCATTGAAGTGGGCATAGCCATTGCACGTACCGTTATACGCCATCTTCTGGCCTACATCTCCCAGCGTCACTCCCTTTAGGGGGGTGAAGTCAGAAAGATTGCGAATCTGGACGACAAACCAATGCACGCCATGGTCCACTCCCCTGGTCTCCAGTCTGGCTGCAACTACTGCGTGCGAGCAGCTGATTCCCAGGCCCCCGGGCCAGAACTTCGTCGCGGTTACCGTCGGAGAATTGAGGATGAATTCTCCCGTGGCTGAGTCGAAGGTCGCCGTGGTCTCCATGCCACGGACGTGGCTGCCGTGTCCCAGCTCCGTCTGCGCGTAGCAACCGTTGATCTCCATGCGATCGATCAACGGCAGCCAGTACCGTTTCTGTTCAGCGGTGCCCTGGAGATTGATTGTGCGGCGGAACATGAGGAAGTTCAGGCCGAATGGTGTGGCGTTGGCGAGTTGGCTGCGCTCGGTCAGGTTGACGAAGTGGGTGTGGTCGTGCTGTAACATGTCGGTGACGATGGCCCGGCCGCGGCGCAGGCCCTCCAGGTATTGCTCCCTCCGGTCGAGGCCAGTGTGGAGGTGGGGAAGCTTCATGTTGTCGGTTATGCCCAGGGTCGATTCGACGCGAGCGAGGGCTGCACGGCGGGAGGAAACGTTCTCCTCTCTATTCATACAGTGCATTGGTTCAGAAAGCGCATTCGTGGAAAATAGTCTGGGGACTGCATACCAACTTACCCGTCATAGATGATGTGCGTCAAGAGCATAGAGTCAAACGTAGCCGCTTGACGAGCCTGCGCCATCAGTACCGTCTGCCTACTGGGATGCATCTTGTACGTAGACTTGAATGATGACTCCATCACGTTCAACATTATTTCAGCCCATTCATATAAATCAGACGGAATATGGCATGATACAGGAAGACACCAGCTGCACCTCCGCTGCAAATCAGGCGTTGAGCGCAGAAATTGTGGCTTCTGGTGGGCACTGTAGCGATTGAACCGCCCGAGCAAGCATCAGCATCGAGCCGAGGCTGTCCTCAGTGTGAATTCTTCCAAAGCAGGCTAGCTGGAATACAGATGATCCTTCTCCAGCAATCAGAGCACGAAGCCTGGAAGTCTAGAAAATGCCAAGGCACGGCAATGGTTCGCGGACGGCCTGAGCTAGCCCGATCCAGTTAGCCTCGATAGAGACTATTTGCTGCCAAGATCTTAGTCCCATGGCGCTGGGCTCATAGGCGGATCTAGTTTATCCCTTACTTCTGCCAGGTGAGGTCGGTTTGGATGGCTGTCGGATTAAAGCGACCTTCTTCAAAAACAATGCAGTCTACCCCCATGAGACAACACTGAATAGGAAAGGCTGTGGAGTTACAGGCGACCAAACAGCTTTGGCCGGTAGCCTTCTTCACGGGAAACGAACCAGATGGAAACAAAAACATATCGAGCACTCTATCTGGTGGTCGCTTGGTGCTAGTTACATCTGTTTTTGCTTTTCCATGTGTATTGTGGGTTCATAATCTGGAAGACAAGGGCTTTAACAAATCTATCAACGTACTCAGCTCGTGTGCACACGAGATAGATAAAGACATCAATCATCATGAGGTTTATCCTCGGGCCTCTTTCGCAGCTTGAGCCCTTTCATTAGCCACGGGTCCATCAATAGCTCCAGCGCCGTTGGACGATCTGCAGGGTCCCATTGCAAGGCTCGCCGCAACCACCCCAAAAGCCCTTCAACATCCTCGCCTTGAATGTTGACGACCAACTTCTCGAACATTCGGTCGGGAAGTGGAACCAAGTTCTTCCAGTTCCCGGATTCATCCCAGAACACCCAGCTCATGTCCATTTTCTTGAGGAACTCCGGCGGTGGAGGCCCAAGCAAGGCAACAAGTTCTGCGATATGAGCCCCGTCGTCAAATATGCCATCGATGACTTTACCCTCAATGATGGTGTTCGGGCTGACTAGATCCCATGCCTTCCAAGTTGTGTCAGTATTCGACAAAGGAAGTGTTAGTGGAATGGCTTACCACCATGGCCACACTCCAGATATCGACTTTATAATCCCAATTCGATTTCAGGATGACTTCAGGAGCGCGATAGTAGTCGGGCATGATACTCTCGGAATGATCCTCGTCACCAAAGCGGGCCTCTCCTAGATCACTAAGAAGAGGGAGACCGTCTCCCGCAGGGAGGTGGGAGGTTGTGTAGATCGTTCGGTCTCCAAGAATCTTCCTCGGTGCGGGCCTGTGCAATTCTTGCTCCTCAAAGGCAGAAAGCGCGGCAGGAGACGGTGTGGGAAGAAGAAGATTGTTCAGCTGGATATCTTGATCAAAGTGAGCTTCATACGGTACTCTGTAGGGCTCCCGGGAGGACAGTTCATACCAGTATGAATGAGACCGGCCACAGAATGTAGAAAGTCCAAGGCACCGAGAAGTTGACGGATGATAGACTTCATACTTTCCAGCGTCACTCGTCGTCCATTTCTAAGCCGCAGAAAATCGGACGTATTGACGCCCAAAGGTTGGTGAACCAGGCAAAGATGGCGAAGTCCACATTTGTCAACATAGAAATGATCGAACAATTTGCGAACGAACTTTTTGCCGGGATGGTCTGTTTCAATGCAGTCGATATGCGTATAGACGTTCAATTCATGCTCCCTTCCTTGACCGGAAACATAGATCTTTAGGATGACGTATGTGGACTCGCTATATTCTCAGCACTGAGAGCGATACTAGGCAAGAGGTACTTTACATGACGTACCATAGATCACGGGCGAGCCAAACGGTAGAAGTGACGCCGTACCCCACTTTGGCTAGGGTTTGGTATCGTTCATTGAAAATCTCCCCTTGTCGGACTGGGTAATATTTTTCAGGGGTGTATGTTGGCAATGTTTCTTCCTCGATTTTTACGCGTGGGTCTAACAGCTCAAATCCGGAGGTCCGGAAAGCTCTTGGGGAAGATTTCCATTCTGCTGACGACATAGCAATGCTGGCGTATTGTCGCGTATGTCGAGAATGGTGGAGAAAAGGGATGATTCTGGTTGGCGAGGAAGTTGAGAACAGCGATTGAATCAACATACGACGCGAGTATGAAGGACATATAGCCCACGGATTCCGCATGGTCAATATCTCAGAACCAGCTAACCTCAATAATCCAAGTTTGCATTTACTGAACAGCCCAGCAGGAATGAATGTTTGAAGATCGGGAGGCAATGTGAAGATTGAAAGCGGCATTGGGGATGGTTGTCGAGGCGGCTATTTGTGTCACATGACAGTCCCATCATCACATGACTGAGCGCTGTCACACAGAATGGCATAGCGACTGCTTGGTGCATTACAGTTGCATGGTAAAGGGACACCCTGGCCCTACTTGCGGGGGAAACGGCCGTCTTACAGTGGCTCTCGCTCGCGTTCACACCCAGATCATAAGCCCAGCAGGAGAGGCATTATCATGGACCCCGCAGTCAATTATGAGTCTCCTTAGAGCCGGTGAACCAAATTGAACATCGAATTGAGTTCCTGAAGCATGCTTTGACGAGGCTCGCGGTCAGAATCGCCAGAGCATCAGGCTTTTGACTACGTCATCTTGGAAGGCCGTTGAGCCCCAATTCAAGATGCTTGAGATTTTCGAGATCAGATCAAATGCACTATCCTCTTGTGTCGTCCGCCAGATGCCAATGTTGGCCATACCATAGCTGCTCTTCGTTTCACCCCAGAAATGAGCCCACAGTTCACAGACAGGCCCTTCTGTGGTGACGGAGAAACAGAGGGACATCGGAGTCAGAGACCCCGCTAGCTGAGGGCCTCGTGTTTTGAGCGGCTGCCCATCAGCAGCCCCAAAGGGGGCTTTTTGAATATTCACTGCCGAGGCACCACCCACTGCTGCTTGGTTCTGTGCTTGATAGAGGTTTCCGTCGGTTGCACCCGACTTCGCCTCGACGAGGAGGAATGGAAAGCGTAAGCTCAGTGGGGTCACACCGGGGTCGCTGATAAGCTCACTGGTGTCCTGGAGGTCGTTCAACAGGAAATCTGCATTTGCGACTCCCGCCGAATGCAGTGCTGTTGCAAGAGTTCCATCCGATAGCCCCAGGGAGATGTCGGGACGGGGATCCTTGAGGAAGAAAGGCATTGAGAGCGTTTGCTCAGATGACACTGATAGAGCTGTGTCTCTGCAGAGAGTCGGTGCAGCTGCGGGTTGGGTTGATGAAAAAGAAGACGAACTTTCCGGGTTCATGCCCGGTCGAGAGCTGTCAGGCTCGCCAGGCCTGCTCTGCTCGGATAGCCGTTTCCTAGGGACAGAAGACTGGGGAATCAATGGCTGATGGACGGTGGGTTTGATATCGGATATCCAATCTGTTAGGTGATTAGTGTTAGCCCTGGAAATTTCGAGGATATTGAGATCGGGAAAACTTGCCCCTGTTTCGCGCAATTACTAGATTTGATGACTTCAGGCCGTTCAGAGCCTCGTGTATAGACTCAGCCCACTCGGCTTCACCGGCTTGAGTGGCCGCCCACTCCATTGACTGAGATTGGAGTTTGGCTGCTAAAAGTTTGAGGGTAGCGTGGTCCGCAGGGAGATAATGAAGCACGGAATTGATTCGAGTGTCAACCTCTTGGGGTGCCTTCGCATCAACATAGATTCTGGCACGGAAAAGCGTACGTGCTCGGTAGGTGGACTCGCTCGGCTTGCGTGGACTAGATGAGCGGGACCTTCTGGTGGATACCGATGATAGAGAAGGCGGAGGCAACATTGTGGGGCCTACGTCGGGATACGAATTCGCCATACTGCCCGAAGTCTGTGATTCAAGCTGTGATAGATGCTGCCTCGTCAAGGGAAGGGTAGTCGGCGAGAATGAAGTCGGAGTCAACCTGGCGTGTTTGGAATCCTGCTCATGAGGTGCACAGGGATCTGCGTGTCGCTTCATGTTTGGTCTTCTACAAGGAACGTTTTATCCACCGAGTCTCGGCAAAGCAAGGGGATGTATCTCTTATCGTTCCTTGACGTGTTCGAATTAGCGAGGCGGCATATAGTAGGTAGATGACGTGGGGGCTTGTCATAGGCTTAGCTGTGTGTTTGTGTTTGTGTTGAGAGAACACGCGGTCAGGTGATCGAGGAATTGAGTCGATCCACGTGACACAGATAAGATAAGAGCAGCACCCACAATGCGAAAGGCAGAGAGGGATGAAGCTTGAAAGGGATTGGGGGAGGCGGGGCAGGGCAGAGAGAGAGATGTCTGCATACTGATATGACAGACCTTTGTAGGTTTTCTTTTTCTTTTTCGAAGCAAGAATTGGCAGAACCACTGAATGACAAGCCATCTCTCCAACCTTAAGATAGGGCCATGATGTCACGTGATCTGGAAGGAGCCTGTATCTGCATCCATGTCCAGTGACCAATATACATACTTATACAACACCGGACAGCCATACAGAAAGAAATCCGAGACAGGGGAGGAAGTGGGGTCTACTAGGGAGCATCGCACGAAGGTGGTCAACATCTAACAAAGTACAGAATCAGCCAAACCTAGCAACAAGCGTCCACCGAGGTCAAGGCGCGTCGCAACCAGTGATGAAAGAAGTTCGCTTACTGAACAGCCCAAGCAATATCATTATTCTGAATCCAAATTGGTATTCATTGAAGTTGGTATGTGTGTACAATGGTACAGATCACAAACGCCTACAGCACCGCCAACCAATAAAGGCATTGTCTCAGGCATCCTTTTGAGGTTACCGACACTATCCAACAACGGCATTGTCTGGTCTTTTGACCAAGCCACCTTTATGGTTGAAAGAAGTACTCTGGAACTATATATTACCACCTAAACGTTATATTGTGCGAGGCCACTCGCCCGGTCTCGCAAACTCGTTTGCCTACCTCACTCTGTCGTTCAAGCGTGTTTTCCTCGCCTGCAGCTTTCATCCAATCGCATAGACACCTTTCGCGTCAACAATCGAACTGGTCAACGAGATTGATACTCACATGACAACTCAAACCAACAGCCCTATGTCTTGCACAAGCAAAAAGCGAGGACTCACCTGCGATGAGGAGCCTGGTCGGGCGTCCAAAAGACCCAGGACTGGCTCCAACAAACCGCCGCCTATAAGGCTCAACGAGTCCGCTCGCCATGCCGCGGCGCCTTTGAGTGCACCACTACTTGGCACTCGACCGTCCTTCGACCTTTCAGAGTACGGCATTGCGGCTCTGCCTCAGCTGCCCTACAAAGACGAGGAGGCTGCACCGGACTCAGTCCATGTTCAATGGACCTTACGAGCCCCGGTCCGGTGTCACCGGGTCCCAGCTCGGCGACACAGCCTCGGTGAACCACGACAGATGAATGTTCCTGTTCGTGTCCATGTCCTAAGACTGCAGCCCATCGTGCTCTGCAGCGTGCAGCAAACCATCCCCAAAGCTGCGGTTCTGCACTCCGTAGCCGTGACCAGCCCCATCACTTTCAATCGCCCTAACCATCCTCCCCAAAGCATCCCCGCGCCCGATCCCACCCTCCTCGAGGCCCTACGCACCCAAATCCCGAGGGAGATCCTCCCACTTGCCGCCCGGCTGTACGGACTCCTGTACCCTCGCGAATGCCCCGAGACGGACCCCACGACCTGCGAATGCCACCTGGCCCAGATGCAGGGCTGGTCGTCGTCTCCAACCACCGACATCCGCCAACACCTCCTCACCTCCGACCCCACGGCCCTAACGATCATAACCAAGTTCCACACCAACATCATGCACTTCGTCGAAGACTACATGACCCAGACCTGGTCCACCTTCGCCCACCGCTTCCCCTCCCTGACCCCCACACCGCCCCCCTCCCGCCCGGAATACCTCCGCGTCCTCCGCACCTTCTATCTCCACGAAATCTGCACCCGGGAGATGGCCCTCACGCGCCGCCAGATCCCGACCCGCGGTGCCGCGCGGGGGTTCGTGAAGGAGAGATACAAAGCCTGCCTGGACGCCTCCTGGCGCCACCAGATCGCCCAGCTGGCCGCCTGGGAAGCGGAGCAGCTGTTCTGCGTGGCCACGTATCTGCGGGGCGTGTTCGACGCGCTCCTCGACCGCGCGCTGGACCGCGCGCGGCTGCATCGCCTCGAGGACGGGATGCGCCCGCTGCCCCCCGACGATGGCCAGTTCCAGGGCATGGCCTTGCTGTACCGCGCGTGCGCGGAACGGGACCCCGTACAGAGGGAAAAAATGCTGCAGGCGGCGGATCGCGGGTGCCTTTGGGTGGTTACGAGTCAGAATCTGGGGAATTTCCTGCGGACGGTCGGCGGACATCGGACCGCGGTGCTGTGGACGGGGGGTCGGTTTCGCGATGATGGCTGCGGGGCGCAGGCGGCGTGGCGATGGGCGCTGGGGAAGGCCGAGTGGACTGTCTTGGTGGGGCGGAGGCGCACCGCTGAGGCCAGGAGGTGGGGGTATGTGTTTCTGGATCGGGAGCGGTTGGTGGGCCATGGGGTCTTGACGGGGCCGTTGGTGCGGAGTGGCGGGGTGCGTGATGAGTGAGTCTGTGTAGTAGTGTTTCTTTGATGCTGCGAGGGCAGTTTAAATATATATCTATACATCTGCTGAAGAGTTGTTGTTCTTCCTTCATCATCTGTGTGCATCGCTCATGTGATACGTCGTGACCGTAGCCGTAATCTACCAGGTAGTAGTCTAGTCTATACACGACCCCAACCCCAGACCCTCACACCCCTATACCTCCACAAATGCAACAAAATCTACAACACCGTCCCCCGCACCTGCCTGACCCCCCTCAACCGGATATCCCTCCACATCGCCACCCCCAAACCCGCCGCCGGCAACACCGCCAGCCCCACAATCAACATCCGCTTCTGCGCCACCCCGTACGCTCGGACCGTCGCCTCGCGCTCCTCCGTCCCCGGCGCAAACTCCAACACCCGCGCAATGGACCCGTACAACTCCGCCGCCAGATACTTCTTCTCGGGTGGGAGGTACTCCTCGATGTACGCGGGGACGGTACTCGTCCAGATCGCGCCGGAGATGGCCGCGCCCACCGCGGACCCGATCTTCGACCCCAGCCCGACCAGCGCGAAGGACACGGCGATCGTCTCGTGGTTGCCCGTCGCCAGCCCCGCGATCTCCTGGCAGATGACCAGCGTGCCGCCCGCCACGGCCTTGAGGATCTCGCAGGCGATCACGGCGGTGATGTGGCTCGTGGGCGAGCGGAAGGGGATCATCAGGGCGGTGCCGAGGATGAAGAGGGGGAGGGCGGCTAGGGCGGGCGTTTTGAAGCGGTTGATCTTGCGGATTAGGCTGGTTTGGTTAGTACACATGTCATAAGGGGGGGGGGGGGGATTGGAAGTGTAGAAACGGGTGCGAGGGGCACGTACATCCCCACCGGAATCGAGATGATGCAGCTGCCGATGCTGTAGATGTTGTAGATGTACCCTGTGTCGCGGATGCTGGTGTTGAAGACGACCTGCAGGTACGAGGAGAAGTAGAGGTCCCAGCAGCTGTATAGGTTGTTAGTGGGTTGAAGTGGTGTAGAGGAAACTGGGACCGGAAGGGCAAGGCGTACTAGAAGCTCATGAACATCGCGCAGGCCAAAAGAAACGCGCCGAGGAGCGTCGGGTCCCGCAGCCGGCTGTACGGGACGAAGCACACCGGGGCCCCCGATCGCTCCCAGAACAGAAACCCGATCACGCTGAGGACACCCAGCACGATCATCGCGATGATGTCCGGCGCCATCCACCGGTCGAGCAGCGAGGTGCTCCACATGTTGGTCCCCGAGGTGGCCAGGGTCAATGGCAGCAGGATCAGGACGAAGCCGGCGGTGATGAGGAGCATTCCGATCGCTGCGTGCGTTAGTACGGTGCTGTGCATAGTCCCGAGCAGGCATCACCTACGGTCAAACTCCACGGCATAATGAATGATCGTCTCCATCCGTGTCCGGTCTTTCGGCTTCGGCTTGATGACGCCCGCCGATTGGGCCTTCTTGCGCGTACTCCAGAGAAGGAGTAGGAGAGGGGCGGTCACGAGGGGGGTGAGGACGGCGAAGATGCCGAATCCGGTGTACAGGGCGTCGCGTTCGTAGAGGAACTGCGCGGCTGCTGGCCCGATGAAGGTGGTGATCACGTAGGGAAACGAGGCGATGCCGTAGACGAAGGCCCGGTTGACGAGCTCGGTGGTGTCGGACATGAAGACGTGCAGGACGTAGTCCATGCCGTTGTAGCCGACCCAGTAGATGATCTGGCCTTGAGTCAGGGTGGGCTGGTCTTTTACTGAGGGGTCCAGCGGGGAAGAGCCTACCTGTGCGGCGACATAGGTTTCGACATTACGACAGGCAGCCATCAGAACCAGGCCTAGTCGTAGTCAGTATGCAGCATGGTTCTTGTGATCGAGCAACTTACCCAGGGTGCACAATGCGACCATAGCAGCAAAGCCCTCGGGACGGCCCAGAATGTCGATCAATTTGGCGATCGGCAGTTTCGACACCCCGCCAATGATGCTCGTCAAGACATTGGTCATGGCGATGAGCGAGTGGTCGGTGAACTCGGAATAGACATAGGGACTCAGACTGCTGGTCGTCTGCTGCTGCAGGGAGTTGACGAAGAAGATGATGAAGACCCTGCGGAATTAGAGGGGACTCGACGAGGCTGCGGGGGACTTAACTTACAGTGCGTAACCCGTATACAGGGTTCGGGTGGACCAGACCGAAGCCAGGGCCTCGATCTCCGCAACCCCATGAGAGGTGTGCTCCGGGGAGGACAGATCCGGGCCATCGGGGATGGGCTCGTAGCCATCATCTCGTGGCGCGGGGACGTCAGCAGGATGCGTGTGGCGGATTTGTTCAAGTATCTCCTGGGCTTCGTAGTACTTGCTCCGCAAGAACCCGAGCATGGTGGGAGACTGTTGCAGCAGCTGTCTGTTTTGAAGCGCGCAGACGGTTCCACGGAACCAGAAATTTTACCGTGAAGATTGCAGGGGACGCGAGAAAGGGAGTTGCAGCGGCCAGCGCTTGATGTGACTACATGAGAACAGCAGAAATCGATCGGACTGCACAAGAGGGGGGCGTCATGAGATATAGGTAGGGTAGGCTTGGAGTGAATGCTGACCGCTTGTATTGCGGACTTGGGAAGGGAAAGCAGAGACTGCTTGGAGCCTTACGATTACGAGCCTGCAATGTGCGGGTGAGGCAACCAATTATACGCGTGACTCAATCCCTCCGAGGTGGATCCTGGCATTCGTCGCGTGCAATTGGGCGGTCACTGGCGGGAGAACCGAAAAAACCAAAGGCAAGATTATCAGATGAGAATATCAGATGAGAATCCCATCTGATAAGATCCGTGTCGTGCTACTCGGATCCCTCGGCATAGTCAATGAGTCGACAGTTACCCCGCTCGACTACGGATTTCTTTCCATTGTCTGTCTTTGTCTATCGTGGCAGTAATCCTCTTCAATAGTCCCTTGTCATCGAAGCCTCATCATCTGTTGTCTCCGACCGTAGGAAGATCAGGTAGCACCCACCTGGCATACATGACTTGCCGCAGGTGTCAAACCCCCTCGATAATCTGCACCATGCACAGTACAGTGACATGAACACTGTCAGCTCTTATTTCCAATGCAAAGTATACAAAACGAATATACATTCACACATCCTCCCACAGCTAGTCCTCCACGCCACTACCATCCCCACGATTGCACTCAGCAACTCTCCCCCCCACAGCACTTCGCATCCGGCAAAACCTCCAACCGACAGAAACACGAAGCAGGGATCGGAATATCCGCGCCAGCCAGCGCAACATTTCTCGCCGGCTCGATCGCCTTCGCCTCCTCCGCCTTGCCCAACCTGACCAAACACTCATGATACCCATGCAACGCCCAGACATTGTTGGGGTGCCTGCGCGGGCGGATCAGCGACTCGTCGAGCCCCAGATCGGCGCGGTATGTGCGGGCCGCCTCCTCGACCTCGCCCTGCTCCAGCTTCAGCGCGGCGTACGCGTGCCGTACGGGCTGCATCCACGCCCACGGCTCGCTGTAGGGCAGCCGGTCCTCGAGCTCGATCGCCTCCTGCAGCGCCGCGAAGGCCACCCCGTAGTGGCCGGCGCGGTACTCGATCTCCCCTGTCAGCATGGGGATGCCGACGGCCAGCATGTCGAGGGCTTTGCTGTTGTACGCCCGGCGGGTCGCGGGTACCCTTTCGCGGGCGGCCAGGAAGAGGGCCTGTTCGCTCCGGGCGGAGGGGATCTCGTTGGTGGCGGCGTGGGCGAGCCCGCGGGCATAGTGTGTGGTGGCGGCGGTGATGGCGTACAGGGCTTGGTCTTCGGGGAGTGGCATCTGCTTGAGTTCCTCCCACATGCCGAACCGGACCATGACGTGCAGCCGGATGGCGACAAAGTGCTCGATCCAGTCGGCCATTGGTGGGGAATGCGTGCGGAGTAGAGACTCCGGGATGCTGGCTTCCATCCGGGTCACGGCGTCCAGGGCGGTGCGCTTCTGGCCCGCGAACATGGCGGCGTAGACCAGGGAATGGTAGTCGTGCAGTCGGTAGAAGGTGTAGAAGTTGTTGTGGCCGGCTTTGGCAGCGTAACGGTCGTCCGCCAGGGTGGACCGGTAGTTGGACCGGATTGAGGCGCGCCAGTCTCCGATCAAAATGTCCAGGTGCGTGGGCATGTGATGCATGTGTCCGGCGTCGCGAACGAGGTCGCGCAGGTGGTCCGCAGCGTAGATGCCTTTCTCGGGGGTCGGAGACATCTCGATGAAGTGGATGTACAGGTGCAACAGGCCGGGGTGGCGGTAAGCCCCTGTTTGCGTGAGGGCGGTTTCGAGCACGGTCTGAACTTCCGTAGTCCGGGCTTTGGGGTTGGCCTTGCCGGTGAAGAGGTCCCAAAGGGCCCAGGGGGTGACATTCATGAGGGCGTCGGCGTAGAGGGTGGCGATGTCGAGGTCGGAGCCGAATTGCTCGTACACTGGCTTCATCGCGTCGGCGTAGGCGCAGTTGACGGTGCCGTAGTCTTCCGGGCTCAAGGGAGTGTCGCGGGGGAACCGCTCGACGATAGCCCTGCAAAGGCCTTGCTCGAGGGGGGTGGCGTTGCTGGATAGCTCCAGGGCCTTTTGGGATGCTTCGTGGCCGCGCTGGACGCAGGTGTGCAGGTCTTTGCGGTCAAAGCGTTCCCATGCTTTGTTGTAGTTGGGTCCGACGGCATAGGCGAGACCCCAGTAGCCCATGGCAAAGGACGGATCATGCTGGATGGCTTGTTCGAAGCAGTGGACAGCTTCACCGTGGTGGAAGGAGTAGACCCACACGAGGCCGCGGTTGAACCAGACGCGCGCATCTTCGCTGCTGGTGGTGACGGCGCGTGAATGAGTGCCCAGGTCGAAATAGTCGGCGCTGGCGGGGATAGGTTCGCGCGTCATGGATGTAGGTTGTTGCAATTGGTGAGACTGATATTGGTTCGTTGTGAAGTCTGTAGAAGAGGACGATGCATTAAATAGGTAGCAGCAAATCCCCACTCGGTTCTGGTAAGGCGCGATAAGGCGGGGCGATAACACCCGCCAACTGGAAAGACCGACCAGACACCGATCGCATGCAGGCGTCCGATTCACCTTGAGGCCTAGACATGATTCGAACTAGACTTCAGACATAGAGCATCAGATAGCGTAATAAGTACTGGCCAAGCACAAATGCAGTCTATCTTAAGTGAGCCTTCCTTCGTATCTTGTTGAAACTGGAGGTTCTGAGGGAATCCTGACTCGGCGATTGATCGCAATGCCAAGACCTAAAAAAACCAAAGGCCGAGCCCAGCCCACTCACTCCGATTGGCCAATTCCTCTCCTCCCTCCGGATCTCGATGAGTCTTTCAGTTTTCTTATCGGGTCGCCGTTCAGATGGGTTCATGTCTGGATTTTCCGAGTGCTTCCCCGCGTTGGTCACCAGTTCAACTGGCACTTTGTTCACCTCAACTGATTATACACTGATCTTCATCCCGCACTCTCCCTTCCAATTTGCACCCTGTCACCTCACCCCTCTCCACTACACCACCACAGAAATGACCCCCCCAACAACCCGACAATGGCTCGCATCCCTCCTCGAACCCGGCCAAATCCTGTCCATGGCCATGAAGAGTACGTCTGCGTCTTCCCCTTCTTTTTCAACCCTCACTAACCACCCCAGGCTACCTGATCGTATGCCTAGAAGCCATTCTCGAAGGCCGCATCCTAGCCCCTCTCCTCGAGACCCAGCGCCTGCGCGACGAAGCCTTCGGCCGGTTCTGGGTAGCGTTTAGCGGTACCCTGCCCTCTGTCCCTAAACTCCTCATGTATGCATACTAAGGCATCAACAGCACCACCCCAACCCACCCAACCCACCACACAACCAGAGCCAAACCAGCAACAACATTCGCAACCCTCAAACCAGGAACACCACGACGACACGCCAGCAGAAATCCAAGGCTCCGCCGACCTCATCCCGCCCCTCCTCGCCACCGCGCGCGGCATCACCCTCGACCTGGGCCCCGGCACCGGCACGCAGATGCCCCACCTCCGCTCGCCGGCCATCACCGCCCTCTACGGCGTCGAACCCTGCCATCATCTGCACGCGACCCTGCGCGCCCGCGCGGAGGCGGAGGGCGTCGGGGAGAAGTACACGATTCTCGGGTGTAGCGCTGCGCCGGAGCAGTTGGTCCCCGTGTTGCGGGAGCGGGGTCTCGTGGATGGAAGTGGGGCGGGACGGGTCGATACCATCCTCTGCGTGCGGGTGCTGTGCTCGGTGCCGGATTTGGCGGGGACGGTGCGCGGGCTGTATTCGTTGCTCAAGCCGGGTGGGCGGGTCATTGTGGTCGAGCATGTGGTTAATTCGGGGTTGAGGGGGTTCGGGGGGAGGAAAGGTGAGGGGAAAGATGAGAGGGCAGGGTCCGTCGTGGCTAGGGTCGTGCAGGGGCTGTATGAGTTGTTGGGGTGGCGGTGGTTTGTTGGGGATTGTTGTTTGACCAGGGATACGGAGGGGGCGCTGAGGGGCGCGGCGGCGGAGGATGGCGGGTGGGGCAGGGTCGAGCTGCGGAGGTATTTTGGGGAGGGGGTTATGCCGTATGTTGCTGGGGTGTTGGTTAAGAAGGGGGAGGGAGAGGGGGAGAACGAAGGGACGGTGGATGAGGGGTTGCGGAGGAGGTGAAGAAGTTTATTGTCTAAGGTGCAGACTCATACTGCCATGCAGCTGTAAGGTCAGGTCAAGTGGGAAGAATGAGGGTTAGCCTCACTGCTGGTGACGTGGTCTAGAGAAGGCCTTAACATTGTCGACTTCGACCAGAGGACGTATCACTTATCTGTCCACAGACTGGAGTCACCTCACCCATGTATTTACGTACATGCAAGCTATCATCAGAGGTAATTGCATTTCATATACCGCCAGCTAATCTGGGCCACCGAACAAACCCCAGCAAACTATATACATGCCAACTCAAAATTGCCATACCTACTCACTCGGCTCACTAAACACGGTACTGAACGCCGCCGGTGTCTCAAACACAGGCTTCCCCCCACTCACCCCCAACGGCTGCACCATCGTATACCGCGTATCATCGCACGCCCCGGCACTGCTGTTCGACGCGTGGTACGCAATCCACGTCTCTGTAGCATCGGGGCTCTGGAAGAAGCTGTTGTGGCCGGTACCGTAGTTGCCGTTGGCCGAGGACAGCGCACAGCTATCGCCCTTGGTCCAGGCGCTGCGGGAGGTGGGATCGGTCGTGCCGTCCCAGGTCAACAGGGCGACGCAGTAGTCCGGAGTCCAGCAGTACGAGGCCGAGTAGGCCAGGTAGGTGGTTCCAGAGATATAGAGGGCGGCGGGCCCCTCGTTGACGGGGGTGCCGTGGATCTCGAAGCTCTCGGTCGGCTCGGAGATGACGCTGATGCTGCCGGTGAGGCTGACATAGTCGTCGCCCAGTTTCTGGATGCAGAGGGATTGGTAGGTCACGCCGTGGAAGCAGGAGAAGACGAGGTAGTTGCCGTAGGCGTTGGTGCGGAGGACGGTCGCGTCGATGGACCATTCGGTCGTCAGCTGGCCGGTGTAGGTGTACTCGTCCCAGGGGGTGGAGCCACCTGCGGTTTTCTGTTAGTGGGGAGTTTCAGGGGAGGAGCGGTGGGCTGCTTACCCGTGAGGACGTGGAGACGCTGGCCGTCCAGGTCGGTCGTCTCCCCTGCGGTGTAGTAGATGTACCACTTGCCACCCAGGTAGTGGACCTCCGGAGCCCAGACGTTGCAGCAGCGGCCGGCGGTGGAGGTGGAGTAGACGACCTTCTTCTCGGCGGACTTGAGGCCGTCGATGGTGGTGGCCCGGCTGATCTCGAGATCAGTCCAGGTGGTAGTCATCAGATAATAGTATCCACCGGTATACACCAAGAAGGGGTCGGAACCCCCGGGGTTACGGATCGGGTTTGTATAGGCCCCAGCTGTAGGCAGGAGGGCCCACAACCCGAGCAGGGCCGTCAACAGGCGGGTGATTATCGATTGAAGCTGCATTATGGTCGGTTGGAGTCTGCAGCTACAACTTTTTTTGTCCACGACTATTGGAGCTGTTTATATAGACAGCATTGTGGTCGCCAAGATTCACCCCACGGGGATTCAGTTGCAATGATGTCCATCGTCGATGTCTCCCACCGGAGAGATGCCCTTCGTAGTATAATGTTGATCGGATGCTGAATGCGGGGGGGTTTATTCACGGCAGTGCCGAGGCTTGGCAAAGGGTAATTCCACCACTCCCGCTGCCATGCCGAGCCTGCTTGTAGGCAGTCCGAGATAACTAGTCGGCTAATTCTGAGGAATCAACTAACCACATTGAAGTAGGCACGGGGATATTCACATATGCATTATCAGCCGCTAGTCTTCAGTGTCGCATATGCTATGACGTTCTGCATCAGAGCGTCGAGCATCACTGCCTTGGATGGTGAGCATCATATGAGTAGAATGCACCCTGACCCAGATGATATCGATCATACCATATCATTTTAGGCAGGAATTTTCCAACCGCCCTCTAGCCAGCCTCAAATCGAATGTTGGGTCAAGTATGCAAGTAGCGTTATTCAAGCCTGAGAGTGACACAAAACAGTCAATGGCTGTCCGCATCGTATGTAGATGATCTAGTCATGGGATTGTGTCGATATATATCCACCAGAAGGCATCTGAAAGTAATTTTTCACAACTATTACCTTATCTCCTGAGGCCAATTCCGTAGTACAGTCAAACAACACTGGATTCAATCTACATTTTGATGTGTTAACTCGTGAATAGGAAGCAAAGGACTATGTGTAGACAGTTGCACAAAACAATGTCTCAGCCTAGAGGAGCCTCGAAGAAATTCCCTAAAAGAGTCCAGCCTCAGGGCCGAAAAGTGCAAAGCCGACCGGAGCCGGATCGGACCCTCTCAGGACTTCTCAGATACGCTAGGCCCGATCCAGCACGCATCGTCCGGTTCCATGGAAACAGTGAGCCACGCCGATCCTTACGCTTTTAATGACAGCGGCTGCAAAAATGACAAACAACTCCACTGCCCACTCACTAACCGATTGCGGGCCATTTAGTCGACTGGCAAATAACGCCACTCTGCGGAGCACTACCGCCACGCACAAGTGCTTTATGCATGATCATTAGTACAACAGAGCAGGAAAAGTAAGTTTTAGTAAAGGGTTTAGACCATCTCATTAATCAACCTATCGACATGTCCTGAACTCATTAACAAACATTAAGTCTATTTGGTATTACGCATATTCTATCCGCGCTGCGAAAGAGTGACCTGCGCCCGCACTCCGCGGGGAGAAGAGAAAAATGCTGGCGACCGACAACAGCATCGAACAATCTATCCGATGTTTGGGAGATGCTCACTGAAACGCAGCAAAGCAGGTGCTGTTGGCCTGGCTCTCCTGCCAGCCAATGCACTTCCAGCAGCTCAACAACCCCGAGGGATCGTACTTGTGCTTGATGGCCAGCAGCTTGTCGTAGTTCTCCGTGCCCCACCAGGCCTCGCGCCAGTCCTCGGTGAACGGGTTGGCCTCGTTGCTGTAGGCGCCGCTGCCGGGAGTGATGCGCTCCAGCGTGGCCGTCATGTTCTGCAGGGTGGCGATCTTGGCCTCGCGCGTCGCGAGCGTGCTGTTCCACGCCCACGCGCTGCCGGAGCCCAGCTCCCACACGGCCTGGCGCCAGGCCGGCGTCGCGCTCGTCGACCCCTCCGTGTAGTTGTACAGTACCGGCCCCACCACGGGGATGTAGGGGGTCTGCCCGTTCTGCTGGATCAGCTTGAAGAAGTCCATCAGGTTCTCGCGGCCCTCGGCCGTCTCGAACACCGCGCGCGGCACGAGACGGCTGCCCGCGAAGTGCGTCACGCCCACGCTGACGGCCTCCGAGGTCACGTACTTGGTGTAGAAGTCGTACCACGAGGCGAAGTGCTCGACCACGGCCGAACCGCCCTGGGCCTTGGCGTAGGCGATCACCGAGGCCAGCGACCGCTGGGCCTGCGCCACGGTCATCAAGGGCGAGACGTTGATCAGGGTGCTGCCGGTGATGTGGCCGCCCCAGCCCTCCTCGGCCCAGCGCAGGGTGTTGTTGACGATGATGTCCATCCAGGGGAGCACGTTGGTCGAGTTGCTGGTGAACTTGACGATGGCCGCCGTGAACCCGAAGCGCGGCTCCACGCGGTGGGTGCTCTCGAGCACCACACCAAAGGTACCACCACCGCCGCCACGGAGGGCCCAGAAGAGGTCCGGGTTCTGGCACTCGTTGGCAATGCGCAGGTTGCCGTCGGGGGTCACGACCTTGTACTGCACGACGCGGTCGACACCCAGGCCGTAGACGGGGGAGAGCACGGAGTGGCCGCCCATCTGCACCCAGCCGCCAGACAGACCGACCGTGGGGGAGTACCCACCCAGGATGGTGACGTTGTGGTCATGGGCGAAGGCGTAGGCCTCGTCGAAGTTGACACCGGCACCGGCCGTGATGGCGTTGTAGGTGGTGTTGGCGGGGCAGCCCTTGGGGACGAAGGTCGACTGATAGCTCATGTCCTGCAGGTTACGGGTCCACAGCTGCAGAGTGCCCTTGCCACTGCTCCGGCCCAGGTAGTCGTGGCCGCTGTTCTTGATGGCGACGCGCACGCCGGAGCAGCGCGAGTACTCGAGGGCGGCGCTCACGTCGGTGGCATCGTGGACCTCGAGGTAGTAGGAGGGCATGTTGCCCTGGCGGCAGTCGGTGCCATTGAAGGCCAGCGGGTCGGTGGGATCGCTGCTGTCCAGCACGCACTGATCCTGGGGGTTGGACGAGCACATCTCATCCTGGTAGTTCATGTACCCATTGGGGCTGTTGGTGCGGAGGTAGGGGTCGCTGTAGTTGGCCTGGATGGTGGCGCAGGCGGCATCGTTGGGGGTGACGGGGTGGCCATTGTAGCTGGAGAAGCAGGGCAGGGAGAAGGGCGTGAGAGGCTGGACACGACCGCCCACAGTCGTGTTCAGCGCACTCAGGCTGCAATTGCTGCAGCTCGCAGAGGCCAGCCCCAAAAATTGGACGGCCAATGCGGCATACGACATCTTGTACCCCGAAGACGCCATCTTTTTTGTTCGTTGACTGCCACGCGAGAATGAGACAATCGAGAATGAAGATGGGGAATGGCTTGGGTTGAGGGAGAAAAAAATTGGGCAATCCCCCCGACGATCCCGCGTCAATTTATTTCTCAGAAAGGGACCAAACTGCACGGCAATGCAAGGCAAGAAAAAAAATGAAAGTCGGGTAACGGCACGTTCCGCACGAGGTCTGGCTGGTCAGTGTTTCTCCCGATCGCGTAGGATGGCGCAGGCTATTGAATTGCACGACTCAGGAAGTGGAGGAATACTGGGGACTGGTATGGATGAGGATTGTTGCAATAGAATCCGACATCCGACTGGGTTCGAGGCTACTGAGGGAGCCAGAGGCCGTGAGTAGTCCGGAGCAGAGAGAAACAGGGAGGCACCAGGAGATGCTAGACTGGACCCACCACCTCAGGACGATGACCCACAGTGAAGTCCACCGACTTCTAGTCTTGCCTGTCTTCTCCAGCGGGTTTGTTTAAGGTTTCGAACGATGATTCGTGGCGTGGGCTTCGTTGGGCGCCACCACGCTTAACTGTCTTTAGGGCTCGGCCGTCCTCCGAAAAGGCCAGTCTCCGCAATCGACTGATATAGCCACTATACTAGACTGCCTCTATAGCCTCGGACTTGCATGCCTTTGCAGTCAAGTGGAAATCCTGCCAGCCAACCGGTGTCTCAGATAGATCATCCCATGCACACAGCTTCCCACTTGTCGCCCTGGTGCGATGGTTCCTGCATGGAAAGCTCGCTCTCTTCCCCCCCTGAAAGGCACCGCATCCCTGTCTAGCCACGACTGCCACGACTGCCACGACTGCCACGACTGCCACGCGATCATTCCACCCCTTCTAGACTGCGATGCTGCATGACGATCTTAAGCATCCCCAGACTCTATAAGACTCACATTCCTGGGGATGGAAGAATCGTGCGGATCAGCACTGCAGAACTAAACGAGACTGGGGAAACCCAGAGCTCTCCAGGGCAGCACGGCTTGATCGATCACCTCAGAACACGGTTCAGGTCTCGTAGAAGACAGAAAATTCTAACCTCCGCCCTGGAGGAACTCTCACAAGCTTAATGCAGCGACAGCCATGGAAAGGAATTCAATAGTTGAAGATTAGAGAGCCCATTCGGACCCTCCCTTGCGAGCGGTGCGTGGCCCAAAGGAAATCCGTGACAAATCAGCGTGCATTTTCCACTCCCCTCTCCTCCCTCCCTCTCTTCCTCCGGTCGGAGATTCAGCCTTTTGTGCCAGAAACCAGACAGTCAAAGACCCAAACCTGTCCGTTAAGGTTTGGTGGCGACGCCAGCACAATTCTAATAATCTAAGAATATTAATTAAGGCCACCGAGCGATCCTCAAAGGGGAACAGCCCGATTCACTTTAAACTTCCCCTCCGCCAAAAATCTCCCACGATTTTCCTTACATGGAACTGTGCTGTGCCCTGGTGTCGTCCATCATCTCGAAGGGCTGACTCGCATAGTTCGGCAACGCAGAATGACTTGGGAAGAGAATAGATACTGGAAAAATGCGTTGACCATCGTCCCCATCGTGGGAGCTGCCTTCGCGACCATCACTTATGCCCTGCGCCTGTACTCGCGGCGGTATACCACGGCCGGGCTGAAGTTGGAGGATTGGTTGATGGGCGTGGGGTTAATTCTGTCCTACTGCGCGACTGCCTTTGTGGTGGATAGTGAGTTTTTCCCTGTGTGTTCTGAAGGAGTCTGGGAATGAAATGCTGATACGGTGGATTTCGCAGCTGCCTTCAATGGGGTTGGAATCCCTGTTGCGTCCCTCCCTCCCAAGGAGCGTCATCGGATTCAATTTGTATGTTCATGAGTCTGCCTGCAACAAAACCCCTGTGACTGCTTTTCTAACCGACGCACCCACAGGGATCATGGATGATTCAGAAATTCTGGGCGCCGTCCGCCGCGTTCATCAAGATCAGCATCGTCGTGTTTCTGCGACGCTTACTCGGCACTCTGCGCACCTACACCATCGTCTCCAACGGGTTGATTATCTTCATCGCCTGCTGGGCCGTCACGGCCTTGCTGGTGAATATCTTCCAGTGCATTCCGGTCCAGTATTACTACGACAAAACGTTGAACGGTCACTGCATGGCGGGCCAGCGGGCGTTCTTCCAGGCCATGGGCTCGATCGCCCTCGTTGAGGATGTGATCATCCTGTTCCTTCCTGCGCCGGTGGTCTGGGGCCTTCAAATCACTACGCGACAGAAGATCGCCTTGACCATGGTCTTTTCCTTGGGTGGATTGTGAGTTTACTTCCACTGGGCGAGGGAACTTCCAACTAATCGTGCTTAGGGTCTGTATCTTCAGCTTGATGCGACTGATTGAATTCCGCAAGTTCATCACCACCGATCTTGCCTGTAAGTCAACCCCCAACCCTGTATGCCTGGCTTTATGTTCCACAGAAAAGTTTTAATTCCGCACAGCATCCAGTGCCAAAGAATCCCTCTGGACCTGCCTGGAACTCGACATCGCGATCATCTGCGGCTGCCTGCCGCTGCTGAAGCCCCTGCTGCAGGGCTTCCTGGGCAAGGTCAAGTCCGGGGTGTCGAAGGGCCGGTCGCACCCTTCCTCCGGCACGAAGCTGTACGGCTACCCGACGAGCAACACCCACCACGACGGGTTCCTGCAGATCAACGAGCTGCACGGGTCGCAACTCTCCAAGGGGGCGAACGTGGCCGCCAGCGCCAGTCGCAATAGCTCGGACGTGGAATTGCAGGGCATTGCGGTGCACACCGTCATCGAGCAGGACGTGGATGACCATCCGCAGCTGTCCTCGTCGGAGACGGTGTCGAACCATGGGTGGCCGCGATGAGCGCCGCCCACCCTCGCCCTCACTCTCCATGACGCGCGCGCGCGATAATGCGAAACAGCAATTTCCTGTGCTGGTATCTGGGGTCTGGACCGTGGACCGTATCAGATGATGTGCCTGTGCTCAGCCCGTCATTTCCGCCCAGGACCACCACCAGTTGGTGGACACTACTCACTGCTCACCCACGAGAGTGTCCACATCCACTCCTTCACTTTATGAACACCACCCTTCCCTAGCATCCAAACTTAATGTCAATGATACCCCTCTAGAATTTTACTTCTCTTCTACCGTTCCGTGTCTTGTGATCCTTCAATCCTTCGTAAAATTAATCTGGCAGAATCCTATACAATCCAAATCTGCACTATGCGACACAAGGATCCGAGGGTAAAAAGGCTAATCAAAACCCCACGCCGCCGCTAATCTCACCACAAAAGATTTTTTACTAAGTAATTCTTTTGCGAAGGTCCTCATGATGTCACAGCACAGCGATCCCGGTATCCTCCGGGAGCAGAACAAAGAGAGACGGACGCAATCGAGCGCCAGCCCAGGGTTTCTCCAGCCTCTCTTGGATGCCGTTCCACGGTTCACAAGTCCGTGGTCAGACCAGAGTCTATTGTGGCAGGCAGCCATGGATCGGGGGATTGTCCGGGGAAGAGTTCTCTCCCGGTGGGGCGGTGGTTTCATGCCGCAACAGGTTGGGACATTTCGTGTCTGGTCTCTTACATGCTGAGCCGTGGGATGGGCTGTTTGAGGGAGTGCTGATCGGAGGTCTTTGGATAGCTGAAGCTGTTGGTTGCCCTGCAGTCTGAATATGTAGACATTCTTCAAGGTGAAATGGACATACTAGGTAGTGAACTGATTTTGTTGCATTAGACCAGCGACCGGAGCAGCTCAATTAGGAGAAGATCGGCATGCCGAGGGGTAGAGTTCTTGGTTCCGATTTATGCCCGAGCCGACGGGATCCACCCGCACTCAAAGAGAAATAAGGATCTCCAACACCCGGAACCTGACTGTGTTGTGCGAGGGAGGCCTCAGGTTGCTTGGCTGATGTGCCCTCTGGAAGGAGCACATAGTCTGATATACACCCTGATGCAGACTAGTATCCTGACGAAAAAGCAAAACCGGAATTCACTTTACTTTACTACTATACTGTAGTCGATTCAAGAAGCAAGGCTATACCAATCCGCCAACTGGCAGCATCTAACGTGGTTGGCTCAGTACGTGATATGTAAGTCAGCATACATCTATGGTCAATAGTTGACATCATACACTTTGGTATCCTAGCTATTGTCACAGGCTGTCAGGTGTAGGTTTATAGCTTATAGCTTCTGTGGTGTTTGTGTCAGATTGGGAGATAGCTCCATGCTTGTTAATTCACTCACGTCCCTTGTAAAAAAAGTGATGGTCCGGGAATTCCAATGCTCGGACGTGCAAGTCTCAAGTACTCGCTTATGTTTCACCAGGTCTTCCCAATTGCAGTTCATTCACCCTCGCAGTTGCCGGCTCGGTCAGTAGATCATACCCATATCGTTCCGCGACCTCGTTCGCGACACGCTGAAGCTCTCGGATTGAGCCCTCATCGTCAGTGCACCCAAAGGGGTACTGACCCATCAGCAATTCGACCATATAGTCATGGCCTGCCTCACAGGCTGAGTCAATGGCTCGGAGTATATGATCCTTCTTGGTTCCAGCGGATTCTGCATCTTTGTCCAGGAGCAACCGCACGATTTCCACTTGGCCATGATCTGCCGCATGTCGGAGCGGAGGATACTCGCAGCAGCTATACTCATCTGAGTACGGGTCCGCCCCCTTTTCAAGGAGCAGCTTGACAAATGCCATGTTGTGCTGGCTGATGGCTTCCATCAGCGGCGACGACTCCTGGCCTTCCTCGATCATCGCACCCCTCTCCAGCAGCAGCAACACCGACGATTCATCGCCTCTCTCGGCAGCATAGCTGATTGGCGTCCGTCCGTTCAGATCCGCGTCATTTGGATCGGCTCCTGCATCTAAGAGCAGGGTCACGACCGATTCGCCCGATGCACAGAGAAGCGCCGTCATGTCTTCCTCATTCTTCCTGCTGACGTTGACGCCCTTGGCCAACAGGATGCGAACAACCTTGGTCTGGTCTTTCTCGGCCGCCAGCATGAGCGGAGTCCAACCATCCTCATCCACGGGATCGGATTCAGCACCCGCGTCGAGTAGGGCTTCTACAACATTCACCAAACCATAGCTTGCCGCCCACGCGAGGGCAGTCATACCGCGTTCATCCTGTTGATTCACATCCGCTCCCTGCTCCACCAGCAACAGTGCATCCTCCTCGCGCTCGTTTCGGATGGCCCAGATCAAGATCTCGCCGTCTGGGGGATCGTTCAGATCAACGTCAGGCGTGACGGTCTTGTACAATTCGCGCAAGTCGGCCAGCCTCGCAGCGGGTGAACGTGCAGCCAATTCATCATTGATCTCTTGGATCGACTTCCCGCGAAGGAGCCGAACAACACCATCATGTCCTGCCTCAAACGCCGCCTCGAACGGCGTTTGACCGTCGCTGTCCTGGACCTCCGGGCATGCATGTCTTTCCAGGAGCGATTCGACAATGTCCGCATGTCCTTTGCGTGCGGCCCACGCCATCGGCGTCCGCTGACATTCGTCCCGCACGTCGACCGTGGCATTGTATTCCAGCAAGACCCGGACAATTCCCTCGTAGCCCCGTCTGGCCGACCAGGACAACGCCGTCCCGCCGTAGCGCCAGTCCCGCGCGTCCGGATCCGCGCCGGCCTGCAGCAGCATCCTAACCAGCGACTCCGAGCATCCCCTCTGCGCCGCTGCGATGAGCGGCGATCGTCCCTGAAAGTCAGCCTGGTCGACACGGGCTTCCGCGTTCAGCAGCACCTTGACAGTCTCCTCGTCTCTGTTGGCGATGGCGTGCAACAAGGGCGTCCGACCGCCCGCATCGGGGGCGTCTGGGTCGGCGTTGTGTTGTAGGAGGAGTCGCACCGCATCGCCATGGCCATTGGCCACGGCCCACGTCAGACAGCTCCGTCCATACTCCGTGTCACGAGCATTGACCTCGTCGCTGTTTTTGAGAAGTTGTTCGAGGTCGACGGTTCGTCCGCTCGCGGCGGCGAGGAGGATCGGGGCCTCCCATGGACAGAGGGCGTCGGACATTTCGGGTCTTGGATGTGAGAAGATTTGGAAAGAGAGGTCATCGTCTTTAGATATGCTCGGGACAGGTAGAGGGGTGTATATCTCTTGTCTGTAGAACCGTTCATGGTGGCAGATGCCAATGCTTGGCGCGGAAAACGACCCAAGGAACGGTGAGTGGATAGTAGGCGCAGTGAGCAGATGGACGTGTACATTCTACAGTCTAGATTCTAGGCAACTGAGACAGCTATACTCCCTGCCTAGGTTGAATGCGCTTGGGCCAAGAGTTTGGCTCCACAGCGCACGCATTCAGTGCTGCTTACTGGTCTAGGTGGTCGAGTGTCAAACCATAATAGATTACCACCGGTGGGCAATCTATGAACCCCACGGGCCCCGGTTCGGACGAACCATTACTACTAAGCTTACATCAAACGTTCGATGGCCCGGACTCTCTTCTAGACGGGGACTGGGCACCTGATCTCAGTCGCCAAAGACTCATTCGGGCACGCGATATGAGACTGAAATTTCCTGAATATATTCTGAATCAGCAAGCAGGGATCCGTGTATAATCTCTACCAGCATCAAACACAATCCGTACATGCAACATAAGCCAACCCTAACCCCTCACCCCAGCCCCCCCCCCCTCCAGCACCCCCAACTCCTCAAACGACTCCCCGGCGCCATCCCCCAGCTTCCTCCCCATCCTCTCCTCCCGCTTCCGCTCCTTCCCCTCCCGCTTCAAAGCCTTCTTCTCCCTCCGACTCAGCCGCGGAAACTCCGAGCCCTCCCCGCGGAGCACCTGCCCGGGATGCACGACGTTCAGCCCCACCAGCGCGACGAACATGGGCACCGCATCGAACACATACTCGTACCACTCGTGCGTCAGCACGGGGTTGTTGACGTCCGTGCCCCGCGCGTACTGCGCCAGCCGGAACACGATCCGCACCGTGATCAGCCCCAGCGCCAGGTACATCGCGGCCAGCAGTTTCTTCCACGTCGGTCGGAACGGTCCTCCGGCCGCGCGGTGGACGCGCTCCGCGTCCAGGGTGCCGGCGCGCTCCATGGACAGCAGCTTCCGGTGCAGGTGGATGGTCAGTCCTGTGAAGACCAGCACGAAGAACTCCTGCATCCCGATCCCGCCCATGTAGATGTGCAGGCCCCGCATTGTCGTGCTTTGCGGTTGGTCCTCGCCTGTCGTCATGGAGGCGCCCGCGAGTTGGACGAGGAAGGCGACGATGTCGAGCCAGACGAAGAGGCGCGCGTAGTGGGTCGAGGTGAGGTGGGCGAGGCGGCGGGTTGGGAGGAAGAAGTGGATGAGTCGGCCTAGGGTCATGTAGAGGTAGGCGTTGATCCCTTTTGCGTTGCTCGGTTAGTGGATGGGACTGGGCGGATGGTGGGGCTATGGTTGGGAGGGATATAGCTGGGAGGGTGTGGTGGGGTAGAGAGGGCAGTGCTCACAGATCGGTGCCAGCAGAAAGAAGATCGTGTACAGCGTGTCGTAGATGTCGCTGTTTTGTTTACGCGTGAGGAGGGCGCGGAAGATGAAGGCTAGGAGCTCCCAGAGAGCGCCCATTATTACCACCCAGGCGTATCTCTGCGTGTTGTTAGCATGGTGGCTGGGCGAAGGCAGGAATTACCAGGGAGCGGGCACGCTACCTTCTTGTAGATAACCGCTTGTACGAGGTGGCAGATGGTGGTGAAGCCGAACAAGACACAGAAGAGTACGGCGGCTGCAAACGACGGCACGTACATCAGGACTGCGTCGCAGGCTTCAGGCGGCAGATAGCCGTTTTTGCCAGGCTGGGGATGGGTGCATGTCTCGGTGGATGTCGCCGAGGTTAGGGCACTGGTGGCCGTGGCCATGGACGTGGTTGTGCTCATTGATGTGATAATGGTTAATGGCTTGACTACTCTCTTCTCTACGACTGTTGCCTCTTATATATGACCTGTTATCTTCCAGGTTTATCCAGGATGAGGCTCATCCAGGCAGCCTTGATCCTTTGCTGTAAATATAGGTGTTGCATGCAGCCCGATCTTAGGGCGGCGATCCTGGGAGTGGGAGTGAGTACGCCTTGATTGGCTGGCTCGCGTGCGCTAGCCCTATCTGGGACTAGTGTGGTTGCTGCCTGGACCCTCAGGCCAATGTCCGATCGATAGACGCTCGGGCCAATCACACCGACCGTTGTGTGAAGCTGACGTGCTGTCGGAGTTCAGGCTGCTGGATTTTATGCTGCGGCTATGCACAAGAATTCTCATTCAATTGGCACATACCGCTAGCATTCTGCTTCTCTGTTAATGTGGTAGCCTGACAGGTCAGACTTGACCTGGGTCCAGGATGTTGTGTGTTGGTGGGGGTTGACTACTGATTTGACAGCCACCTCCTACAACTTCAGGATACAAACACGTTTACAATTGACTAGTTTCGTTCCGAAACACGCCCATGATGTGACTGTGCATGATTGAAGTATCGGTGAGCACCACCAAGTCTGGGATCGGTAGTCGAGAGGTATCTCGAAAAGATTTGATGCTTTATGTGATGTTTTCTCTAATTATACTAAGCCTCTACTTAGTCAGACCTCAGAGCTTCCAGTTGCTCCACCTAAGCTTACCTTTAAAGTAGCCTCTCTTTTAACCTCATTCAACTTGAGACTACCACCGTCCCCAAACATTTCGTCGATCTGCTCCAGCGTCTTCCCGCTCGTCTCGGGCACGAGCAAGAACGCCCACACCCCCGCAAGAACACAAAATGCCGCAAAGAAGATATAGGTCCCGTACGTGATATTCGATATCATCGCCGGTGTCACAATCCCCACCACGAAGTTCGATAGCCAGTTGACACAGGTCGACAGCGCGACGCCCTTGGACCGTAGGGCCGTCGGGAAGACCTCGGACGGCAGAGCCCAGCCAAGGGGCGAGTAGGTGTTTCCATAGATGAGCATGAACAGGAAGGCCATCGCTACGCAGGCCCACCCCGCCGACTCGTTGGACCAGCCCGGCCCATAGACCGCCGTCAGGGCCGCGATGATAATATAGCAGACGCCCATGCCAAAGCCCCCGAAGATCGCCAGCGGCCGCCGACCGATCCTGTCGATGGTCACGAAACAGACCAGCACGGTGACGAGCTGCAGACAATCGAAGACCCCGGATAGGATCAATGACATCTCGCCGGTCTGGCCGATGGTCGTCATGAGCGTCGGGGCGTAGTATACAAAAGCGTTGACACCGCTGAACTGTTGGAAAAATCCTGCTCCGATGCCGACGGCGGTGCGTTTCCAGGTGCGCCGGCTGAACAAGCTCATCCATAGGGCCGCTTCTCGCTTGAAGCCGGTTACACCGGGACGCAGGCGTTCTTCGGTGAGCTTCTGGATCCGAATTTCCGTCATGATGGCTTGGAACTCCGCCTGGACCTTCGTGTCGGTCGTGGGCAGGCCGCGCAGCTTACTGATACTCTTCAGGCAGTCCTCGGGACGGTCCACCAGAGCCAGCCACCGCGGGGAGTAGGGGAAGAAATGGATGCCAACTCCGAGCAGCGTGGCGCTGACCATCTGCAGCCCAAAGGGAACACGGAACGAGGCCTCGCTGTCCACCAGTCTCATCCCGAATGTGATCCAATACGCAATGACTGAGCCCGAAACGAGGCAGATGGATTCTAGCACCAACAGGGTTCCTCGTAGGTTTGGCGGCGAGATCTCTGAGATATACAGCGGTGCGCCCTGAGTGGCCGGATTGAGTTAGCAATCAGATATGGAGGGTACTAAAATTCTCATCAGGTACGTACCATGGCTAGCGTACCAACTCCAATCCCACCAATAGCCCTCCCTGCGACTAACATCCCGTAGCTCTGGGCGGACGTCTGGATGATCGCCCCGATGTCGAAAATCACCACGACGACTGTCAACGCCCACTTGCGGGAGATCTTATCCGCCAGGTACGGCATGAAGATGCAGCCCACAAAGGCGCCGAGGAGCAACATGCCGGTCATAAAGCCCTTACCGAACTCGCTCGCTGATCCCGGAATGGCTGCGTGGAATTGCGGCATGACGTTGATCACTGAGATGACACCCTGGTCATATCCGAAGCTGAAACCGCCGAGTGAGGCCAGAAATGCGGCCCCTAGAACGTAGCCTGAGCTGAAGAGCCCTCGGATGCCGTTCGGGCCGTAGGAGGGTTCCTCCACGGTGAGGGTGTCGACATCAAGGGTCGTGCCCTGTTCATCGTGCTCCACTGTTGTGGAGTCGTCTCCCTTGGCTCGTGGCTGCATTGGGTCCTTTGAGTGATAATTCATGCCGGTTGAGATGATGGCCTGATTTCATCTCGGAGGTTGAAGAGAGCAGGAATATGGGTACTTTAAGTAACCCCGTGGGGGTGGGGGGGACTATTTCGTATCTTGCTGGGGTTACCCCGGACCTGCCCGAGATTCTCCAGACGGGCTACCATTAACCCCTGCCACGCCAATCAGATATGCAGACCCGTAGTCGGGTTCAGTGACGATATCGACACGGCCCGTCGGACATCTCACTTGGGCGCTGACCTCGGGCTACTGGGCGTGGGGGTTAGCCCCGTCGCCCGTCCAGTTTAGGGCATACTGTGCATACTGGAAGATTCTTGGTCCGACTGGAGGATCCGTACTCCGACTAGCAGCCGGGTGACCGGAGTATGGATCTATGTTCTACAGGGCAAATAGATGGGCGTGAATGCACGTATCGCGAATAATGATAGTTGCAGCCACGTCATCTGCGTCATATAGCCTACGAGAGGCTTTGAGGATGCTCAAAGATAAATTCTGACAGAAGGTCTTATCAAGTAGGCGTACGCGGCATGCTAGCAGCTTATTCCACCCGTGTCAACCAGTTTGGAAGCATCGAGATGTCGTTTCCCTTGCCTCACCGCTGTGGCCAACAAAGAGGTTAGAGTTTCGTCTGCTGCTCCATCCTTTCCTATCGGGATAGGCGAAATACAGGATTGGCAGGGCTTTCGTATTCACCATATGCCGTTGTCACTCGAAGCCTGGCAGAGACCAGACAGATGACCTGGGACGCACGAGGAAATGACGTTTGCCTTGCCTCGTGTGGGATTTATGGACTTTCCGCTTGTCATCAAGGGGCTCGCCTGTGCGAAAATATACATCTGCTCCTCCGGAGTATTGCATAGTCGATCCAAACCACGGGTAGGCTTGTGTTCTGTGCCCAAATGACATCGGATCGGAGCAATCTGACATCGGAGATAATGAAGTGATGGCAGTGTTGGCGGCGATGGTTCCATTGCCCGATGCACGTGACCATCGGAGGTTAGGGCACGCATGGCTTTCTCCTCATTCATTCAAGCAAGAAATTTAATCGGGAGGGAATGGATCGAAGATCATAGTAGCGATCAGACTAGCTTGGAAGTGCAAATTGAACCTGTCTCGCTCGTATGGCTCCTGTTTGATACACTATGCATTACAAACTTTTGTTATCGGGCGACCGAGCCGACTTCACCACGCTCGCATTCGATCTCGACAAGAAGAAGCTGAGCATCCTCGCAAACTACGCCGCCCCTTACAATGCTTCCTGGGTCGAACCCGTGTCTTCGCAAGGCAGCGTTGATCAATTACTCGGGCTATCCGAGGGTGATGACGCCGGCCTGCTTTACAGCTTCGAAGTTGATCATGCACACAAGGCTTGCAAAATCACCAGTCAGCAGCCGACCCTGGGAGCGCCGGGTCACTGTGAGTCTTGTCCCAGATTGCAATGTTCCTTTCTGAAAACAAGATTGATGTTAACCGCACTCGGGCATAGTCCTCACGCTGCGCGATAGATCTGCACTGGCGCTGGCGACGGTTCGTCTATCCCATCCCCTTCGCTTTCGCATCCGTCAGAACCGATACTCATACACATACCATATCCAGTATCTAGGAGGTTCCATTGCTCTGTACCCCATCTCAGTCACCAAGTCTGGCACCCTACTGCTCGACGACGTCCCCCGAACCGAGATCATCCCAGATTTCCCCTATCGGGACGCGGGACACGGCCCGAACCAAGGCCGACAGCGACAATGCCATGTTCATCAGATCCTTGAAGACCAACGCGGTTTACTGTACGCTCCAGACCTGGGATCCGACCGAGTGTGGCTCCTCCGGCGCGAGGGGGTGCAGAAGCTGGACATCTGCGGCTGGCTGCAGTGTCCCCCGGGAACTGGGGCTCGGCATGCCGTATTGAGTCCGGATGGTATGTAGCCTGCAGTTGCTTCATAGCACCTGGCTAGGTTGGCTGACGGAAGCTTTCCCAGAGAGAATCATGTACGTGATTGGAGAGCTCTCACATACCGTCCTCGCCTTCGACCTCTCCGATGGCCCCGCCGAAGCCATCCCGCCCATCGCTGGCTTCGCTCCCAACATCATCCCCCCGGAGGTCCACCCCGACCATCAGGTCATGATGGACTCTTCCGAGATCTGTCTGCATCCTTCGATTCCCAACGTCCTCTATGTCAGTAATCGGTGGGAACGGCACATCGCGCGCCGCGAACCGCATCTCCAGAACGTCCCGCAACATCCCCCGCCCGGCGATGCGATTGCCATAATCTTGCTATCGAACGACGGCAGGAGTACCAAGGCGATCAGGCACGTGCGCACCAAGCTCGATGTCATCCGTGGGATGCGGGTCAGCGACGACGGCAGGTACGTCGTGGCGGCCGGGCAGGAGGGTGGTGGTGTCGAGGTCTACGAGATTAGCGGGGATCGAGGCGATGTCTGGACCCTGGTGGCTGGGTTGAATGAGGGATTGGAGAGTGGCATTAAACATGCTGTCTGGCTATAGAAGTCATGGGACGAACCCTGGCTGGACATCACTATCTTTTAATGGTACTTCAGAATATAGAATAGATCGACATGACCATCTTTATGATTGATACCTGATATATGAATGCTCCCTAAGAGCTATCCTGATGCTTCATATTCCGGTCCGGGGTGAATTTCTGCATCAGCGGGACCATGAACAATAGGCATCAATGATCCAATGGGGTACTCTCGTTGACTTCACATATCGATTGAAGCCGAGTCTTCTCTTTGTGAGTGGTTGCTCCCACCTACAAAATACTATACATCGTCCTATCATTTGGTGATATTACTCTAGATTACGATCACGAAGCCGGACAGGGACGACTAACAAACCTAGTCCGACGTCATACCGGAGCCCATTGCCAGGGCCGGAGATAAGCACTTACCGAGGTTGAGATAAACCCGATGGCGGTTAAGCCAATCTCCGACCCCACGCTGAGTATCTCCGACTGCATTCACAGTGCAGGGCCTTTTTAGAGGCGGTCCCTGCAGCGCTATTTTGCACGTACGTTCTTTTATTCCCCCACAAACCAATATAGCAATATCACAATGGCTCCTTCTACTCACTTCAAGCTCAACACGGGCGCCCTGATTCCCGCCGTCGGTCTCGGTACGTGCTTATGTTTCTGGACTGTCGTGGTACGATACAGTACTTGCTAACACCTGGTGATTCAATGTAAAGGAACCTGGAAGTCCGAGCCCGGAGAGGTGACCAAGGCGGTGGCTTTTGCCCTCAAGAATGGATACCGCCACATCGACGCAGCATTGTGAGTCTTGTTGTCTCCCTGTGTCAGGTTTGCCCCCGCTAACATCCTTCAGGATTTACGGTGAGCTCCCACACATCGACGGGCCATTGCGCCTCTTCCATGACTAGTCTAATGCCTACGTAATAGGCAACGAGAACGAAGTTGGTCAGGGGATTAGAGACAGCGGCGTGCCCCGTGAGGAGATCTTCATCACCAGCAAGCTCTGGAACACCCACCACCCCAACGTCAAGGAGGGTCTGCAGAAGACTTTGGACGCGCTGGGAACCGACTACCTCGATCTCTACGTAGGTCTTGTCCAACACGTGACACTCGCGTGATATCTTGTATGGTATGCAGACTGACCCACGTTGCTATCAGCTGGTGCACTGGCCTGTTCGGCTTATTCCGGTAAGTCCCCCTGCTCCCTGTCCCTAGCCTCTGCACGGGCTAATCCCATGCGTGTACAGAATGAAACCAGCGAGCTCCTTCCAGTGAACCCAGACGGTACCCGCTCGGTGGACCGGTCATGGGACCAGAACGAGACCTGGCGCCAGATGGAGGAGGTCTACCGATCCGGCAAGGTCAAGGCCATCGGTGTGGCCAACTGGTCCATCCCCTACCTCGAGGAGCTGCGCAAGAAGTGGACGGTCGTGCCGGCTGTCAACCAAGTCGAGCTGCACCCGTTCCTGCCGCAGCATGAACTCCGCGAGTACTGCGAGAAACTTGGCATTCTTCTGGAGGCGTACTCGCCTCTAGGCTCTACTGGTGGGTTTCACTCGCGCTCACTCTAGAAAAGACTCCGCAGTCAACCAAGCCACTAACATGTGTTGTCAGGTGCCCCCATCATGTCCGACCCCGAGATCCAGCAGATCGCGGACAAGAATGGCGTCTCGGCCGCCACCATTCTTATCAGCTACCACGTCAACAAGGGCGTGGTGGTGCTGCCCAAGTCGGTGACCGAGAAGCGCATTGCCAGCAACCGCGAGGTCATTGTGCTCTCTGAAGAGGATTTGGCCGTGCTCGATGGGCTGGCGGCCAAGGGCAAGGCGCAGCGGCTGAACACGCCGCTGTGGGGGTTCGATCTGGGCTTTGCGGACTGGTACGGTCCGGTCAAGGCGCAGTGATACCGTTGGTGAGGGCATGCCGTATAGATTTCTGAATTAGAAAGCGAGTCTTTGGTGTTAGGCTGTACAGGATCAAAATGAGATTTTCTTGTTGCACATTCACAAAATACGTTGAAATATGTTTCCTGTGATAAAGGGCCTCGAGTCCGTAGTTTGCCTGTTCGCACTTCGCGAAGCGCCGTACCTCTCTACCTCTTTCTCTACGTGAGTTGCTTTCCACCACCACTACTATATATATAAACTAGAGGGTCTCACATTTTCTGAATGCATAAATTCCATCTTGTCAGAATATAGGTCTCATGCGGATGTGTAGGTCGGGGGAATCCGGAGAAAATTCGGCATACGTTTGCGTTGACCTCTCCAAAGGTCAAACCTCCGGGTGTGTTTTGATAACGATTAGCCGTGGTATAAAGACTGGTAAGTGCGAATTTTGATGGTAATACCTTCCGCCCTTGGCATTATGAGCTCGTTCCAGGGTAGCTCAATCATAAGTCTTTTTCGAATTTGGGTAAAGGAACCCTTTGCGGCAGCCCGTTTCTGAATCATGGACACTACATAACCTGCGCTATTTCGGACTTCCCCGCAGTGAGATTGAACTATGCAGTGAATCCTGAAGCAATCTTGAGTGTTTCGAATGGAACTTGGACTATGACGTGAGGTATGTCTAGACTAGCGTCGGACACAGTTTCTTCTTCAGGACTTCTACTCTACAATATCGCACTTGGAGAAATAATATCAAGAAATCTGACATTGAGTAACAACAAATCACAGGGAAGGTTCGTAATCATGAGAATAATCCATACTTCTATACAGGCAACCCAAAAAAGCATACTAGTCGAAGTCTAAGCCTTGTACGGCGCGGGGGAGACCCCCTCCATCAGCGCCTTGATACGCATCGCCATGAGCTTCGAATGGAAGCGGGTGTAGGGCAGGTAGCCGACCATGAGCCAGAGATTGGGCACCCCGGTCTCCCGGTACGCGGTCTTGAACTCGCCCTCCTCGTCGATGCCCCAGATGGGCCCGCACTGGCGGGCGATCTTGTCGCCCAGCGTGGCCCGCACGGAGTCGATGGTGTTGGAGAAGCCGGTGGCGAAGACGACCAGGTCGAACTCGCGCTCGCGGCCGTCGTTGAGGATCACCTTGTCCTCCGTGAAGCGCTCGATGTAGCCCGGCTCCACCTTGATCTTGCCGTTGATGATGTGTTCGCACGCACCCGCGTCGAAGTAGAAGCCTCCGTTGCGCGTCTGGCCCAGCGTGGAGCCGCCGGTGCCGCGCTGGCCGCGCCAGGTGCGCAGCCCCCGCGCGTGCAGCGCATCCAGCAGCGGACGGTCGAGGTCCTCCAGCACCTTGGCGTTGCGGCGTGCCAGCTCCTCTCCGGGGCCCGTCGGGGTCGCGAAGAAGAAGCGGTCCTGTTCCTCCTGGTTGGGGCGGTTGCCCTCGGCATCGGGGCCGTAGTTGCCGATCGCGCGGGGCACGGAGTGGGTGAGGGACATGATGTAGGTTGGGGACCGCTGCAGGAGGGTGACGTCGATGCCACGGCGCGAGCAGTCGAAGGCCGTGTCGAAGCCGGAGGAGGAGGTGCCGACCACACAGACCTTCTTCCCGACAAAGTCCCGTGCGCTGTCGTGCGTGGTTGAGTGGCGGATGACGCCCTTGAAGTCAGCCATACCGGGGACCTGGGGGGTCATGGGCACGCCGCACAGCGAGGTGGCCATGATGACCTGCTTGGGGTGCAGCTCGCGAGTCTCCCGGCCTTCCTTGTTAATTGTGACCGTCCACCGGTTCTGCTCGTCTTGCTCGGCCCTGACCACCTCCGACTTGGTCCAGACGTTCAGCTCCAGCGCCTCGGCGTACCACTGCATGTACATGCCTTGCTTCTGGGCGGGAGTGTACGTGGGCCAGAGCTTGGGGTAGGGGAAGTAGGGCAGGTCGTCGGCCCAGTGAGGGAAGTGCAGCGAGAGGTACTCGTAGCGCTTCTTCCAGACGTCTCCGATTTCGTCGCCGCGCTCGATGATCAGGCTATCCATGCCCAGTGCCTTGCATCGGGCGGCCAGCGCGAGACCACTGGTGTGGGGTAAGGGCGTCAGCACCTGCAATGCAGGCATGGAGAAGGGAATTGCTCACTTCTGTCCACCACCAATAATCAGAACCTCCGGATTGGCAGCCTCTACTTCTGCGGCCCGCTGCTTCTCCCAGCTGATGGGGCCGGTCATATGCCCGTCGGCCGGGGGCACTTCGGGGAACTGCTTCAATTTCTCGGCCACGGTGTGCATGGTGTAGATCTTCCACCCCTCCTTCGTGAGAACGGCATTGATCACCGCTGAAGCATTCACGACTTCAGTCTCAAATGACACAACAAACTGAAGCTGGGCAAAATCGGAGTACGGGCGCGAAACCGCGGGAGAGGGACTGAGGAACTTGAAGTTGGTGGCTTTCGTGGTGGGGAAAAGGTCCTGGGCAGCCTTCAGGATGGCGGGGTGGAAATTGAATGTGCGGTAGTCCCAGGTGAAGGACAGCTTGTCGCGCCAGACACCTGTATTGAGGGAATGTCATGTCAGTTGGTTGCATATGCAGGCCATATGGGAGCACAGAGTAAGGCCTACCACATGGGAGGAAGAGATCGGTGAATGCTTGCGCATCGCCAGCTCCCATGCTCTCGGATAGGCGGGCAACAATCGTCTCCGCCTCCTTCTGAGCGTCGCAGTCGGAGGGGATCTCAATTCCCAGAACGTCCGAGGTGGGAAGAGGGTGGTTGTACTTGAAGTCGTACATGTAGTTGTCGTCGACAGGAGGCTTGGAAGAGGGAGTATCCAGCTCGCTGACCACGACCTGGGCCTTGAGGTCGGTCAGGCTGACCTGGTTTATCTGGTTGTCCAGGCCCGACTCTTGAACTCTGAGAACCATTTTGGCTGATGAAACAAACGGAACAATTGAAACAATAATTCAAAACAAGTCTAATGAGCAAGGGTGTGATGTTTGTTTGTCGAGCTCAATTTAATGCTTCTCGAGTCGCGTCTTCTATACCTTTTTCAAGAGACTCGTCTCTCGGGTAGATCGGGCCATTTCCATCTTGGGACCGGAGATAAAACAATCTGGAATCAATGGATCGGGAATGCATTACGTCGTACCTGACGGTTCAAGGTTGGCATCGGAGATAATCTCTCGTAGTTTGCGGGGGGTGTGGGGGTGGATGTGGCTCGTCACATGACCGGACATATTTCTCGCCTCTTCCCGCCTCCCTCCTCGGCTTTTCCGTCATCGACAACACCCGCTGTCACTGCATTTCATTTATGCAACCCCGATTCATATGGCATGATGACCAACATCCCAGGATCGGACCGCTCCCAACTATCGGGAAGAGTCAGCCATGAGGCCGATGACAATCCCAGACCCACCAAAAAACAGCGAAGACAGCGCCCATCCCTCAGCTGTGCAGGTCAGTGCTGCTTCCCCCGTAGAATGTGACGATCAAACGTATAGAAAGGTTGATTCCAATAACCTTTGCAGAATGTCGCCGGCTGAAGATGAAATGTGATCGGCAGTGTCAGTAACTTGAGTTTGACGTATGGAGACCGTGCCCACCGGCTGAAAGAAGGAACATTGCAGTGCCGTGCTCAAACTGTGTCCGCCGACGCCGGACCTCATTCTGTAACCCAGGTGCAGCCGACACTACACCGTCCCGGTTTGTTCACGTTCCATGTGCTTATGCATGCCTGCATGATACTAATTGGCTGCTATGGCAGAGGATCTGATACACCCAAAAACCAGCGCAAGAATCCTCCTGCACAAGTCGAACATCCCCCTCCCCAGGAAGACCATGCACCCCGTTCAGCCGACACTCCTAGCTTGGATCATCCATCCATACACATCTCGGACACGCCCTATCAACATGATGTTTCACAACATCGCGGTCAGGCCCCAAAAACTGCCGCGGAGCAGGGATCCGCCGACCATTCGGGCCGCAACTCACGGCAACCACCGCATAACGGCAACAGACGGGATGACTTTGAACAACTCGCCCTTCTAGCCCACGCGCTACAGTCCGACCCTTTGCACGAATCCTCTTCAGCTGCTTCAGGCCGAATCAGCCTATCTGGACCCAGCGATCGAAGGAACAGTGGCTACCAGAATCCCGTCCCACAGCCCCTTGGCGTTGCCGGACAGAACGGCTCCTACGGCACCTTGATGTTGGGTAAAGGAGGTCGGTCCAAGTACCTGGGTCCGACGGCCGGCAGTGAATGGTTGAAAGAGGTAGGTCCTCTCTGCTGGAGCCTCGTTCACAGCCACTGAGATGTGTATCTACGTAGTCGGAAACCCAAGACGCATCGGACAGTCCCCCGGTGACCCGCGCTCCTTCCCCAAAGATCCCAGAGTCGGTTCCATCCCAGCCCTACCGCTTGAGTCCCGGTACCACTCCCATCGCCTTTCCGTTCAACGTGGCAGCCTCACACGTCAGTACTCGGGAGCTGCTTTCCCGCCTACCCGCCAAGGAGGAGGCGGAGACATTGGTGGGATCGTACTATCGCTATTGCGCTTGGCAGTGAGTGTGATTGACGGGGTCTACGAGGCAACGCTGACAATGGTTTAGTCATGATGTTGCTCCCAAAGCCAGTTTCCAGAAGAGCTTCGACCGCGTCTACAAGTTTGCCGAGGGAGTGTCCGTATCTCCGCGGGTCAATCCGCAGGAGATTGCGCTGGTGTTCATCGTCATGGCTCAAGGCACCTTGTTTAACATTGAGATGCCTAACTATGACCCATCGGCCGAGGACTGGCTGCATCTCTCGGAGTTGGCTCTGGTGAAAGGGCGCTTCCTATCTAACAACATGGTCGCCGGGCTACAAACTCTAGTGAGTCTTGAGCTTGTCGCCATCTTTCACCGCTAACGATCAGCAGCATTTGATGGCACATCTGCATCTGTACGTTACTGAGTGGCTCCGCAATCTTTATTCTTTCACTGACCTTGGTCTAGACATTTGGATAAAGGGGGCCGAGGGGACAATGCCTGGCCGCTCTGGGGTCTGGCCATGCGGTTAGTTCAAGCGGTAAGCACAACTGTTCCAAGTGAAGTTCACCACTGATGGAGATTCTATATGTCTAGATGGGAATGCATCGAGACGGTGCCCGCTGGAATCTCCCACAGGATGTGATTGAGGAAAGACGCAAGGTGTTCTGGGAGTTGAATGCCGCCGACACCTTCCAGGCACATTGCTTCTCGAGGCCGTATGGGTTCCCCGTGCAGGTCTTATGATATGTCTAATCTCAGGCAGATGCGCTATGAATCCGGAGCATTGCGATGTCGCATTCCCTTCCGAGCCGGAGAACGCAACCGGCGAAAAGAGCTATTCGATCCTTCGATTTGAGCTCTCGCAGCTTTCGTCCGAGTGTGTCTTTCTCTTGTCGTTCCGGGGATGCCTCACATCTAACCAGCCCGCAGAATTCTCCATATGGCGATGAAGGTGCACAAACCACCGTACTCGGCTGTGACCGACCTCGACATTAGACTGTATGTGCCCCACCGCCACAGTCTGACTTGAAAACTGACGCTCTGTAGCGGCGAATTTGAGCGCAATCTGCCGTTTTCCCTTCGTTGTCGAGCCGCGTTTCTGTCCATGCCCTCTCGCTACCCTCACGTCGAAGCGGCAATCGAGGCATCGCCCGAACCCTCCCGGAGATCAATGACCATTTCTTTTCAGGTTCGTCCTTTTCACATGGCAAGTTGGATTGTCTGACTAAGTACTCGGTAGCAAATGAATCTAGCGCTCAACATTTCGGAGACGATCATCAACCTCCATCGACCATATTATGCGAAAGCACTGTACGATATCAACGACCGGATGAGATCCGTCTACGCGCCTTCATTCTTGACCGTGATAGAGCGTTGCGCCGTAAGCCTCCCCATCTTCGCTCGTCCAACATGCAAGACGCTCGAGCTGACACTGACAGATCATCATCGCAATTGTCGACGACATTCACACCCGTTTCCCCGCGGTCAGCACCAGACAATGGAACTTCTGGGTACGCGCATCTTTCCGAATCCCTCCGGGCCAGTACATCTCTCACAACCACCTTTCTATTCTAGTACCACGTCTTCGGCTCCGCTCTCTGCCTGGGAACCCTCGTGCTGCGCGACCCCAGCAACCCCATGGCCGCCTTCGCTCTGACCCAGCTCGACGCCGCAATCAACCTCTTCACCTCGCTGATCCAACACGGCGCCAACACCCCGCGCTACGGCCGGAACCTGCAGTGGCTGATGAGGCTGCGCGCGCGGGCGTCGGCCAAGATCGCCTCCGCGTCGACGCAGCCGGCTGCTGCGCGGGATGATGCGGGCCGGCCGGGGGACCGAGCCCGCGAGGACAGCGAGGACGTCGAGCTGCTGGGCTGGCGGACGCGGCTGATCGAGCGGGCGGGCCAGGGCCGGCAGACGATCCGGACGACGATCCAGCTGGCGGATGAGACGCCCACCGACTCGCCGCATGGCATTGACGTGGGCTCGAAGCCGTCGCCGAATGACCTCCATCATCATCCTTTCGGGGTGCTGCAGGGTGATCCTTCGATGATTGTGGCGGGCTCGTCGTTGCCGCTGGTGACGCCGGATTCGACGAATGAGCTGGTGGGATCCTCCTGTCTTGTCCTCTGTTTGGTTGGGTGTGCGATAGCTAACGTGTTCCATATCGGGGTAGTTGCAGGACTTTTGGGATCCGATGCTTCTTCAGGATCTGTTGGGGAGCATACCGCTGGGCTAGGCGGTTGGATCGCATTAGACTCCGGCGGCGGAGTGGTTTATTTTGTGTAGCTACTACTGATTCGTTTATACCTCTGACTAGCAGCCTGCAGATATGGTGAGGTGCATTTTTTCCTGATTTCCGAGCTTATTCTTACACATTGTAATCAAATAGCAGATATTAATATAGATTCTACGTATGGCCTGTCGATCACTCGATCTGTGTCTTTTGTGGATCTATGGAGGAAAACCTACATGACATGCTGAATTCAAGTGTGTCGGTGAACGGAGAAGACCAGAAGCATTAGTTTGTTCTAGAAATTCATTGATAGGAGAAGAGTGAGTAAAATGCGAGGCCTGGAGGAACGGCATCACATTCCAGTATCGATAAGAATGATTCTTTGTATATTCGCGTGTTTCTTTCTGCGGTCCCAAATATGTCTCGCTGGGTCCAGAAAATCAATCAAAAGATCTAAAATTATAATTAGATTATTCTTTAAATAAGTGAAAGAAAGACGCTGGCCACGTGCAAGCAAATCCGACCTTGTGTGACGCCATGTTGTTCTGAGATGTTGACTCTAGTACGAGAAAGATCAAGTGTAAAGTGTGGATTCTACGAATCCTAGGTGCCTCGAACCGATCAAGGAATGTCATGCACATATCATTGATTCGTAATCCCCAGTTCTATGCGTCTACCACACATAACAAACAAACATGCAAAACGCTACTCTAACCAAGCCCAAGCCACCACGTCCCAGATGCTAAAATCATGCCTTCCTGCCCGCATCCAGAATCGCCAGCCCATCCTCATCAAAGTACACGGGCACGCCGTGGCGGAAGGAGAACTGCAGCGCCGTGGCGATCTTGGCGGCCTCGTACGCGTCCTCGGGCGCGCACGTCAAGGGCGCCCCGTCGAGGCAGGCGGTGGCGAACTCCTCCAGGTCCTTGAGGAAGGACTTGTCGTACAGCACGAAGGCGTCCGGGGTGGTGGCGGTGCGCACGCCGTGGGCGTCGCGCACCTCCACGCGGTTGATGGTCGAGTTGGCGTTGATCACCGAGTGCGCCTTGGTGCCGCACACGCGCGTCATCCCCTCGAACCCGTTGGTCAGCGTCCGCCCCAGGTGGAAGGTCAGGATCTTGCCGTTGGCGAACTCCACCAGTCCCCAGCCGTTGTCGGCGTCGCCGTACTTCGAGAGCTCGCCGTACACGGCCTGTTGGCCCACCGCGACGACCCGCTTGACTTGCTTTTTGGGGTTGGTGAGGCCGGATTTGACGTCCAGGTAGTACCGGCCGATGTCGATCTGCAGGATTATGGTTAGTATGGGGAAGTGTAGGGAGTCGAGGATAAGGGGACGGACATCGTGAACACCCATGTCGACGAAGATGCCTCCGGATTGCTCGGAGAAGCGCACGAAGAAGCCTAGGGACACGGTGGGTTAGGTGGACCGGTTCACAGGTACGAAATGACAAGGAGAGGTGAAAACTTACCTGTAGGGTCCTGCTGGTCAAGACAAGAGCTCTCGACTGCGTGGACGTCTCCGAGTGCGCCAGCCTCGACCATCTGCTTCACCTGGCGGTACGACTCATCATCTAGCGCGGGTCAGCTCACCCTTTAACACTCGTTGCCACCCGCAGAAGGGAGCTGAAGTCCACTCACATCGTCGACAGAAGGGAACCAGGAATTTGAGGTGGGGCTTTGACGCAGCCTTGGCGAGGACCTCCTCGGTGGTGATCACGTCGACCGAGATCGGCTTCTCGCACATGACATGCTGGACGGAGTGTGTCAGTCCACAACCCAGATTTGAGATTGACAAAGGGCAGTAGAACTCACCAGACCCAGGTCAAGGCCCTTGATAATCAAAGGCGCGTGGGTAGCGGTTGCTGTCGAGATCAGGACGGCCTCGGCACCGCTGTTTCTCATGCAGTCCTCTGGATCAGCAAAGAACTTCACGGAGGCGGGCAGATTGGCCACCGCCCATTCGTCAGCCCCGGGCTTCGTGTCACAGGCAGCGACAAGCTCGATGCGAGGCTGCTTGAAGGCCAGTATCTCGGCGCGGATGGCGCCCAGACGGCCGAGGCCGATCAGGGCGAGTTTGAGGCGCGGTTGCGTGGTCATGTTGATGGTTGTGAGTGTTGTGGTTTGTCTGGAGGAGGAGTGATGGATTGCGTGGGAGGTCTTGCGTTTTATCTCTATTTCTGAAAGATCGCTTCCCCAGACATGTTCCGGAAAGCCCTAACTCAGGGCCCGACGATGCGAATGCTGCACGCGGGGGATGGCAGATGTCCGATCTCCGATGCTTTGGTCCGACGTCGGGTGCGTGCCGGGAAACCAGCTTAAGTCCGACTCTTGTTTGGGCCGATCGGACATCGCACGGGTAGAAGGCGGTTGGATTCAGTTCACAACCAGAGTAGAATCACATCATGGATGGCAAAAAGCGACTGCTATTTTACATATTGATTGGGTGTCTTAGTTGTATATAGGTTACCTGGCATCTACTTGTTAAGGTAGCCCACAGTGCTCGATCATTGTTCAAAACTCTTACCTCATCCGTAGAACTAGATGACTCGTACTGTACTCGTATACATTTTCGGTTGTAAACTAGCCATTCAAATCGAAATACTTAAAAATATTCTCCAAACTCTCATTACAATCCTAAGTTGCACTAATTATGACCTTACAGATGTCATACAAAATTGCATATAGAGTCACCAAAAAGAATGTTCACAAGAACAGAAATTAAATAGACAGCTAGCATGTAAGCTACCCAAGAATTGTGGTATACCACCACCCACAGAGCAAACATATCAAACATCACCCTTCGTTATATCACTCTACCTTCTCAGTATACACGTATATAAATACGTATACACCCCTAGCCCAATCCCAGCAAAGGACCCAATCCCAACATATAGCATCAACCTCAACCATAACACCATCCCTTCACCCCCAACCCACCCCACCAACTAACCCCTAACACCCCCAGAACCACCACAATCAACACCCTAAAAGAAAGCAATCGGATTCCCCCCCTCCCCCTTAGAACCAACCGCCTGCTCTACATCCCAATGCTCCACCATACACGTCCCAACCATGCGAATAATATCCACGAGCGCCGACTCCCCGCCCTCCGCCCCATCCTCCTTCGGATTCGGGATCACCCGCGTATGCGCCACGCCAAACGCATTGCCCGCTGCGTCCCACCCCACGAACGCCCGCTGCAGCTGCGAGGTCACGTCCGGCACGAGGTTCGTCAGCTCCGCGGCCGTCTCGGTCACGCCCGTGCCGGCCACCAGCGGTGAATGGTTGATGTATTTCCCGGCGACATAGTGGCTCAGTGCGTCGGTGAGGCGGTGCTCGGTGTACATCAGGCTGGTGAAGGTGGTCCACGCGGCGAGTTGCTCGGCGGGGGTCGCGGTGGGGGTTGTGGTGTTGGGGCAGTTGAGTTGGGTGAATTCGTCGGTGTCAGGGGATGGGGTGGTGGATGTTGCGTGGGTGCTGGTGAGGAGGAGGAGGGGGAGGAGGAGGGTGGTGGTTAGGGATTGGAGGTACATCTTGAATCGAGTGCTGGAGTGGATGGGAGGTAGGTGCATACGTGGAGAACGCGGTGGGTTCTGTTGTCTTATGTATCGTCAGAGTTGAACAGATCGGGGTGGTTGGAAGGAATGTCGAGTGGAATGTGTCGGTTGTTGGGTTGGGGGCTCCTCGAGTATGGGTCTGAGTCTAGGCCCATCGAAGGGGATATAGGCGGTGCGGTGAGTGGTATACTGTGTTTATTTGAAGAGGCGGTAGGAAATACTGATTAGACAGATAAACGGTGAGACCTAAGTTGAAAGAGAAAGTGTAAAATTCTTGGTTATCGAAAATAAACTCTGGGATATTAATACGTGATGCGATATACCAAGCATAGGCAAAACAAGAAACCTTCATTGCATCACTCATGCATGTCTATAGTCTATCATCATTGACCCATTAAATCGGCTCATCCCGGGGCTCGATCAACACCTCATTAACGGAAACATGTGCGGGCTGGCGCAGCGCATACACAATCGAATTGGCGATATCCTCCGGAGCCAGAACCTCCGCCCCCGACGGCTCGCCATACTTCTTAAGCGCTTCCGCGTCTGTACTCATCCCCAATAGATCCGTGGCAACGTTGCCAGGCTGCACACTTGTCACGCGCAGTCCCGTTCCGGCGGTCTCCAGACGCAAAGACTGCAGAGTAGCCTCCACGAAGAACTTGCTAGCGGAGTACACGCCCAGACCCGGGAACACCTTCCGGCCGGCATCAGAGGAAATGGCCACGATGTGTCCGGCGCCGCGGGACAGCATGCCCGGGACCGTAGCCGACAGGCAGTGCAGGAGACCCTTACAGTTCACATCCACCGTCCGCTCCCATTCATCCGTCTGCACATTGGCCATCATGGTGAAGTACATGACACCCGCACAGGAGACGAGGATGTCGATAGGGCCAAGTTCCTGGGTGGCATCATGGAACAAGGCGTCCACCTGTGCCTTGTTCGTGACGTCTGTCTTTTTAGCAATAATCTTGCCTCCGTGGGCTGCCAGCTGCTTCTGCAACGACTCGAGAGCTTCCACACGACGAGCGGCAAGAGCAACATGGCAACCTTCGCGTGCAAGAGCAGTAGCCACTGCTGCACCAATGCCGGATGACGCGCCGGTGACAACAGCCACACGGCCGCTAAGCGGACCTTTGACCAGCTGCGCAGTTCCGTTCAGCGCCTGTTGGCGCACAGGAGGCTTTGACAGCCATCCTCTGGCAAACCAGTGACGGGTGTAGGTCTCGAGCAGCGCCTTGTCAACCTTCGGCCGTTCCACGCATGTCCGGAACGGTCGGGTGGCCGCGTTATCCAGCACGACAATGTCCCGCAGAAATTCCACAGTCGGCATACCACTGCGGAGGATATCCACGGTGAACCCACCGTCACCACCCTTGACGTTACTGCGCTTCTCGTTCCACAGGGTAACCCATTCATCCCAGCCAAGAGGCTTTGTGGGGTAGCCCAGCTCGTTCAGAGCAGCGAACACATCGCGCGTGTCAACGGGCTTGGGGTCACCCAAATGGAAAATGGTCTGCTCAGCATGGGTCTGAGTGGCTAGATGGACGATGGCCTTGCTTACGAAGTCCACCGGAGTCATCTCCGCGCGCCAACCTTGAACTTCAGGGGCGTAGCCCAACTTGATCGATTCCACAATCAAAGCGGAGAGAAGATCCCATGCGTTGGCAGCACCGGTAGTACTATGTCCACTGATCGTGCCGGCACGGTGGACCTTCACGGGCAGACCGCGACGGCCGGCCTCGAGAACGAGCTGCTCCGCGACCCACTTAGTTTGTCCGTATCCATCGAGCAGCTTGGTCGGAACATCCTCCACATCCAACAACGTGTCCTCCGGCCAGCCTTTCTCGCCCGAGGCGGGCAGGACCCCGTTCGTGGAGACGTACTGCACTGTGGCGCCACTCTTGCTCGCCAACCGAAGAATCTCACGCGTACCACCAACGTTGGGCCCGCGCAGGGCGGCATAGGGGTACACGAGGTTGACGGTAGCCGCAGCATGCACAATCACCTCGACACGAGCAGCCAGCTCATCGAACGCCTTCGCTGAAAGACCGAACCGTGTGCGAGAAAGGTTTCCTGGCAAAATCTCTACACGCTCCATCACGGAATCGCGCCACAAGCCGAGATCAAGAAGGTTCCGGCGAATGCGTGCCACGCCCCCGGGCTGATCATCATTCGCAGGCTCGTTAAACCGCACCAGACAAATGATCTGGGCGGAGGTGCTTTCCAGCAGATCGTGGAGCAGAAAAGCGCCGAGGAAACCAGTCACACCCGTCAGAAGGACGGTGTTGGCTTTGTCAAGGGCGCAAATCGTGGCAGGGTTCGCAGGTCGGATGTCATCGTCGAGAGTAGCGTCCGCACGCAAAACAGCTGGAAGATCAGCTTGCACTGCGGCTGTGTGTCCATCGCGAATCGCACGGACGGTCTCCAAGTGGCCAGCCAGGGTTGTGGTCTCCGCCAGCCGAGCAATGGGGACCCGGAAGCCAAAGTGCCGGGACAGGCGTGAAGAAAGGTCAGCAAGCGACAAGGAGTGACCCCCTAGGTCGAAGAAGTCATCCGTAGCAGTAAGAAGAGTCTTGGATGTCTTGAGAGCTGCAGCCCAGCAGGCTGCGACCTGGTCCAGAGTGATCGGGTCTTGATCCGCCGCTTTGCCGTTACCGTTGGTGTGAACATCAGTCTTGGGGGGAGGCAAGCGCTTGAGGTCGACCTTGCCCGTCACATCATGAGTGGGGAGTTCCGGCAGTTCTACCCACAAAGCGGGAATCATATAGTGCGCAAGGGACTGCGCCAGGATGCGACGCGCCGCAGGGCTGTACCCGGCTTCGTTAACCTCAACCGTCGGCCGACCGGCAGCGTTCCTGTCTGGCACGATGTAGGCCACCAGCTGCCGTTCCAAACCCTCGCCATGAGCGACAACTGCACAGTGACCGACCGCGAGGTTTTTGACAATCTCGCTTTCGACCTTGGCCGGCACCACGGAATATCCTCGCAACTTGATCATCGATCCTACGCGACCGGTAATTTCGAGGAGTCCCGAGGGCAGCAGCCGGGCCAAATCACCGGTGCGGTAGAGGCGAGACCCGGGCTGTGTATCAAAGGGGTTGGGAGAGAACGCTTTGGCGGTGGTCTCGGGCAAATTGAGGTATCCACGGGCAAGCAGTGGGCCGGCCACGAAGAGCTCTCCACTGACTCCCGCATCGACCGGTTGGCCACTCTCGTCCAAAATGTAAATCTGCTTTGGATCTAGAGGCGGACCGACCGGGCAGTAGGTCGCTTCCTCATCAATGATCTCCCGAATATCCCCGCAGGCGATCTCATGCGTCTCGCATGCACTGTAGCAGTTAAGTAAGCGAGTCTGCGGGAGAGCCTTGATCGCGCGACGGGCCAGATCGGTCGTGACCACTTCACCATTTAGCCACAGCGTGCGGAGCTCGGGAAGACGTTCATCGATGTGGGGATGACGCTGCAGCACGGTCGCCAGCAACGTGGGCGTCATCAAGGTCTCTGTAATCTTTCTCGCTGCCAGCAGGTCGACCAATGCTGCAGGATCGTAGCTCGCGTCGTCCGGCACTGTCACCACGGTGGCTCCTCGCAATAGCGGCCGCAGGATCTCCCAGATGAAGAAGACATTGCAGGCCACACGGTCGCCGGGTTGCAGGTCCTGAACCCCGAACCGCAGATCATAGGAAAGCACTGGAGCTCGGTGAGGATTGGCAATACCCTTGGGCTTGCCTGTCGTCCCAGACGAGTAGGAGACGAATGCCAGTCGGTCCAAATCATCGTCGGCTGGCAGCGGAGCCGGCTCGGTCGCGTAACCATTTGCATGGGCGGCCGGCTCATCTAGGACAATCAAGGGCACCTTGCTCTTGATCTTGCCCACTTCCGCCCGGTGAGTGATCACGACAGCTGGGTTGCCGTCCTCGATCACGTCCGCCAGCAGCTCTGGCGGGTAGGCCAGCTCCAGGACGAGAAAGGCGCCCCCCGCCCGCAAGGCGGCCAAGCAGGCAATCACATAATGGGCACTTCTTGGCAACAGCACGCCCACCAGCGTATCTCGGCTCACTCCATATGTGCGTAGGCGGCGGGAGAGGCAGTCGACCTCGCGATCGAGCTCCGCGTATGTGAAAGTGGTCCTGTCATCCTCGAGGGCGACCGCGTCGGGGGTCGCTTTCACTTGGCGAGAGAATAGGGCCGACAGGTCTTTTGTGGTATCGAGGAAGGGCATGTTTTCGTTAAATTGAGAGAGAAGGTGGACGCATGAGAGGGAGGAGGGAGTCGGCGAGAGGAAAGGTGGAGCTCGGGGAGTATTCAAAGGGACTGGGCAGGCATGCGTTGTCAGCTTGATGCAGTGATAGGTAGGATTGCATTACACTGCAGACTCACCGGCAGATTGATGAAAGAATTGGAGGAGAGCTTTCTTCTCACCGAGCAGGACAGAAGGTGTTGTGTTGTTGATTAAGTAGTAGTGACAGAATGTTTAAAGAAAGAAAGAGAATTGAGAGCGGTGGAGGAGGGAGGAGGGAGGAGGGGAGGAAGGCCCCCGGGGGTGTTTGTGGGCAGAGAGTCGAGACATCGTGGCATAACCGGTTTGGGTTAGTCTTCCCAACATCATCCATATTCATGGATCCATCGATCGTATCTGCAAAACTGGGTATCCATGGCTCGCCAGTACCAGACTATCCAGTGAGCGGGTTGCTCCAGGACTTCGAGAGGTCTTCAACTCATGAGGGTGGATTTCATAAAGTTTCAGCCAGGTACTTATAACTTTAGTTACTGGGTATATTTAGGATGACGGTGGTATGGTAGCAAATGGCCGTAAATTGTCCCCTGTCGTGCATGCATCAGTGGCGGAAATGCCCCCCCTCCCCCCTCTTCGTTCTCACCGTGGACTTCACCACCCGACTGGGCACTGCACTACTCCTTCTCCCGTCCGAGTCTTCCCCCTCTTTTGCCGAGTCACCTGACCTCTAACTTACCCATGTCCTGGTCTCTCCGCATTGCTGGTTGTTGCTGGTTGGGGGCCAAGCGGTTCCACCCGACCTCCGTCTTATTATCGTCGGGTATCGATTGGTCGAAGGCGCTGACAGGTGGGGCCTCTGACATGTGATTGCGGGTCAACTGTTGGTCCGGGCTCGCAATCACATGCTTGCGGCGGTTTTTGTTGAGAGTCGACCTAAGCTGAGGAAGCCAAGCTTAGTAGGAAGCTGATGCTACAGCAATTGATTCTCCAGCTCCTCCAGGCTCACATGACTTCTTGCCTATATTGCTCACCGCCTTTGATTTTGTTGAGATTAAGATCAAGAAATGACGGTGCCATCATGGATCATGGATCATGATCCTGGATACTACTACCGTGGACACCTGGCTAGGCCCTGGAAGGAAAAGATAGTGGGGCGCTAGCTCTATCCCAGATCAGGAAGGTACCCTGAGATTTCCCATACAAAAACGACTGCCGGTGCAATCAGCCAAACGTGGCCTTCGCGCCTTCGCAGCCCACAAACCTAACAGCCTTCCCACACATTATCCAAATCATCAAAGCCCATGGGGTCTACGAGGCGTTGGCGAGAATCCAACAATAAATTCAGCAAGGCATCGTCACGCATCCTAAATTTAGCTACCGCTACGGATCTCATGATAGAAGAGGGTGTCACCGCCTTCAGATCATGTGACTGCGTCTACGGCGTGCTTGCCCGCCCGTAGACCGGATTCTGCCATTGGCAGCTTCCCTTACATTCGTCTACATGACAGAGGCATCTATTCATTACCTACCTAGGTACCTACTTCAGGCTGTCCGACATGAAACACCGAATCAGTTCACACTTTGCAGAGTCTTTCCTCCACAAAGATGCAAAAAGCGCCGCCTTACCGATAGATTATATACACCAGCTGAACGGCTATACCGGCCGCTCTTAAGGACTAGCGTGGGGCATGAGCGTCTTCCAGCCGCACCCCCTCATCTCCATCCATCAGCCACATAAAAGCTTGCAATCTCGAGCCAGATCACGCCAAGCGGAAGTATTGTACCAAGATCGGTATCACCACTGACTGATCACCCGCATGGAGAACCACGATTTTTTCAACGAGCACGAGGACAAGGTGGAGGGAATCCGGAGTTCGTCCAAAGATGGTGTTTCCACCCTTCCGATGATGGGTGCTGTCACAGGGGGTGAAATTGACCCCTTCAGAACATATCCCTCCACACTGCCCTCGGACATCGTCAGCAATTGCTTGCAGTATCGTATGTATACTGAATTACGGACCCCCCCGAAAGTCTACTCCCCACTGATTCTTGGCTGTAGGGTTGAGCATCATGACGCCTCGAATGATCCCGAGCTCAGGAGCCATGAACCCTTATCTGGATGCTTGGCTGCCCATCTCCCTGGAGAACCCAGCGCTGTTCAATGCGCTGCTGTTCTCAGCCGTCACACATAGGCTCACGCATTGCCTCGTGAATCAAAAGAACACACCTACCTCGATGGTCTTGGAGAACAAGCAGCTGTTAATGTTATGTCAGCAAGAGGCAGCGACGAGAGCGAACAAGGCGCTGCAGCACGCTGCGACTGCAGTAACAGACGCAAGTATCCTGGCCGTTCTCATGTTAACTGAGGCAGTGGATCATGCCTTTCAAGATCGAGATTGGACCGGCTCTTCGCCATTCAATTCGCCACTACAAGGTCTCCAATGGCTCAATATTCACGGGGCGCGTGTGCCGCACATGTCTCATCAGGCGGGCCTCTGCAAGCTAGTGGCCCTGAAGGGCGGGCTCCAAAGGATCAGGATTCCGGGAGCCTCCTTGGCGATTTTCTAGTAAGGTCCTAATGTGTTTCTTTGGTAGCAGCCTCGCTAATCTTGCACTTAGCCGGACCTTGGTGAACTCCACTTTGACCTTGAACAAGCCTCAGATTCCATTCTATTCCAACCGCGGGCATGACAATTCCGATTGGCGGTTCCATTTCAGTTCGTCTGGGGGATGGTGGGACCATGGGGTGCAGAAATTCCAAAATGCTGGACTACCATTTGCCCTCGCGTGCGTTTTGCAGGGTTTCGTCATGTACTGCAGCATGGTACATGCATATGTGAACGGTGACAATGCACCACACGACACCAGCTTGTTGTGTGACATCCGGAACCTAGTCCACTTCCATGTCATGTCGCTGCCCACAGGAGCGGAATGCGACGACAGAGAATGGTACCCCGGATATGAAGCCTGCAGACTTGGCCTGCTCATATTCAGCGTCGGTGTCATTTTCCCCATTCCTCCTGTCGGCTCGCCACTCCCCCGTCTCGCAGGGCTTCTACGCCGGGAGTTGAGCGAGGAACCTCTATTCGATCAATACACCCTCGACGCGGACAATGGGCTTCTCGTGTGGCTTCTTACGATCGGTGGCATAGCCGCGCAACACACCATCGAAAGATCGTGGTTCGCACAGAAGCTTGCGTCCGTCGTCAGTCTTACCTCGATCCCGAGCTGGCGTTCTCTCCGGGCGCTGCTTAAGGCCTTCCCTTGGTTGGATTGTGCATGCGATCATGCCGGGGAAAGGCTGTGGGAGGAGGCCCAACGATCCACCTCTCCGCCGTCCTTGACAGATGCGCCAGGTACTCATCGCTACACAACGAGGCTCCAGCCATGTCTCCATTGCCGCCGACGAAGGGTGAAATGTGACAAGCAGCAACCATGCCAGAACTGTGTCAAGCATAACCTTACTTGCAAATACACGACTTCGACACTCGAGGAACAGATTGATACTTCAACTACGGGGATGACGCATGCCTGCGGCGTGTGCCGCCAGCGGAAAGTCAGATGTGATGGAAAGAGACCTTGTAAAGGATGCCAGAAATTGCAAGTATCATGCTCAAGGTAAAGACGCTATGGGCCATCGCACAACTAGCTGAATACATATTGCTTGCTTTAGAGAATAGGGCTAAAGTCGGTTCGCTCGCAGTACTCCTTGAAGGAAGTCATCTCGATGCCGAACTATGTCCTGTTAGAACCTTGGCCCTGTTTCCAAGATCCGGGCAAAGGCAATCTGCTTACCTGCGAGGGTCGGACCACCGTGGGATCACCCCCGTCATAGCCGAACTGCTGCGCGAAAAGCACGTTCTCCCCAAATTCCCGACCGAGTCCACCAGGCAGGAGCTTCTCGAATGATTCAATGGTGTGCTGATCGTAGCCACCGTTCGGTACCCCCTGCGACTGGCACCAGATGTCAAGATACGCCTCCCATGACAGGAACTCTCCGACAGCCAAAAGGTTCAAACCGGGAAGTCCATCCACTACCGCTTTAACACACCGACCAAAGTCGTTTTGCACGTCTCCAAAGGGAACGGGAATGTCAGCCGGGCCAACCCCGGAGATTCGATAGGATCCCTCGGCTTGCTAGAGAAGAGCGTCAATAAACGTAACCTCACGAAGAACAAGTGATGACAAAACCTTTTTCGGTGTTGTCGGAAGACCCCATTGCCAAAGCAGATTGAAGTAGATCGGTGCCTGGATCTGCGAGAAGCGGTCTTTCAAGCCTGGCAGACTTCGGACATGTTCGACCACCACCGCTTTCGAGTCCATGTGGTAGACTCTGGGGAATTTTCCTTTGCTCCACTTATTGGCGGACGCCATGGAACTGAAGACAAATCGTTCCAATGTCGGAATCCGGGCGGCGGCCTCTGCCAGATTCTTTCCCTGCTGGACCTCTACTTCAAAGCAATATTCTGTGAGGTCCTGGTCTGGTCGTTTCTTCGTCATGCTCTCGGCGTCTTGGAAGATTGTCCAGAAGTCAGTCACGCCGAAGATGATGGTTGCATTCTGGAATGCTGCTTCCAGGCTGTCAGGGTAATTCAGGTCCCCGTAGACGATCTCGACGCCTCGCGCCTGTAACTCCATGGCTTTGGGGGAAGATGGGTTGCGGGTGACACCGCGGACCTTCCATCCTGGAAGCTGGAGGTATGTGCTTGCGACGGAGCCCCCCTGTAGATTGTAAGTAAGAAGCCCTGGATTCGTGGGAAGCACACTTGCCTGGACTCCCGTGACACCTGTGATGACAATCCAATTGGACATCTCAGCACTTCTTTTGGGCTTTTATGGCCGGGGATAATAGATCGTGGGTGTGCTGACAGGCGAATGATTCGTTATTCGTTATTGTGAGGTCAAGCAGCTTCTTATATCATTTTGGAATAACTTCGGTGTCGAATTACCTCGACCAGAGGCTCATGGGGCACTTCCAGCAACCCTTTCATTCTCTCGTGGTAGTATTGGTAATCAAGGAAAGCGTCCAAGAGCCTCAAATCCTTACGTCTGCATGAATTTACCACACCCAACTCTTCGTATTCACATTCTGCTGATGAAGCATGCATTGCCAACCTCCCCAAAGGTCGGGTCCAAGAATGTACGGTGATTGGCTCAGCGCGGCCCTCGCCGAGCTCGGCGAGACTAGTCCCTACTAGGTAAGCGACGCCGATGGCCGGGGCAGGGACCCTCCCGCCCCCACGGCCCCGATCTAATCTACATCTCCGTCAACGCTTCGGCTGCGGCTGAGGTAGATCTCACGAAACTTACTAATGCTCATGCCGCATGGATTTCCAAGCATCGGCTTGCTAAGCAGCAAGAATGCATCGTGCCAAAGACCTTGTGCGGCTCTAGTCGCAGGATGATAGCTATAAAGAGCAACGCGATATCCGGCCCAATGCCACTTTTCTCACCATCACATAACACAATCCACCTGTGCAGAACATCCCAAGTCTCCATCCCCATCAGTCCAGACTTTTCTCGAGCTCAAACTGCCTGAAAACCTCAAAATGTCTCTTCAAGCCTCCCTCCAAAGCGCCTACGCCGACTTCCAAAAGGCGGCCCCAGCCCCCGTCATCGACACCTTCAACTCCGGCGTGCAAGCCCTGCAAGACTCCTTCGACGCCAGCAAAGCCATCCAGCCCGGTCAGAAGCTCCCCGACTTTACCTTGAAAGACGCCACCGGCAATGAGGTCACCAGCGCCAGCCTCCAAGCCAAGGGCCCCCTCCTCCTCTCCTTCTACCGCGGGGAATGGTGCCCCTTCTGCAACCTCGAGCTGCGCGCTCTGCAATCCCGCCTGCCGGAATTCACTGCCGCGGGCGTCACTCTCGCGGCCGTCTCCCCGCACCTCCCGGACACCTCCCTGTCCGTGGCGGAGAAGCACGCCCTTGAATTCCCCGTGCTCTCGGACGTGGGGAACCAGCTCGCCCGGCAGCTGGGGATCGTGTGGAAGCAGCCCGAGGCGTTCGGCCCGATCCTGGCAGGCTTCGGGGTCGATTGGGAGAATAAGTACGGCGACCAGAGCTTGGAGGTGCCGATCCCGGCGACCGTGCTCGTGGGCGCGGACGGGCTGGTGCGCAATGTGTTCTTGGACCCGGATTACACGAAGCGGTTGGAGCCGGAGACCGCTCTGCAGTGGGTTCGCGCTCTTTAGGGATCTAATGTTATGGATTATTGGGTACATATCAGATGTCTCTAGCTCTTTAGAAGTGCCTTTGTTTGTGCCTAGCTCAATTTGATGGAAACTTGTCTCACGTTACTTCTTCTGACTGGTGTAGAATTTCTTGAGTGAATCTCCATATTCGATGCGTGAAATGCAGTGCCAACAGCCACTAGTGGCCCTATCATAGTTTGATTTCCATCGATATTGCACTCCTCTAGCCGTGGGTACGCGGCCATTATCGCCCTTATACTCCGCTCGCATGACTCAATCACGTAGTTCAGCCGTGAAGCATATTGTCGACATACTGGACGGTCTAACCATCGCAGCAACAATCACCGGTGCAACCTCGGGGAGTTGAATGTTGCATTAGACAATATCACCTGTCCATATGATCTCTTACTGTCTCGGAATCTGAGAACAACAATGTAACCCCGAGATTTTGACAATTCCATAGATAGATTGATTCTGCCACCGCAAACTCCAGGCCAGCCCAGTTTTCAGGCGCCGACCTGACTCAGTCGACGCTACCTACCTGCACATACCCGAGTCATATGAGACAAAGTCGGTAGAGTGGAGTGTCGGGTTCGCCGAAGGGTTCGTGTTCGATAGTCTAGATCGCTGACGGACACGGAGACGGCTTGTGCTTAATTGCTTTAGCTGCGCCGAGCTCGGCGAGCCCCGCGGAACCTACGCAGGAACATCGTCCACTCTGTATTTCGGATATCAGCCTCTTTTCAGATAGTCTAGCTGAAGAAATGCAGCTTGATGTCTTGGTTCACGAGGCTAAGCCGTGCAGAAAGGGCATAAGCTTACCAAGCCGATTGATGAGAGATTCAAGTGGAGCTTCGCAATACGACCGAGCCAATCGTGCCCTAATCAGGTTCCGAAAGGTCCAGCGGTATCTACTCGATTTTGAGACCTATACGAAGTATGCATGCTCTGACTCGAGCGCGCATCATGTCCGTGAGGCTGAAGAAAGGAGACTCCTACCACATTGGTCTTTCAAGCAGAGACACTCAGGTTGAGTGCATAGGCAGGGGCATCTGGAAACTACATAAAGTCTCTTCCGACGAGACCACTTCATCCTCTCATCACCCTCGACAAACCAATTCTCCTCACACCGCAACATTACATCTGCCTACCTGCATCTACCATCCTCGCTCTCTATCACAATGAAGTCCATCGCAGCCGCCGCCACTCTCCTCAGTCTCCTCCACGGAGCCACCGCCTCCATCACCTGGGGCACCATGTGCACCGGCACCGAGTTCACGGGCACCTGCACAAACTACCAGAGCACCAACGTGAACCAATGCAGTATGTTCTCACCCTTGCCCTGGCTCTCCCCGAGTCCGCCTTTTCTTAGCATGCTGACAGCCGAAAGTCTCCTTCGCCGGCAAGGACGCGAGCTGGAATGATAAAGTCCAGTCCGTCAGCGTGTGGGACGGCAATGTCTGCACCTTCTGGATGTAAGTGTTTACGATCACTGGGGGAAGGATGGCTATCGTGTACGACAGGACTGATCTCTCTCTCTCTCTAGCGATGTTGGCTGCAGTGGCTCCAGCAGCGGAGCGCTGGAGGGGGCGTTTGCCACCATTGGGCAGCCTAAGCAGTGGAGTTCGTTCGCCTGCAACTATGCCTAGGCGTGGTTTGTCGAGTCTGCAGGCCTGCTGTGCTTGTGGGTATAGAAGGAGTGGGGCGCCGAGGTGGGGGGAAGAAGGCTGTTAAGGGACCGCTTAGCGTATTCAACATAGGCGGGTTGGGTTCTCTACAGCCCACGCGGGGATGAATACTGATGGGAGGTGGCGAGAGCGTTATTTGTCGCATTGTACGTAAATGAAGAACCAACCGTAACGTTCTTGAACATGTCAGGTGAACTATGTTGCTCGGCTAGATTTGAAGACGAACGCCATGCAAGGTATAAGCTGATCTAGTCTAGCATTTAGTTTTATTCATATTATATGGAGGTTTGCTACAAGGCGATATAAGAGTCTTGATACCCGAAAGCAGTCACAATATGCTACACACGGTTGATGTACATAGTGATATCTCAGGGTAAAAGCAAATATGTAGTAGATGGGATGACGTGGCAGTGCCAGCGCCAAGGCCTGCCTAGAAAGAGCAAACAGTCCTTGGCTGGTAGAAATAAGTGATATCTCTTTCTGTTCAAAGATCATCCCTGACCAATCAGTTCTCAACGCTGCGTCTAAGCCACACCTGTTAGCTGCCTGATCTCATTTGTCAATTTAGTATCAAGCGTATCCGCCTGACCGAGTCAGGCCTCCAGCTGTTCCATCACACTGCGTACGCCAGCCTTATCCCCTCTTCGTGTATCATCTCCTTCCCCCATCATCCGCAAAACACCGAAACCCGACTCAAGATGACTACTATCCCCAGGCTGAAAGGCCTCACACTCTGGGGGGGCAGGAACGAAGTGGTGAGTCTCCCCCCGCCTGATCGCTCGAGTTCGGTCCCTCATCAGTGGACCGCGTTATACCTCGTTTCTCGCCCGCTCCCTGACAAGGTCTCTGCCTTCCAGTTCGATATTACCAGCCACGATCAGGAATATGGAAACCCCAAGAATGGGCTCTGGTCCTGGTTCGAAGTCTCGATTTTAGGCGCCTGGGCCGAAGAACCCGATCCCAACTTGTTCCACGACTTGAGTGGCCCGGCCTACGTCCGATCGAGTCCAGAGGAATTTGGCGAGTGGATTCAGGAGCAAGGGCTATACTTCAAGAATCTGCCCATGGGCCATGCCCAGTCGAGTGGAGATATCAGCACGACCCTGGTGAAGAATAATCTTCATTTTCAATGGCAGCAACAAGTCGTGACCTGGAAGCGAGGCGGGAATGAAGATGAGAAGAGCGCTGAGCACTTTCTGGACCTCATCGAGGAAGGCGATCGGCTGGTGATCTGGGCAAGAGTACGGGTATGCTCATGCAGTAGTCTTAAGCACCAGGAGAACTGCTAACGAATCATCCAAGTTTCCAGGGTAGAGAAATGCGGTCAAAGAAGCTCAAATAACGATATCGGCTCCGGTTCTGATGCCAGATCATGGGGAAGGTTGCGATGTGTGTATAAGAACTCTTGGGATGTGAAAAGTCAGAATTTAATGTGGGTGGACAGAAAACTAGGATTGCAACACCCACAAGTATCACGCCAAGGCCTCATGCTAAACGCAAAACTATTCAACAATTCATGAAGGAACAAGGGCTATCGGCCCTCGGAAATGCAGCAACGCAGACCAGGAATGCCTTTATCGCTTCTATGAATGCTGATAATAATTGGTGGGCTTGTATGGATCCAAAGAGCCGTAGATCCAGACACCAGAAGTCAGATATAGCCACCGAACGAATCCTCCGCAAGGAGGAAGAACTGTCGAGACTGCCGGATAATGACCCTGGAAGGGCAGGTGTCTTGAGAAGTATTGCATTTGAGTACGAGGCACGACAATCCGCCACAAGTCAAGAGGAGGAAGAAGATCTCAACAAAGCAATCGAATACTCCCAGTTGGCAGCCCAAGCTAAGCCAGAGAAGCTCGCGTATCGGATGTTCCTGATTATGAACCTGCAAATACGATATGGACGAGCCAAGCAAAGCACAGACCTCGACCTGATCATCACCGAAATCGAGTCAACCGGGGCTCTTGGAGGGCATAGTAATTTCGTCTTCTTATTGGGATTTGGTGCTTTCTATATCACGCGGTACGATGAGATCGGGAACACAGACGACTTGCAAAAGGCCCGGGATATCTTCAAAGAGGTTCGCCACATAGTCCCAAAGGAGGATTTCCTTGTTCAAATCATGACAAGTGGCTTGGAAGAGAAGCATATGGCGTACGTTCCTGCCGAGCTGGCGATAGGTGAAAAGTTTGACACTTCTATCAATAATGCGGAGCGAGCTATTGCCCTCGCGGAGGTCAATTCAACAATATATCTGCAGCTCCTTCATAACCTTCATGAACAATACTATCGACGATACCTTCAAACGGGGCATAGCAGGGACATAGATCTCGCAATCGCCAGGGCAGAAAAGTCCCTCTCGTTGGAGGTGTCAAAGAACGATTCGATAATAAGGTGGCACACGGCTACTTACTCCATGGCGAGGTGGCATCGTCAGGGACGACGCGAGGATTACGACAAGGCACAGGAGCTGACAAACACAGCGATAGATGCCGCGATCAGTGGTAGCGCCGAACAAATAGGATTCATCACACAAAGGGCGGTATGGATGGCAAGAGACGATCCAGACCGGACTGACCAGACACAGGCTCTGCGAGCCTCTATCGAGGAAGTAGAGAATATACGCGCTCATTCGTACGATGGTCTCAATCCACGCTACAAGAAACAGATTTTATGTGCGCTTGGTGGACTATATAAGGATCTCTATGGGTTGACCCACGATATCGCCGACCTTGACAAAGCAATCGACTCAATGGAGGCTTTCTTTGGTCTGAATGTTGACGATACGAGCTCAAATCGGTTGATAATGGGAAACCTGTGGCTCGCGAAGGCCTCTCGCACGAACGATACTACAGCCTACCGTCGTGGACTGCGGAGCTTCCAGCGATGCTATGAATCTGATCAAGCCCTGCCTATAGATCGTGTACGAGGTGCTTCGTGCGTCATGCATCACGCAATACATCACCTAAACTGGACAGCGGCTAGAAGACTCGCAGAAGAAATCATATTTCCGCTGATACCTCTTATCAGCAGCCGCGACCTGAAGCATGATGACAAGACTTACAATCTGCAGAGCCTGTCCGGTCTCGCTGGTCACACCTGCGTCGCATTACTTCGGAGTGGATCTCTGACAGAAGCACTTCTGAAAATTGAGAGAATCGTGCGGTAGCAGAGGCGGTTCATGATGCAACACTTAGAATCAGACGGCAGTATTATGACAGTCCAATGTCCTGGGCATTGTATACCCACAATGGGGCTTGAACCTGTGTTCAGAAAGATATTTGCTGGGCAGCATGTTGGAGCGTGATAATGCAGAGATAGATGGCTGTCATCAAGTGTCCATCCCGCGTATCTCGACCCTCATACCTGCTGTTATAGCCGCCAACCTCACGGTACCACTGCCTACCACTTGCCGTCGAGAAGCGATTGAAGGACAATGAGATCCGGACATCGCATCTAAAACATTGCTCTATCCTAATAAGTGTGTTTTGATGGCGGACATTTCCAAATAGACGGATTGACGCTGGCACATGAGGGTGTGGAGCTACTTCTTGCTCTTGCTTTCCTTCTTCCGTTTTCTTTACTGTCTCACCCATGTAACTCGGTCTCAAGGCTCACTAGGGTTTCCAAGTCTCTTGTCCTTCAACTCACTCGCTGCTCTAGAAACGATTCCTCAAACCCTAACATGTGACACTATCATTTTAACACCTTGCACAGGGCTGCTCGTGCAACACATGTTTGAGATGAGCCGGAAGTATTCTTCAAATTAAGAGATATAGGCCGATCATTATCGCCAAACCATCTTGAAGCCCCTCGTTCTTTTACTGTCACTTGAAGCGCGAGTGACTGGTAATTTTAGTACGGGGCCCAGACCTCTGTAACATCACGACTCCAACAAACAACTTGTCATCCGGCATTTTAAACCCCCACAGCCCGATCACCTCTCCCTTAGGTAAACTTCCTTCCCCTTTCTGCGCTTCTCCCGCTGTACGACGGTAATGCGATGTATACCTGCGTTGAAGAAAGTCGACATCCTCGTGATCTGTTCTCCCCGTCATAGAGGGCAGATTCCTCTTCGCGGACGGCGTGGAGATAACGGCGCGTCGGGTCTTTGTCTTGTCACTCCGTTTCATGCAGTCGAACTGATCCTCCATGTCAGTGTGGTTTCCATTTCCTCCTGGGTGAGAAATGGGCAAAGAGGAAAGAAACGCCACGCCAGGCCGCCGTATCACTAACAGTAACTTGCAGGAGGCCCGTCCAGTCCTTAATCAAGGACATCCGTTGGATATCTTCGTCCGGAGAAAGTCGCACAGAGCGAAGGGCCTGTCCAGCGGCCACATCGCCTATATCCTGAACAGCACCGGACTTATATGTGAACCTCAGGCCAGTGATGTAATTCTCCTTATTCAAGCCGTGATACCCAGTTATGGAGACCAGGCTATTCGTTCCATTACCTCCCGCCCAGAGTGCGCTTTGGGGAGTCGCCCAGGGCCGTTTCTCGAGGGTATGGCCCGGGTCCCAGAAAACCATCTTCTGACTCGGCGATTTGAGATTTTGGATTACTCGTGGAAAGTCCCACGCGCCGTTGAATACCCAGACAAGGCACGACTGTGAGGGATATACATTAACTTGAATGAAAACTACGAATTGCAAAGAAGCAGAGGCGAGAGAGCGCGCTTACCATTCCTTCGAGGTAGCTTTCTTCAAACCGTAAGATAGTATGCTCCTTGGCTGATGGCGGAGGTCCCTCCGGATACACCACAGTCTGAAGGGGAGTAGTTATCATGATGCGGACGACGCGGCCCATGAAGAACTCCTGGCACAAGGCCTTGCAACCGTTCGACAGCCATATCGTGATTCCTGTGATCGTCTCTCCGGGCTCAAGGGTGACCGACGCAGACTCAGAGATCCACTGACCGACGACTGAATGAGGAGACTCGAAGTACTCTAACCATAATCCGGAAACTTCATTGTCGAGCCGCGGGCGCTCGAGGTTTCCGCTCGAGAATCTTATACACTTGACCGATTTTAAGCTCGCAGATGTAAAGGCTCTACAACAATTGGAATTTTCTCTGATGATATATGAGCCTAGAGTGGAGGCTAGGCGTGCGGCAGTTGAAACGGGGTACGGCAAGGCCGCGTCTGTGACCCGCATTTCATACGGTGGCGGGGTTCTCTGACACTGTAATCCGAAAGCACAAAACGAGTTGTTTGATGCCTGAACATGTCTCAGTGGACAGCTTCGTCATTCCTTGGGTGTTGGGCTTACTTCAAGGGTGGCAATGAATCCAGTAATGCGCTGCCCGATGGGCGCTTGCATCGCCTCGAAAGTCATTTCCTCACTTTTGATGAGAGGATTCGAGCGAGAGTCATATGATCGCAGTGTTAGCCGGTAGTCCGACACTTCAGAGCGGCTGAGCTCATCCCACCCCGTTACGAGCTCCTTTCCAAGGTTTGTGCGCATCTGATTCACGTCAGTCTCAGTGGCATGCCGAACGAAGAGATGCGAGTACCCGAAGTAACAGGGTCCGGCTATCCTTGGTGGACTTCGCGACTGTGACACCTGTGACATACTCCCCACCGGGTCCATCAATCAATAAAGATACTTCCATCAAGCCCTGTCGACCGAAGTGGGTAGAGGTCCGGTCATCAAAATAGAAGGTGAATCCTACAATGGGTGCCGAGTCATTGAGGATATGGGTCACTATCCTTGTCAGTTGCGGAAGCTTCTCCCCGTTGGCACCCGCGAAATCAATATTCAGCATACGGTTGTACCCTTGCAATGCTGGCTGCATTTCAGGAACGAGAGATACGGCTTCTCTTGGATACGTGGGCGTCCACATTGGCTGGAGTGTGAAACTGTTGTCGTTTTCCGAAACGGTGTCACTGGCTTCGGTAAATCCCAAGGCGATCATTTTGAATGCCTTGGGTGCCACCAATCAGTAGACACATGGACGATGCGGCAGTTAAACTTACATCAAACTGAGCGACCAGTCGGATTCGTCGTGCTTTCGGAGCGCCGAAGTCCAGCTTTCCCAACGCGATATCGGCCCGGTCCGTCTCTTGATCTCGCACCCACTGCGGCGGACATGCACCGTGGTCGCTTCCTTCAACGAGCACTCTTAGATTGGTGATGCCTCGGGAACTGACTTCCAGTTCAAATCCTGTGACACAAACGGACGGGGCAATGTGAATTAGATGGCCGGCATTGGGTGGCGCAAATCCCAGAGCGATGTTGGAATACGCTTGAGTAGAAAGGTTCAGAAGTTCGAATTCCAGACCGGAGATGAAACACTGCAAGTTAAAGTCAATCACATAAACACGAATGGTCTTGACAGTGAAGTCGTCCAAAGGTAAAATGACAGTCCTGTCGTGGAGCCTCAGACTTCCTACAGAAAGTAGCCGGTGAGAGTCCTCCGACACTTGGGCGCTGAGCATTTTGCCGTGTGTCCCATTTTCAGGAGTTGTATTGGGGCTATGAGACAGACCTGCATCCTCGGTACAGATACCGCCACGAAGGTCGGTTCCATCCAAGAACTGAGAAAGCAGAGCCGCATTGATACCAGCAAGTCTCCATATTCGCCGCCGGTTTCTGGCCTGCGCAAAGCTGGAGCCGGAGGTATCGCTCAAAACATGCTTCAGCGTAAAGTAAGCGTCACGCCAGTTGAGATAACCCGTCGAGTCAGCGGGCCAAGCAAATCCCATCTCGCCATCTGCCAGAAACCTGGTGCGCCAGAAAGACTGAGGCAGCGATGACGGATCAGTCGCGGATGCGAGACTTCTTGACGCCAATCGCAAGTGCTGAATATCGGGTGAAGGGAGGAGAGACACAATCATAATTAGAACCTCGACTGAAAGTGGGGAGAATATATCATCGCGTGAAGACGGCCTCCGGGCTCTATGTGTGGATCGTTGAGGGCAGAATTGAGTGTCCGGGGTGGCACACGATAGAATCTCTGCCAGATTGCGGAACTGTGAAGGACAAGCCGAGAGATAATCAAGTCCTTGGTCGATCATATCGCAAAACATAACCCCCATCGGGTTTTGAAATTGGGCTGCGCCACCGAAGTCATGACCAGGACGAAGGTATCTTTGCTTACCCCATGTGGTACAAAACAGCATCTGGAAAAGAAGAGTGGAAAATTTGGTGAGGTCGGATCGGCCCTCCGGGACTCTCTGCAGTAGAATCTGCCAGCATAATTCATGCACGTCGAATGACCAGGTACCTGACGCTGGGTCGCGGAATCGGATGTACGACGACATCAGGCTGCCAACCCCGTCGTCGCTGAAACAGCAATCATGGTGCGAAGGGGCATGGATTCGACTGGAATGATTGACATATCCTACGCCGCTCACAGTGGCGAGTTGGGTGACTAGCCATTGATCATCTGATGTATCACCGTGAAGCTGAATCACACGGACCTGCCGGTACCATTCCAGATCGGTTGGCACGGTGCCAGGCATGACCGAGGTACGGGCAATTAGAATGCCACATATCGGACAGTAGTGATTTGGGATTGTTCGAGTCATAGAGTATTATGGATGGATGGATGGATGGATGGATGGATAAACGGATGAAGAGATGAAGAGATGAAGAAATGAAGAGATGGATGAGAGGAGGTGGAAACAAGGCACAAGGCAAGGCTGAGAGAAGTGCAGTGAGGTCATGTGATCCCCCTCACTTATATTAGCCTTATATGTATCGAAGGTCAGAGATGGTGGCCCTAACTTGCGTCTGAATCATTATCACGCATACAAGGGCTTAAAAATAGCTTGAATTAGCGCGCGCAAAGATACCTTTCTGCGCCCACCATCCCAACCATTGGGTGCAGTTGTTCGTGGCTGCATGTGCGCCAAACTGGAAGCAGATGTGCACGCCCCATGGCAAGGATAAAGGTCAAGCCTCCCCCGTGGTCGCTCCAGCATTCTGACTCTTGCTGTTCAATGCATGTTTCCATAAAAAGAAACCATCATACCATACCATTTCAGCCATGGCGGACATACCACCAGCAGGGGCCCCATTCCCCGGGAACCTCGGTATTTACAGTGCTCCGACCGCAATAAAACCCAGTTTCTGGCGAAGCCCCAGCCTTTGTTCTCTGGAACGCGCTCTGCGCAACCTATTTTCCTCCAGGCGAGGGATTCAAGATGGCCGTCGGCCGACCAGCAATGCGAACCTCTCCCGCAGATTCCTAGCAGCCACGGCTATCGGTACCAAGGTGAAGTTCTGGAAATACGACGCGCCAGACTTGCAGCTGGAGTCGGATGTCCCGACATTGGCTCCGAATTCGGAGGTGCTGGACCTCTCCCAAGCTCGTGGTCAAAACGAAGCCATTCAGATGTTGGCCTATGTGCGCAACGAAGGTTTCGACTGGACGGAGTCAGGCAAAGATGGAACTCACCGAAAGCACCACGCACGTGTGCAGTGGAAGAAAGGGATCAGTCCCGCTATGCAACGCACATCGATCCAGTAACCACGTCTGTTGTATTTCTGCGTTCACTTCCTGCTTTATTCATGTCTCCTGTCTTTGAAGCTTAATGCAAACTCTGATAAAACAATCAAACTGATGGCTCAATTCTGCGGTTAAAGAAAAGGATGCCCCGCCAGTTCGCCTGCCAGTCGTCGGTAATTATGATTCCAGAGAAGCATTTTCCCGACGAGATCCAGAAACGCCTCTCTCTCCTCTCCTTGGAGGAAGGAAACCGTATCGCCGAGACGCCGGTCGGGAATCAGATCTTCGTAGAGAAAGCGACCTAAATGTCCATTGATCACGAGTCAGATAATACTCTGTTTTGCCAAGCTGACAAATCCAAGAATCCTACCATCATTGTCAAAGAACGGCCCACAAAAGTACTCTTCCGCGTTCTCGCATACTCTGCCGTCTTCTCGTCGGACAGGTCCTGGTAACGAAAACTCGCGCATGGATTGATACCTCTGCAGGATTTCGGGAGGCGGGGGACCAAGTAAGGCTATCATTTGCGCGATGTGCAGTTTTGCATCATAGCGGCCGTGTTGGTCGTGGATATGCTGAAACAGCTCCCTACCTTCGACAAGATCCCACAACTGGATCTGATATTAGTAAAAGCAACGGTAAAAATTTCCTCGGGGAGTAGCGAGATGTACCAGAACACCTAGATTCCAAATATCGGCAGGCATTTGCCATCCAATACCCAGGATCACCTCGGGCGCTCGGTAGTGGTCCGGCTGGATTGGCCAGATGCCCCAGTCGTCGTCTTCCTCCAGTCGGGTGGCCAGGCCAAAGTCGACAAGCTGGGGGGATACTCCTGAGGCTTTTGAGTGGGCCGAAATCGTTACGGGATTGGTATACTGGTCGTCCTGTCGAGTCAATCTTGGACGCCATTGGCCTTGCAAGCTGAGACTTATGAAATCAGCGAGCACGGTCGATTCTCGAAGGAGACCATGATGTTCTCAAGCTTTAGATCTGGACGGCATGGCTCAGTATCACCTATGGAAAGACAAGGACCAATGTAACCTACCTGTATGGACTACCCTGCATTCTTGGTGGAGATAATCAAGCCCCATGAGCAGGGTACGGATGTAAGTTTTGATAAGGGGCAGTGGCATCCTCCCATCAACGAAGTGCTGCTGATACCTCGAAAGGGGCTCCCTCAGCGGCGGGTACACAAGACACGAGTGAGATCCTTCCGGGCCTTGGACCTCGAAGGAGTTGAGCAATGTGCGGATTAGTGAGCGGCCGCGATGTGAGGGGTCTGCGGTGGAAATATGCTCTTCAACCTCGCGCTCATGACCGGCATCGTGCGCATTGTTATTGGCGATCTTCAGTGCCACGATGGTCTCCGGCTCTTCGATATGGCTGTATGCTTTGTTAGAGACCGAGAGGGCTTCGAATCAAACGGAAATCAGTCAAGGCCTGCTACCGTTGTAGATCACGCGCGAGCCATACGGTTGAAGACACGCCCCAGCCGACTTTGACTACAATGTGGTAGCGATCAGCGAGTACTTCCCCAGGCTTAGCTGGGTAGAAGCACTTCGAATTGTAGAATGGCGAGATCTCTTCATCAACCAATATGCCCGGCGGTAAAGGTGGCCCGTGAGAAGGTATAGAGAACGGTCTCTTGCGCAGGAAGGGAGAGAAGCGAGGAAGAGACAATCTCAAAGAGCTCATGACAAAGAAGTTTCATGTGATGTGGATAGTTGTGGAAGGCGAGAAGCTCCAGGCGCTTAAGCAAGGCTGGTACCCGTGATCACGTGTGATACGGTCACATGACAGGTGCATCTCTTCTGGCGTTGCGGCCAGGGAACATTGAGCTTCCTGTTCTTCCTCCTTTACATGGGAGGCCTCCCTTCACAGCGGTTATGAAGATTCTTGCGGCGTAAATTCCAGCGTTAGGAGGTAAAAGAGGAGAAAGGCTGACCGTTGCAATCGCGACAAATCAGTCTACGGCACCCAAGTGGAGCAAACTACGTTCCCTCCTCCAAAATATGTCGCAACAAAAAACCCCAAGCCCGTTGTGATGGTGCACTATACTCAGTTTCGTACACCAGGTGTTGAAGCGGAAAACCCGAAGATGATAAGGTCGATGCCGCGATCAGGCCTCGGAATAGATAAGCGGGTGTGGCACTAAACCATGTTGGGAATACTGCCGCCCCGGTCGGAACGGGCCTATCTTTTGCAACTAAGAGAGTACTCCGCTAGTACTAACGTTATTACTCACTGTTTAAGTTATTCAGTTGGTTCATTGATCTTGAAGTCAGCTAATGATTAGGGCCAGCGCTAACGGGAGAATGTACAAGGCTTCAGTATATATAGATGTACATAAAGATAATAGCAGCAACTTGATGAATGGTCGCTGAGCAGATTGCAATCCCGGTGAGGATCAAGATATATCAGGGAGTAAATCATAGACCTGAATTCGCCTGCAGAAATCTGTACTGCACCACGGTCCTACGAGCGTCATGTGTAGATATCATAATGACATCAGAATTTACTGATTTATTTTCTACAATCAAAGCCCAGTGGAATTTTTTCATGTATTCTAGCCGAAGGATTGTCGACGTACGCCCAAGCGAAGGGCAGGTCGGTCCTACCCGGGACTTGCCACAACGGATGCTTCCGACCGGGTAGCCCCGAGTCCAATATCCCCCGTTCTTTCCTAGCCCCTCTTTCCTCGCCCCTAATCAAAGGGTTCTTTGTGTCAACTACTATGTACTGTACGAAGGAGGGAACTTTAGATGCGGGTTTCGAGCTACCACGCGTCATGGCTCGAAGAAATCCATAAAAGACCTAAAATCTACATCTAGGCTGCACCAAGTGGCCATAGACTGGGGGGTATCATATCGCCTGAGGCGCAAGCCGATCTCCAGAAAGCCTGCACAGCGATCGGGTTGCCCGAGACTGTCGATTGCGAATTGCCTCGCTGAAAATTGATGAAGCTCCCATGCCCGGATGTATACCACGGTCAATGGGAGGTCTAGGCCCGCCGGTGGTTCCGACCACAACCAGTCCCACTCAAATTCAATTACCCGGTCGCAAGTCTGGTTCCGACTCAGCAAACGAGACCTGGCTGGGTGATGTTGCTCCGGCGGCTGGTGTGCTGCTGGTTTCGAGATGGCTGCTTGCTATTCTCGATAGTGTCGAACGTCTGTATGCCCTGCCTGGAGTGGCATGAGAAGGGAGGCTGGAGTGAGCGCCAGTCCCTTTGGCCGTAGAATGACCTCATTCTCGCGCTGGACGCCTTACAAAGTATGGTCTTCCGCAACTAGTCCTTGGCGATGCGCTTTGCATCCGTGAGACAAGCCTCAAATGCAGCCTAGGAGCTCCGTCCAGCATTGGCATTCCCGCTCTCGATCACCGTCACCGTCTCCTGGATGATCACCTGCCCCTTGCCGGCCGCGCGACCGGCATGCTTCGCGTTCTGCGGCGACAGCAGGTCCTCCGAGGAGCTGTCGTTCCCCGTGCGTGGCCCACCCAGCGAGGTCGACTCCGGGGTGGCGATCGCCCCCTTGCCCGTCTGCACGTCGACGTGATACGACCCCGCCTCGGCCGCTGCCTGGCCCAGGCTATTCAACTCCACATGCCCCTCCCAGGTGCGGCCGTAGCCGCGGTGGAACCGACTGGACCGCTTGTTGGAGGAGGTGGCGCCGCCGGAGGAGGAGGCCTTGAGGTGGTTGAAGTAGGAGCCGAAGAGCGACTTCAGGGCGGGGATGGAGAGGGCAATCAGCGTGCTTCCGATCTCGGAGGTCTCGACCGCCAGCATCGGATCGTACGCCCAGCTGCCGTCCGACGACCATTGGCCCACCGCCACCAGGTAGATGCGCGCGCAGGAGATGGCAAGGACTCTGCCGGAATGGTCTGGTCAGCTTGGGAATGGGGAACAAAAAAAGTCATTGTTAGGCAGGGGACTCACAGAACACCCGGGAACATGATCAGTGACAGCTGGAATTTCCGTTGCCGCGAGACATGCAGCATGTAGATCAACATGGACGGCAGAACCAACATGATCAGATCGCAGACTAAGGATAGCCCCGAATTGACCGAGTAGACGTCGCCCCAGCTCAGACATTTGAACTTGCTCGCCCCGGCTTGCCATTCATACGGCCAGAGCCCGGTGACCGGTAAGCAGTGGAAGAGCAGCAGGAAGAACTGGGTGAGGAAGGCGAGCACGAGGAAGATGGAGGCAAGCTTGATGGCCAGGGACAGTTTGTCGTGTCGCGCCGCCAACCGATGGTAGAAGGCCAGACCGGACAGGCGGCAGATGAACAGTGCGGTCGTGTACAGGATGTGCATGACGAAGTCCAGGACCTCTGTCTCCTTGACCTTGGACAAGGAGAGGACGTACTCGATGTACTCGATATGACGGCCGCTGCCCAGATCAATGAGGACCATGGACAGCACGACCACGGTGATGTACAGCAGCTGCGAGCCGTTAGTCCGAGTGGGCTTTCCCTACCGGTAACCGCAGAGAGAATTACCAGAGTGAAGACGGCCAGGGAGTCGTCCATGCCAAATCGCTTCAGAAAGAAGATGCGGGCGTAGCATCTCGCGATGACCACGAGCGTGGTCAAGGCGCAGACGAAGATGATGGCGATCTTGGCCGGGCGATCGCGCGACTGGGCGAGGTATTCCAGGCTGATCCCCGCGGGGATGCGACCCGCAGCATCGGCCGCTTCAATGGCAGCTGGGATGTTGGCCATGTTGCTGCAGGCAGGCTTGCCAGGGACCACCGGAGTTACGGGGATGGAGTCGTTTTTTGAGTCAGGATGGGGACGGGAGAGAGAAAAGACGAAGCGAAGAAGTAATGGGCAGACTGGGCCAGATCTTGCATGCTCCGACGAACCAGAATTTCGGGGAGATGAGCACCTTGCGTTGTTCTCCCTGAACTAGGAGAAATGCGGATGCGAACCATGGTCTGATGGACGAGTCCACCCGGAAGGCGAACTAGGCAGTCTAGTCCAGTTTGTTTTGCATGCTGGGAACGATAAAAGTGCATTAGCCTAGGGCTATAGGCTAGGCGAGCAGCACACTATGTGTTAGTGCTGGTTAGTTCTCTCACTAGCCGATCCTGCCATGTGGGAAAACAGCCGACCGAACCATCCGACCAGGTTCGTGGGTTCTTCACAGTCTTGGTGGTTGTTATTCACAATGAAAAAAATCTCTTCTCGCGGTCGCATGATTCTCTTTTTCTTTTCTTTTTGTGATGGCGCATTTTCTGTCTTGATGACGTGCCCGGGAGCGCAACAAGTGATCGATTACCTTAAACGCGATAAACGAGCAGCCTGGCAGGACACGGACGAGGGAATCCATGGAACGGTTTTTCCCTTTCTTCTGTGAACTGGGCCGCAGTGGAGCTTACCGCTGGGGAGTCAGAACTCAGATTACGTGGAAATTACTCTTTCGGATCTCCTCGGCTACAGGGAAACCGTTGATTTAATTAATAAATTAATGATCATTCTTGCATCTTCTCAGGGGGGGGAGAAGCTTCGGGCGGGCTTCGAGAAGATAGACTGCATAGTACGGCAACTCGGAGCCAACCGACATAATTAGTTAGTCCTGCTCATTCAATTCGACTCCCTCCTGCATCCTGTCTGACTTTCTGACGGTGCCGAAGATCCGCCGGCGTCTCGACAGCCAGCTTGATCAAGCTTCGGCCGATGCTCCACTCGGTGTCCGTCCGCAGTGGCCTCATCGGCTAGTCTACTTGTCGAAACTTGAACGAGATTAATTGTCTCATGTCGACAAAGTATAAATGATTAATTGTACCCGACCAGGGAATTGGTTTCCTGCTCTCGAGACTTGCCCCTTGCATCCAGCAGCAGTATCGCTGCATCTCCCCGATCCCCCCGATCCCCCCGATCCCCCCGATCCCCCCGATCGTCGGTCGCTGTTTCGGCCCAAGCCCCATCAATCGACGATTTACTCATAATCCTACCTTTCTCGTTCGGTTCCTTTGATTTCCACTGTTTCCCTCCCACGTCATCTCCCCAGAAATGCCTTCCATCGCGTCGCGACTCCTGGCCGTCGGCTTGGCCGTGGTGGCTGCCGCCTCGTCGGCGCAGAACGACAGCCTGGTCACCCAGCAGCTGGATCTGCAGCCCTACCCCTATGACTTCCCCAAGCTGGGTACCAATGGCTCCGATCTCTTCCCCATGCGTCTCTGCCACGGGTTCAAGCTCGAGGAGGCCAGCATCGACGAGATCCAGGCCGAGCTGGAGGCCAAGAATTTCACGGGGGTGCAGCTGCTCCAGTGTTATCTCGAGCGCATCTACCAGGTTCAGCCTTATGTCAAGTGAGTGTTTTCGGAAGAAAAGCATGGTAGGGATAGGATTGGGCTAACGTGTCGATGTGCAGTGCGGTTATGCAGCTGAACCCCGATGCGGTGAGCATCGCCGAGGCGCTGGACGCGGAGCGGCAGGCGGGCACAGTGCGCGGTCCCTTGCACGGAATCCCCTTCTTGGTCAAGGATAACATCGCCAGTAAGGACAAGATGGAGACCACCGCCGGTAGTTGGGCCCTCGTGGGCTCCGTCGTGCCCCGTGACTCGCACGTCGTGCACCGTCTGCGCGAGGCTGGGGCTGTCCTGCTGGGTAAGGCGACGCTCAGTGAGTGGGCGGACATGCGCTCCAACGACTACTCCGAGGGGTACTCGGGCCGTGGTGGCCAGTGCCGCAACGCGTATAACTTCACCGTCAATCCTGGTGGTAGCAGTTCCGGCTCCGGCGTGTCCATTTCCACCAACCAGGTGCCTTTCGCGCTGGGTACGGAGACTGATGGCAGTGGTATGTTGTGCATCACACCCCATACTAGGGTTGGTCGCTAACGGAGTGCAGTCATCAACCCGGCGGAGCGCAACAACATCGTCGGCATCAAGCCCACCGTCGGCCTCACCTCGCGTGCGGGCGTGATCCCCGAGTCCCTGCACCAGGACACGGTCGGCACCTTCGGCAAGACCGTGCGCGACGCCACCTACGCCCTGGACGCCATCTACGGCGTCGATCCCCGCGACAACCAGACCGCCGCGCAAAAGGGCAAGACCCCCACCGGCGGGTACGCCCAGTTCCTGACGGACAAGTCGGCCCTGAAGGGCGCCGTGTTCGGTCTGCCGTGGATGTCGTTCTGGCAGTACAACGACGCCGCCCAGAACGCCCAGCTGATGGAGCTGCTGGCGCTGATCCAGTCGGCGGGTGCGACCATCATCAACGGCACCGAGCTCCCCCATTACAAGGAGATCGTCGACCCCGAGGGCTGGAACTGGGACTACGGCACCTCCCGGGGCTACCCCAACCAGTCCGAGTACTCCTACGTCAAGGTCGACTTCTACAACAACATCAAGGATTATCTCGCCGAGCTAAACAACACCAACATCCGCTCGCTGGAGGACATCGTCCAGTACAACATCGATAACGCCGGGAGCGAGGGTGGCCTGCCCGGGGTGAACCCGGCCTTTGCCTCCGGACAGGATGGCTTCCTGGCGTCGCTGGCGACCAAGGGTGTGATGAACGAGACTTACTGGCAGGCGCTGGCGTACTGCCAACGCACCAGTCGGGAAGAGGGCATTGATGCGGCGCTGCGCTACCAGGGCCGCAACATCACCGCTCTCCTGGCCCCGCCGGACTTTGCCCCCTCCGTCGAGATCGCCGCCCAGGCGGGTTATCCCGTGGTCACCCTGCCTGCCGGCATCAACGAGGACTCGCACATGCCCTATGGATTGGCCTTGTTCGGTACTGCCTTCTCCGAGGCGACCCTCATCAAGTACGCCAGTGCCATCGAGGATCTGCAGCTGTCCTCGCAGACTCCCTGGAAGCGTAGCCTGCCCACCTGGAGCGGGTATCTGGAGCGCAACATCCCCGTGAACTAAGGGGTCTGCCGGAGGTGGGAAGGGGCGGAGTGGATGTGTACATATGCGGTGTTCTCGATAGACTTATAATAGTAATAGATCTTCGTCGCTGTGGCTGTGTCTGTGTCTGATGTGTTGTCTTGGTGGGTTGGTGAAGCGGAAGGTGGGGAGAGGATGGGAGGGGATCTGCGGTTGATGACCAGGTACGTTAACATACCGTCTTGTTGCGTCGGAGGCAGTGCCAAACTTACTGGCTTGGATTAGAATTGTTGCTCGAATCTCCAACTTTCTCTCTGCTGTGTTATCTTAGTGATGTGGTAGAATAGGATCGCAGCCGGGGTTCTGTGGCAGTCGATGGCCAGGTGAATCAGCATACCGCCTTGTTGTGTGGTAGGAAAGTCATATACTTACTGGTTGGATGCAGACTCATTGCTCGAACTTCCACCATGTAGACAGTCCTACCCATCTCCATGGCTACCAGAGACGGACTAAGAGATGGAAGTGAACCGATCGATGGAAGTGAACCGATCGCTGAGAGGATTGAGCTTCAAGAACTTTCCGTCTGTCGCCAGAGGCGAGGCAGGGCTGCACAAGCGAGGCGGGAACGCCGGCCCTAAGGCAACAAGGCTAACCGTTCAAGGCAGGATGTCCACTGTCCATGGACTCAATCATCGAAGGTTTCGTCCGATGTGCGAGAGCTTGCCACTGGTGAGAGTGGCAGAAGGTATTTGTGGTTGATGAGAAGCTACGCCCCCCACAGCTGCCACCTTATGTCTCATGTTGCTCAGGCATGTGAGCATCGAGACCACCTTTCACCGTGGCCACACCGGGGGTATCAGACCAGTGTGGAAGGAGGCAACCGTGCAGGATGCCGCTAACCTGGGAGGTGGTTTCCCCCGAGCTGTGGATGGGCGTCTTGCCACTCGCGTAGGGCAACAGCACCTGCATGGCAAGGCAGGAGGTGAGTCGCCCACGCGGAGCAGCGACGGCCGAACGCACGATGGCGAGAATGGGAGTGGACGGACTGCCAGTGATGATTGCATGGTCCATTTCTCGGCAGACGCCGTGATGCAGATGAAATCCTGATCCAGATCGGTCGTCGCCACGCCCGGAACTCAGCTCCATCGTGATGCATGAACGTCTCACCTGGAGGCAACCGCCGAAGACCAGTCAGATTGGACAGAGGACATGCACGTGGGAAAGGGGGACTCCACCTCACGTGCTCAGGTCGAGAGTCTGCACTATGCGCTGCCTGAAAGGGGAGTCTAGCCGAGATGAGTTCCTACTGGGAATTGTGGTGGAGGAGGAGGAGGAGGAGGTGGTGGTGGTGGTGATGAGGTACCGTGGTGAGCAAGCACGGGCACAGCAGGAGGGATCCTGGTTGTGATACGAAGCGATAAGCCGTATACTACCTGAGGACTCGAACATGGAGACAACCGCATTGATGATTGGCTTCTCCCCGGATTTGAATCGACCCCACGTGGACCATGCGCGGGCTGTGATTGGTCTAAATGCTCCGCTGGGCGCCAAGAGCTGCCAAGCCAGCCTCCGAACACCGCCAAGCCCTGTGCCAAGAGCTTCCTGGGGGGTTGAACCGTGGATGAAGCAACCCTCGACCGCAGCTTAATCTCCTGCTCGAATCAGCGTTGGCCGGCCAGGAACGTGCGGAAGGGAAGACGCTGGTTCAACTGGTCCAACTGGTCAAACACACGCCACTGTCAGATGCCACTGTCCCATACTGTTACTAGCAGGTAGTCTACACAATTCATCAACCACCACCACCACCAACATTCATCCTGGTAAGCCCATCCTCAGCCTGGCTACTCAGTCAGCCATTTCAGCCATGGCTACATAAGACTCACCTATCCTTCCCTTCTCCCTCCTGCTTCTTTCCTTCCTCTCTTCACGCTTCCCTCTCTCCTGCAGCAGCCGCCATCCCCTCACGCGACATCATCCCAGCTTCTCCAGCCACGATGACGCTGCATCAATATGACTACATCTTTGCCATCGGCACTCTGTTTGCCATGCTGGATGCCTACAACAACGGTGCCAGTAAGTTGCCGGAAATCCTCTCCGTGCTATGGTTTCCATTTCTGACCCCGCTCGTTCTTACCCTGCAGACGATGTTGCGAACTCCTGGGCCACGAGTGTCTCCTCCCGCTCCGTCTCCTACCGTCAAGCCATGATCTTCGGAACCGTCTTCGAGATGCTGGGCGCCATCTGTGTCGGAGCCCGTACCGCCGATACCATCAAGAACGGAATCATCCCCAACTCCGCCTTCCAGGGAAACGCGGGGGTGCAGATGCTGGCTTTCACCTGCGCCCTGGCCGCTGCCTCCTCTTGGGTGATGTGGTGCACGCGACACTCCGCCCACGTCTCCTCCACCTACTCGCTCATCTCCGCGGTCGCTGGTGTCGGTGTCGCCACGGTCGGCGCCTCCCAGGTACAATGGGGATGGAACGACGGCAAGGGAATGGGCGCCATCCTGGCGGGTCTGGGCATGGCTCCCATTATCTCCGGTTGCTTTGGCTCCATCATCTTCATGCTCATCAAGGTGGTCGTGCACATGCGCAAGAACCCCGTCCCCTGGTCGGTCTACACCTCTCCCCTTTGGTTCCTGATTGCCGCCACCGTCTGCACCCTCTCCATCGTCTACAAGGGGTCTCCCAGTCTGGGTCTGAGCAAGAAGCCTGGATGGTACATCGCGGCCGTGACCATGGGCACCGGCGCCGGGGTCGCAGTGCTGTCGGCTATCTTCTTCCTCCCCTTCGTCCACGCCCGTGTCATCAAGAAGGACCCCAACGTCAAGTGGTGGATGTTCGTCTACGGACCTCTGCTGCTGCAGCGACCCGCCAACCCCAACGCTGAGTCCGCCAAGGTCCCCAACTACGCCGTCATCCAAGAGGATGAGTTCCCCTCCCCGCCCGGCTCGCCCGAGACCCTCAAGGGCGCCGACGCCGACGTGGACGCCGTCCACAAGGCCTCCACCAGCGGCGAGAAGGAGCTCGTCGCCTCGGAAGCCCAGCAACTCACCTACAAGGAGCTCATGGCCCAGTCCGACAGCCGTCTCCGCGCCCGCCTGCTGCAGAAACGCGGCCCACTGGGCTGGGCGATGCGCACCCTTCGCGACAACCCAATGGGTCCCGGTCAGCTCTACGAGTTCCGCAACATGGCCATTCTCGCCAAGCGCATTCCCGCCATGATCGTCTGCGGACTGCTGTACGGCATGCACTACGATATCCACGCCGCCCAGAGTGGGATCAACGGCACTCCCGAGGGCGACCGGATGCAACGAGTCTACGCGCACGCGACCAAGTACCCCAACGAGGTCGAGCACACCTACTCCTTCGTCCAGGTCCTGACGGCCTGCACGGCCAGTTTCGCCCACGGTGCCAACGACATCGGTAACTCCGTTGGGCCCTGGGCCGTCATCTACTCTGCCTGGAGCACTGGTAGTGCCGCCAAAGCCAAGGCTCCAGTTCCGGTGTGGCAGCTGGCGGTGTTGTCGGCGTGTATCTCCATTGGCTTGATCACCTACGGCTACAACATCATGAAGGGTAAGTTTCATCTCTTTACTAGTGCATCCCTTCTCCTACGATCGTGTACTAATGGAATGGGTAACAGTCATGGGCAACAAAATCACCTACCACTCCCCCAGCCGCGGCTGCTCGATGGAACTCGGCGCCGCTCTGACCGTTCTCGTCTTCTCGCAGTACTCCCTGCCCGTATCGACCTCGATGTGCATCACAGGTGCCACCGTCGGCGTCGGACTGTGTAACGGCACATGGCGCGCGGTGAACTGGCAGCGGGTGGGACTGTTGTTGACCGCGTGGATTCTGACCTTGCCCATTGCGGGGACGCTGGGTGGGTGTCTGATGGGCTTGTTCATCAATGCGCCGCATTTTGCTTCATAGTTGGCACGGTCGGGCTGGTGGGGAAGTGCAATTAGACCTTTTCTTTTGTGTGATGCCCGGTGGTCAGATGGCTGCCATGTTTCTTGGGGGGTAATGTACATTTTAGTAATGCAAAAATGGGTTTCTTCGGGTGTCAATTTGTGTAGGATATGGTAGGCCGGTTACTTGTCTCTGTAGACTTTACTGAAATTGTAGGAATCTCACGTTCAAGCAAAAAGACTTCACTGATGTCTGCCAGCATGAACTGGTTCGGGAAAGGTATGTTTCCCGTCACGTGCTCCGTTACCGACGACGATTTAGGCAGTGGTTCCTTCAACTACATTGCTGCGCGAAAACTACAGTGTCCTGATGAGATAGCTTGATTGCTTCATGATATTCTTCTAATCTTCAACCTTCCTCCCTCGAGTTGCCAGGCTAGCTGATATGTTGGTCGTTATGTTGAGAAATCACAGCGGCAAAGAAATCAGCCAGAGTGTTGTGAACAGAGCGCCACTGGGAGATAGCAAGAATATTCTCGCCATTGAAAAAAACTGTGATATTAAAAATGCAACAACCACAGTAGGTAGGAAAATGAGTTGGGCAGGGTTGCAAGAGCAGCGCCCCCTCACCCGACTGTCCCAACAGCCCCCTCAACCGATGCTCCTGGCGAGGATGTAGAATCATATGACCGAGAGAAATCATAATTGAGAAAAAGGTGTTTCGCAGATCTTGCCCTCGACCGAGAATGAAGCAGCATCGTATGGCAGTCCTTCCGACTCGTCACATGCGCCGGGTAGCTTTGCTGATATCCTTTATATAATCCAAGGGAATGTCAAATGTCTGACTCAGAAAGCTGAAGCAGTCTGGTGTTCCAGAGTACGAGTGGCAGTGACAGTCTGGCCATCCCCATTCGAGTATGAATTTTCGCGCCTTGGACCCCGGGGCGGAATTCTCATAGACGTGACGAATGGCCGCGGGGTGGCACCAAGTTTCAGGACTTATCCATGGAGAACTGAGTAGATATTGTTCGATTTCTGATAGCAGCACACTCATCTCTAGGCGTTCGGCGAGGGTATACAGCTGAAATGGGAGGGTATCGCCGGGCTCGACGTAGAGCGGCGACAGCGTTTTTCGATACAACCAGTTGAGTAGTACGTGGAAAGTCTCTGGGTCCTCATTGGGGAGTTCCTGGTCAGGAAGAGGGTCGGGGAGATGTTTGTAGTATTCGGAATCATCACGTAGAATTTGGGAGTGAATGCTGAAGACAACTTGGTCGCGTCCGACGATGAACCTGACCGTCTCGGACTCGAAGATGCTAATTTGTGAGACTCGATGCGTAGGTTGAAGGTAGAAGGAACGAATTGTGACCAGGTCTGTACTTACCCTCTTTCAAAAGGCTCTGGCGACTCTCCGTCCATGATTGAGGTCTTGTTGGCTCGCGGCGAGCAAACAATGAATCGTGTTGACTAGCTAGTGTCTGCTGTGGGTATGTGGGAGTCGGCAGCTGCGGGATTGAATTGCGAAAGATGGGAAGTGTTATATACGAAGTGCAGTACGGAAGTATCGAAGGAGTAAATGTGAATGAGAGGGAAAGACAATATCAGATGGAGGAAGTACGTAGGAGAGGTAGGGAGAGACGACCACAGTAAAGAAAGGCAAACCGATCTCAATTGACGGTATACTTTCAGCCTAAGGTCAGAATCACTTCACTTGCACCTCCTCGTCTGTTTAGCATGGCAATCGGGTCATCCAGAGAACAAATTCGGGTTCAATCTAGTTGGAGTTGTTATCATGCCGCATACTTCATCGCAAAAATGGAGGAAGTCAATCTCTCTCGGCTACCCACCTTATCTCGCTTACAGCTTGGCCAAGCTTAGCTCTTGTTTAGCTCTTGTTTAGCTCACTTGCTCGACCAGTCATGGGTTGCTGGGCGGCCTTAGCCTTCTTGTTAGTGTCCCCGACCCAAACCACCGATTGGAGATGCCGGCCTCAAACCCCCACCGATCAGCGGGGTCGGCTGAGCATCAGCGCTTGCATCCACCCTTATATTTCCCAGCATTTCCAATCCACCGACCGTGGCCTGCCTGTATTCTGCACAGAACGGATCGCAGCATCAGAGACCTCAGAATGCAGCCGTCGGACTTGCTGTCCTGGTTGCATGCCAACCTGCTAGCCTCATTTTCCACTTCGGCGAGCATCGTCCTGACCAGCTTTGTCCTCCTGGCTGTCAAACGGCGGTATTTTACTTCACTGAGGGACATCCCGGGGCCATGGCTAGCTTCCGTGTCCAGCCTTTGGCAGGTCTTTCAGCTTATCAAGGGCCACACCGAGCAGGAAATGATTCGATTACATCGAAAACATGGTAGATATCACCTCCCGTATCTGCCACGCAGAGATGAATCTGACCTGCGCACAGGTCACTTCGTCCGCATTTCCGAGAACGAAGTTAGCGTCTGTCACCCAGATGCCATACGGTTACTGCTCCAAGCAAATCTTGCCAAGGTACGACCAACCTACATCGCATGAGGCCCCTGATTGTGCACCTTGCATCCCATAACCCGGCTTAAAAACACTTAGGGCTCCTGGTATTCAATCTTCAGTCTCCCCGACTATCACTACGTGAACCAGATGTCCGAGTTGAGCCCCCAGCGCCACATCCACAAGTCGCGGAACATAGCAGCAGGCTACGCGTTGTCCAACATCATCAAATCCGAGCCACAGGTGGACGCTCTCCTCGTTCGGCTGGAAGAGCAGTTGGACCGGTTAATCGCCTCCGGGCAGCCTGTCCAGTTCGACCGATGGTTCAACTACTTTGCCTTCGACGTGGTTGGCGAGGTGACCTTCTCCAGTCCGTTCGACTTCCTGGCGACGGGCACCGACATCCGCCACGCCATCGCCAACAGCCGCGCGCTGGCCCTCTACATCGCCATCGTGGGCCATTACGTCTGGCTGCACAACCTCACGCTAGGCAATCCGCTACTTAGCCGTCTGGGCCTGCAGCCCACCTCCCACATCTTCGACACCTGTCTGGCGGCCATCGACCACCGACAACGCCAGAGCCAGGAGAAGACTCCTGCTACTACGCCAACCTCCACGGTTCCTCCACGCCTCGACATGATGGAGCGGTGGCTGACCACTCGCCAGCAGCACCCGGAACGCATGGCCGAATCGGAGATTATGGGCGCCTGCGTAGCTAATGTCGGCGCCGGCGCCGATACCACCAGTGCTACCCTGCAGGCGTTTGTCTACCACTTGATCCGTCATCCGCAGTACTTGGCCAAATTGCGCCAGGAGCTCGACGAGGCGCAGGCGCGCGGCGAGCTGAGTCCCATCGTCTCGTACGCGGAGGCTACCAAGCTGCCTTATCTCCAGGCTTGCGTAAGTTTGAGTCCTGTAAGTGGGTATAAATATGTAGGATTCTGACCATCGCGATCCAGATTCGGGAAACATATCGCTACCATCCAGCCACCGGGACTGGACTTCCGCGTGTTGTACCTGCGGGTGGAATCACCATTGCGGACAGGCATTTCAGTGAGGGGGTGTGTGCAGTCCACTATACCCTTTGCAACTGGAGAGGCTAATGGCAGAGACTGTATAGACCGTCTTAAGCATCAACCCGTGGGTGTACCACCGCAACGCCGAATTCTTCGGCCCGGACTGTGATGATTTTAACCCCGAACGGTGGCTCGATGTGGAGCGGGTGAAACAGATGGATCCGTTTTTGATCCACGTGAGTGTTTCTCTGCTCCCCGGACTATCTGTTTGAAAGGTTGTGAAGAACGTGCTTGTATTGCTGACATGCATCGTCCGGGCAGTGGAGCGCAGGGTACAACCAATGTCCCGGTCGCAACCTCGCGCACTTCGAGATTTCCAAGGTCGCGGCCTGTCTCATCCGGGATTTTGAAATTGAGCAGGTCAATCCGGATGCGCCGTGGCGGTTCGAGACCCATTTCACCGCGGTGCCGTATGGCTGGCCATGTTGGTTGCGGCGGAGGGCAGTTGGGGGGTGTGGGGGGTGAAGGGTTGAGTGAAGGAGGATGGCCTCGAATTTATAGCGGGAAAGAGAGGATTAGGCGATATACATTCGAGGGGCCTAGGAGTCGGACGCCGAGAGTACGGCGAGGGTAAAGAGCATCCGAGCATCTATAGACCGGGCTTGTCAGCTGTGACATGAAGCCCTGACACCTAGCGGATAAGACCTCCGCTCCTTTGATGCCACATTCATCATACATCCTTTGCAGCCTGTCTTTGTGATCGCGATGATCACGCAACTGCAATGATCGTCAGTAATAACTCAAAATTTAATTGCATAAAAGCTGTGTTATATTGTAAAATCCCTACTTGAGAGGAAGGAGAACTAACAGAAACGGTGCCCGGAGTGCGAGCAGCTCATCAGACACATCTGGGCAGTCAGTATAGCTTCTCGCCGTCGGAATCCATTTCGGGATTATTTTCATCTACCCAGCCAACAGGCGCAGGCCCATCATCCAGAGAAATACCCAGCTGCTTGAGCCTCCGATAGACAATCCAAGCCTGGTCACCCTCATTTGGTGCTTTCAGCGGTGCACCCAGAACGCCCATGCTCTTGTACTCCAGATAGATGCGACCAAAAGGTTCTTTCAGTTCGCGCTTTTTCTTCGTCGACTGGCGACCAGTGCGCTCGTGCAGTGTCACCCAGCGTTGGATAGGATGCGGGATCTCCGATATGAAATTCGAGGATTCGCATTCCAGGTGCAGGGGCGAGGGCTCAACGGAGAATTCGAAGGCATACTTCATCAGCACCTCGAACTGGTACCTCCACCAACGACCCGGTAACCCAGGTCACGCAGCATCAAGAACACGAGGTTCTCGAGGCACTTACTATATCGCAGCATTTTGACCGGGTACTTGCCCGGGTCTTGGCGACCACGGCAGTTCAAGTGGGCATAGGGGGTGTCCCGATACCCACGGTTCTTAGAGCTATGAAGGGCCGAGAACCAGAGGTAATCACTGGAGGTGGAGATGTAGTTGCCGCTGTCATAGCCATGGTGGACTGTCTGCTCCAATGGCTTCTGAGGCCCTGCAGACGGGGTTCGAATTGCAGGCGAGTGCACGTCGGACATGCGGTAAAGGAAAATCCGCCCCGTCTGACTCTCAAAGTCGCCACAAACCGTTGGGTAGCGCTCGTCGGTATGGAAATGATACGCTGGAAGGGGGATATACCGCTCGTCCTGCGCCTCCACGTTGTCTGCATAGCAGTGGCGCCGCTCGGGGTCCTTGCAGGGGTAGAATTTGCCCGTGGCAGCAAGGATCTTGGCTGCCTGGTCGATATGGGCATCCTCGACAGCCCATGCCGTGCAGAAGCATTTGATGGGCGCCCCCATGATGGACAAGGGTTGATCCCCGGTCAGGTAGGCGGGGATCTCGTTCGAATCGAACACCCATTGAACCCAGGACTCGGCATCGCCATTGCCTTCGGAGAAGGGTAACTCTGGCGGGGGTGGTGGGGGACTGGACTGGTTGTAGTACATCGTGTCGTGGTTTTGACGGTAGGGCAATCGGAATGTGAGTTGTACTGGGTGGTTGCTGACTCTGATGATGTTGATGTCTCAGGTTAGGGTGGCACAAACCCCCTTTAAATAGACCGAACCGGTCTTGGAGACCAGGGAGGCCAGGGCATTGTCTCTATGATGAAAGACACTTTCATGGGCTATGCATTGTCATGATATGATCTTTTCTGGAAAACTTCACTACAGACATAACGTTCTTTCGTGGCAGTGAAAGCAAGAAGACCAAGAGATCAATGGAAAAAAGGACAAGGAAAACGCAGTCAGGAGAGCAATAGATGTATCCTATCTGGAGACAAGAAACATGAGAGGAAAGAGGGGAGGATGGTGAATTTGATGTACCTAAACATGGCAGAGGACTAGAGTGTCTGTCCACAGACAGCCTCCCGGACTGGCTCACCTGCTTCCCACATCCTACGCAGACAAGGAGCTGGTCCCATCGTTGATCCCAGTGCAGAAGTAGACGCCTTCCATCATCGCCGCACCGCATCTCTCTCCGTTGTTCCCGAGCACCGCATTCCACGCATACAACTGGCTCGGTTGGATATGGTTTCGACCTGCAAACCCAGTACATAGCTCACCACCCAAAGCCTTCGCGTATAGGTCACAATTCCCTGGTATCCCAGACGCTTCCACCGGCGAGGGTATCCGCACACCAACACAGTACCAGACTTCGGCTTGCAAACCATACGTACACTGTGTGCCATTCTTTCCCAACACAAGGTTCCAATCATATAGTTGCTCGGGCTTGATGCCGTGGTTATAGGCGAATTGGACGCAGTAGTCCCCCTGCACGGCCTTGGCGTACTGATTGCAGTTGCGAGAAATGCTGTGGGGGTGGGTGGGAGAGGGGCCGGGGGGCATGTTTGTGGTCGTTGTGCCTGGGCTGCGGGATGTACTTGTGCTTGAGTTTGGGGTTGACAATACGGGGGATGGGCTGGATGACTTGGTTGGATATGCGCTAGAAGAGGTCCCCACCTCTGGTGTGTGCAAGGGAAAACGCAGTTTCTCCGACAGGCAGTACCGAAAGTCATCCAAGAAGGTGCAATTTGGGGATGAGATGTTCAAGGATGGATTCCACGCTGCGAGCTGGGTGAGATTGAGGCTCCATAAAGCTGCTACGGCGGCACAGTCGCTGAATCCTTCTCTGCGTAGATGAAGGTCTCGTCCGTCCAAGTATGTCCAGCAGTCCGTCGGTGTCCTTGGGGCGATAGGCAGATCATAGAACCACGAGGGGGTATACGTGGAGTCTGGATATGAGTCCCAAGGAATGGTCGACGTCGCTTCGAACCGACCAGTATATGCAGGGGAGTCAGGATAATTTTCGACTGGTCAGGAGTAGAAGATGTAAGCTGCTACGCAGGACAAGACACAGGTGGAGGGTTGGATCACATACTGCTTCCCACCGGGTAAATTCAATAGCTCTTGTTGACTTCCAGGTTGGTACAGCTACCGTATAGTCAGCGAGACAGTTTACACCCACTCGATTGCCCAGCGACCCACTTTTGATTGATACTCGGATTGAGGATGCTCAAGTCCTCGAATGTAACACCAAACGTCCGAGCCAACGTGCTACAAGAGTCTTCTCGCACAGCTAGATGGTACCTCCCGCAGTTGCGTGTGCTGTTGTTGGCCAGGCCGGTTGGCACAGGAGCCGCAGTGGAGTAGGACTTGGTCAACCATGGAACTGAAGTAGGGGCAATATACTTGGGCCCAGGCACGTCGACACAGACCTGATATCCAACCCACTGCTTGAGATTGTAGCAGCCGATGTCGATGTTGGGGTTCCAGTCTCGGAATTGTGCTACGCTGATATTGTGACCACTGGCAATTCGCCCACAGGTGTCTCCGGGCCGAACTGTGTATACCTTGCACTTGTTCACCAGGCAAAGGGTGCCATTCGTGGGAAAGTCGCGGCAGTATGCGGTGAGTCTGTTGTCGAGAAGTAGCCAGATCGTCGCGATACTTTGCTGTAAAGAAATCGAGGTACAGTTATCACCTGGTTGAATTGCGTATCGTGTTCCGTCGCAAGTCACGGTTGGCTTGGGGATGCTGGAAGAAGCTCTGTCGTGGATTAGCATATTAGACACAAAGATGAAAGGATAAGGTCTTCCACACGTACGGAGAAGACGCGGTTGTCGTTGAGGGCACAGAATAGCCAGTGTAGCTACACAACGAGGTATAACTCGCAAGATCACTTCGGGAGCGACCCAGGGGTCCATTGCCGTAAGGAAATAAGGCATTATTCCACATCTTCACGAGAAGGCATTTCGCACATGGTGTGCCAGTGGCAGTCGCTCGCAGTTTGCCCAGAACCACATTGCAGTACTGGCCCGCATCCATCGAACAGGTCTGATTGAAGTTGTGCCATATCTTGCCCGGCATGGCTGAGATGTGCAGAAAGACACCAGTAAAGTCGTCTTTGTACTTCACCCCATAACAAGCGTCAGATATATTCTTTGTCCACTGGCCCAAAGCAGCCCGGCAATCCTCTGTGCAATGCTGTTGGAGCAGAGCCGGTGTGTATGTTTCATCAGGGTCAAAGGCCGCCACCAGATTGCTGCAGGCTGTCACATTGGTGGACAGAGCTGCAGCACAGTAAGAGTTGTAGTTGCTTACACTGGCCGCTGGGAAGAGTACAAATGCCTGGGCTCCAGATAACAGCCAGAGGGTCTGGATTAAGACGTGGAGCATGTTTGCGATATGCGAAGCCATTTGCTCTTCGTCGTGGTACCGAATATGGGTAGTCGATCGGAGAACAGGTTGTTGTAGACGATGAGAAATGGACATAGTCTTGTTCAGTGATTCATGTTATCTGGCTTGGAGCCCCCAAGCAGGAACGGCTTCCAACCAGCCAGAACTTATTCACTAAGAGAGCCTCCCAGATCCCGGTCAAGCAGAGCTACATTCACTAGGTATTATATCATGTAGCCATATTCACTAACCTTGAAAACTCCCCCCCGTAATTCCAGTCTCCTTGGGCGTCTCCTACCCTCTTTACTTCTTCTTTCTTTTCTTCTCCTTTCCAACCACCTTCCTTCAACCACATCCCTCCAACCTCCAACTACCTTCATCAACCTGTATCGTGCTCCCCCTTCTTCCCAAGCATTTTGCCCCTGTCACCGACAATTTCCAAGTCATCAGTACCCTGTCAGTCCCCGAGTTGACAAAGAAGTCCCATCGGGGACGTGTCATCTGGAAAGATGTCGCGTCTCCTTCATATGCTGGTTCTTTTGCTTGTGTTTTTGACACTGTCTGTGTCACTCGGCCCTGGGCTCGCTCAGGAAGATCTTGTTTCTAGTACGAACGGCTCGGTCTCTGGGAAACACGGCGAGGACCCGTACAACTGTGGACCCAACAAGCCCTGCTTCAACGGGGCCTGTTGTGGACGCGTGGGATACTGTGGCTTCGGCCCGGAATACTGCGGGACGACCGGCAAATCTCCCAACGACGTGTGCTGGAGCAATTGCGACGCGCACGCCGAGTGTGGGAAACTCGCCGAGGTGCTAACAAGTCATGTCCTCTGAATGTGTGTTGTAGTGCCTATGGGTTTTGCGGGACGACGGCCGAGTTCTGCGGCAAAGGCTGCCAGAGCGGCTGCTCGAAGCCCATGTCCAAGGCATCCAACAGCAGCTCGCAGAAGCGTGTTTTGGGATACTACGAGTCCTGGATGAACGACCGGCAGTGTATGGGCATGCGAATTAGCCAAATTCCGGTCGAGAGTCTTACTCATCTGTACTGTACGTGGTGTTGCTCTTTCCTATCTCCGTTACCTGCTTTTTTCTCCTCTGGTCACATCCTTTTCTATTCCTTCCGTGTTCTCTTTTCTCCTATGTTGTGCATGTTCCCTTTTTATATATTCTCTTCTTGACTGTTGCTTTAGTGGAAGAGCTCTCGTGCTTATATGAACCTACGATCGTAGACGCGTTTGGTTACATCACGCCCGCAACATTTGAAGTCACCTTGATGCCTGATATCAATCCCAACACCCTTCTCGACTTCGCGAAGCTGAAGGAACGAAATCCGTCAGTGGTTCTCAGGATCTCGCTCGGCGGATGGGACTTCAATGAAGACAACACGCTCACGCAGAATGTATTCGCCGACATGGTGTCCACCGAGGCGAACCGCGCCAAGTTCATCCAACATCTCAGGGTCTTCATGAGACAACACAGTCTCGACGCCGTCGACATTGACTGGGAATACCCCGGTGCTCCAGATCGTCAGCCAAACCACAAAGATTGCAAAAAGGATGGGGCGAACTATGTATCGTTGATGAAGGAGTTGAGAGAGGCGGCGGACAGCTCGCTCAAAAAGTTCACCATCTCGTTCACGGCGCCCACTTCTTATTGGTATGTTTTCTAGTAGCTTGGCCGTGTTACCCAGGGCAAGAGAGTACTGATGTCTGTCAGGTACCTCCGATGGTTCGACATTGGACCCATGGTGGACGCGGCGGACTTTGTAACCTTCATGACGTATGATCTCCATGGGATATGGGATCAGGATAGCACTATCGGAAAACGCGTGTTAGCCCACACCAACCTTACCGAAATCACCGAGGCGCTGGACCTCCTCTGGCGCAACGGCGTGCCGGCTGCCAAGGTGAACCTTGGGTTGGCGTTTTACGCGCGCACGTACACCCTGACAGAGCGAAACTGCATCATGCCTGGTTGTCCCTTCGAAGGTGGCGGTGAGGCTGGCCCTTGCACCAAGCAGTCCGGAATCCTGTCATACAGTGAGATCGCAAATCTGCTCGCCACGCAGGATGTGACCCCTGTCTACGACAAAGAAGCGGCGGTGAAATGGATCGTCTGGGGATCCAAGAATTGGGCCTCCTACGATGATCATCAGACGCTTCAGGACAAGATCCACTATGCGGACAAGCACGGGCTGGGAGGCCTGGCCATCTGGGCGATTGATCAGGACGACCGCAGCTGGAATGCACTGCGTGCAGTCCTCTACCCTCGAGACCTCGGATCGCAGAAGACTCTCGGAGGCCATGTCGCGTACTGGGAGCGCCGTGTGGCTGCGACTTGCGAAACCACTCACTGCGGCGGATCATGTCCGGCCGGTTACATTGAGCTGACGACACTGAAGTGTGTTGAAGATGACGAGCGCTTGCAACGTGTGTGCTGTCCGATAGAGTCGACCCCTGACCCTAAGACATGTACATGGCGGGGAACACCCAGCTTCTGTAATGGCCAGTGCCATGGTGGCGAGGTCGCCCTGGCTTCAAGAGGGAGACCTTATTGTAAGGATGGTAAGTCTAATCAGACACTATGTGAAACGTGAGCATCCGCCAGGTACAGCGTACTAATGATGATACTCCGTCAACCAGGTCGTCAGTTCTATTGTTGTCCAATCCCTGAGTCCGCCGGCGATAATGCAGGGATCAACTGTAACTGGCAGTCCGAGAAGTGCCGTGAGGATCAGACCCTCATGACGTTTGCAGGAACCTTTCTCGGGGAGTTGGAGCAGCTTGTTCCTGCGTTATACTTGGTGGGGATCCCCCTTTCCGTCGCATTAGAGGGATTGGATATTACCTTGCGCCGACACTATTGCTGCGGGATTAAAGAGGCGCAGAATTGGAAGGACTGTTACTGGGCCGTAAGTTATATCATGCAAGACACGAAAGGCAGGCCATGAAACTAAACCTGAGGCTTCATAGGGTACTCCGGGCAAGGGGGTGCACAGCTGCGATGATAACCACTGCGCCACGGGCATAGAAGTGCAGTTGACCAACCATAAATATGGAGCCGGTCAGTCCTGTGCCATAACGTGAGTCAATGCACAATGGCTAAACAACACTGATCGACGCTGACCACTGAGCAGGCTTCGCGATCGAGCATTCTGTTGTACTCCGGTCTCCGGCCAGTCTCTTTTCCTCCCGGTTCCCTTGGAGAATCTGTTCCCTCACCTTCCCCCCTCAAACGAAGCGGAGCCCATCTTTCGACTTCAGATAGATGGCTCTTGGGGTACAGGTCAAGATCAAGGCGAGCACAACCATCCAAATGTAAGTCGGACGTCTGTTCCCCAGCACATGTCGGGCCAGGACTGATTATCTTCCCAACCACAGAACGCATCGTTTGGATTCGTCATCATCACTGCTCCTAAGGAGGTGTCAGTGGTCTTGGATAAGCGTGATGGGTCCCAGTGGAAGTTTTCGACTGCCTGGACGCGCACAGTCATGGTGAACAGACTGTCAAGATGGTTTGCACCAACCTTACCGATCACAGTCGATGCAATGACATCTACCTCGGGGACGGGGTTCCTGGCACAATTCTGCAGATGCCTGCCGGCTGTGGGCCCGGCAAGTACGCGGTAGCCAAGTTCCTCAAGCTCTCAAGCAATCAGACCCTACCATCGCATCTCGCGACTTGGATCTGGCCCAGGCCCCAGTCTATGACCTCACTTTTGACTACGATTTCCGCCGCGTTCCCCGCGGGTACGGCCCCAGTCAGATGAGACTCGACTTCAGCAACGAAGAAGGCTACTGGGATGCAGTAGTCAGCCGGCCTGCCTCACCGAAAAAGAGCGAGCCTGAACTGGAGGAATACCGTCAAAACCGCAAACGCTGGCTGGAAGACGAATGGCGCGATGCCTACCACCATGGTGGTCTGTCCCATACCGAGATCCATCGGCGGTGGTTCGCGTCGGATGCTCTTAAATGGCTGATAACACTAGTCGGCGTTGGCGAGGCAGAGCTGAACAAGAAATTCAACCACAAGGTGAAGGAAATGGTGCGGGTTGTCTTATTCGATGGATCTGCCACCTGTCCGGTGGGGAGTGCCACGGCATACGCCAACCTGCGAGCCAGCGTGGAATCGAGCATCGATATTGAGACCTCCTTTGGGATCACCATCATCGTCAATCTGGCGCAACCTCTAGACCTAAGCAACTCGTATCTCTACTTCAGGAACCGAGGCAAGGTTTGGACTCACTTTCGCTTGGACGCGGACGCTTCGCTGCACTGGAACTCGGGGGATGTCAAGCTGCTAGGGCTCGACGACTTCCCCGGTGCTACCTTCACGGTCCCTGGCATTGTCACCGTTGGCCCGAATTTGGAAATGTATGCCTCGGTGCATGCAGGGGTGACTTTTTCAGGCAGTTTCAAGGCACAGGTGAACCTGGCGGAGTGGGATGTCGAACAGACGTACCCATACGACGGCAAATTAGGTCCGAAGGAAATCTCGGAAACCAAGACGGATGGTACGCGAATGATCGGGGAGCCCCGTATGGAGGCCTCGGCCGGTGCTAGCGGCGAATTCTCGCTCAACCTCAAACCCAGGGTGAATTTTGGCGTGGTTTTTGATGACAGGTGGAAGGTGCCATCATGCAGCGTGCAACTGAACCTGGAAGAGTCGATTATCTTTCACGCTCAAGCTGGATGGTCCAGCAACTCGGAGGCGCAAGGCTCATGTCTATCCTCATACGGTATCGATGCAGCCCTCAGGATCTACGCGGCACTCGACGCACCCGATGTGTTTAACTGGGGAGGCGAACGCGGCGGTCAACGACACTTCCCTCTCTTTAGCCGACCTCGGAAGGAGATCTACGCAAGTAAATGTGCTTCAGCCTCGATATCAATAGACTCGACTGATTTGATGGAGTATAACGTCAACAATGCGGTGGTCTTGTACTCGCCTCCCGTGCCGTCCTGGCTGGCGCTGGCAAGATCTCATAGCAGATTCGCCGACTACGGTGACCAAGTGAGTGCGAGGGAGCCTGCCTCCCTACACAAACGCCAGCAGATCACCATTGGCCCCATCCTTAGTCTGCCCGGTGGCCTTCTTTCGTGTCCTGCGGCTGGCAACGTGACCGGCTGTGTTTCATGCATCGTCTCTACTGCCGCCGAATCGTCCTTGGAGCTGGCTGGAAGAGGTGACGAGAACATTTGTCCATGGCACCCACCTCGCGGCACCGAGTGTACGGGCACTTCGGTTATAACCATCTCTTCTCTGGAATGGAAGAAGATGCCCTTATCGTGGGCAATTCATCCAATCACAGGGCGTCCGGAGATCGACCTGGCCAGGTATCCAACCTGTTCTGCCGGAGACCTGGACTCGCTCAGCAAAGTCTCCAAGTGGTGGATGGTTGGGGACCGGAAATCCAGCTCGTGTGATCCGGCCATTCGAAAAGTCAGCAAAGACTCCAGCACGCCGACAGTGCAAGGGGTCCCCATCTTTCGGAATTTTGCAACCGACCATGTGTTTGATGTCCACCTGCTGTCCAACTTCCTAGAATGGGTGTGTGATACCGACAAGGATCTCAACTACCATGGTCAGGGAAAGATGACGTGGTTGAAGGGATGGCAACGGCCTGACGCCGTGTGGTGTCAGCATGTCTTCGGTCCAGATACAATAACGGGTGGTTTTGATTTCAAGTTGGATCCAAAGGATGATAAGCCAAGTAACTTGCTCGCCAACATCGCAACCAAAGTAGGAGGCACTGAGCACCCGGAATGGTTAGCGATCCTCGCTGAGATGACGAACAATGATAAGGCAACTTGGCTTCAAGGCCAACGACCAAGCATACCTCATCCAACAGAGGCAGCCACGGTACACGCTTCTAATGTGCAACGGCATGCCGCGGTATCTGACTATCTTCACTCGGCGAAGATCAAGGACGCGTGGATGCAGCCTTCCAACGGCATTGAGGCTGTATGCGCTGCATTCGATCAAGCGTTCTGGGGATCCCCATTCGCCAAGAACGCGATCGGTGTGAAGCTGGAGCGCCCGCCAGCTCCTGACAAAGTCACCACCTGGGGTCTGCGCACACTTTGGTGTTTGTGGATTGATGACCATCTGTATCGTGTGGAGGCGGTTGTCGGGCCATGGCTAGCCAAATCAAGGGAGGAACTACAGAAGAAGACTGATGCATCGTCGAATTTAGCTATCAACTTCCTCACGGCGTACATGTCTCCCCAAGGGCTTGCGAGCGCCGACCGGATGAGGTTGCCCCGGGTCCCTTTCTCGAAGGGAACTCGTCCGCCCATCGCAGGCTGGGGAAGTGAGAACTCGGAACTGAGTCAATACGGCATGTGGGGATCTAACGGACTAGGTCCTTTGGGAGTCTGACCTCGTTTCAGTCCTGTAGAGGGGAACGTACTAGAATCTATGGACGTGGATATCTAGGACCAGTGCCGACAATTTGATTTGATACTATCCTTCCAAAGCTCATATGATAAAATCCTTTTTTGCTTCTGTGCAGACACAATTTGCCGTACGGGCTCCCTGTTCCCTTCATATACTTCAACTAGCAACAATCTATTCATTACCCGCCTGCTAGATCAGATTGACAGTTCACTCATTCAGTGTCTAATGGCTGTGTCAGTGCGCCGCTCTCCTCCAAGGACAGCATTGCTAATTCAGTCTCTGGTGTCTGCGTCTTCGGGGGGTATTCCTCGAGAGACAACATTGCCAGTCTCCTTGCCACCCATTCCATGGTAAGGCAACGCCATACCTGATATAGATCGGTGTTCCTAAATCCGAACCACGTATCATCCTCATCACGTTTATCCATGTCCGCCTGGAGAAATAGCACGCCGGGTACCGTGAGAAAGTCCGGTCTATCTAGGATGACAAGGAATGTTTTGCAGCCCTGGGAGAACACGATTGCTCCCTCCTGCTCTGTTCTGGAGTTGGGAAAGGTGCGCATTCTTACGGTGCTTCTATCCTGTTTGAGACGGATGGTTTGCATAGCACCTATCCCAAGACAGGGCTGCGAAGCGACGAGCGCACGGTGCGAATCCACAACAGACCCCAGCGAGGCCAGTCCAGAGGTAGATGATTGACGAAAGTTGAGATGGATGGACCTTTGGTCGGGTAGATTCGCCACCAGGGCGCTGGTGAATGCCTGGGCCATTCGGATGAAATCCGGCACACTGTGTGAGAACTTGAGGTGGACGATGTACCTCAGATCTGGTTCCGAGGCAGCGTGCATATTTGACATAATTGTAACAGATCCATCAATCTCAGTAATAGTGGTGTAGCGATCGGGTGACAGGGAGTTCGCTTTCTGATCCAGTAGGGTGAGGGTCTCTGCTGAGATAGGCGAATCTGATGGACAAGGCTGGCCTTCGTCTTCACCTAGACCATAGTCCCATTGCTCGTCGTAGTAGACCATCTTCAGGTCGTGACCCATGGCGCGCATATCATTGCAATTTATGACCTCGATCTCATTCCACTCAGGATACAGCTCATGTGTGAAATATGGGTCATCTGGGACGAGAGGAACGGATGGTGTCTGAGGCACGTTTCGGTTGAAAGCCACCCATTGAATCCCTGCTTGATCCTCATCTGGGCGTCTGGAATTCCAGTCCCGATAAGAGTGAGTGGTGATGAGCAGAAGCAGGCCTTCTTTGTCGATCGCCCTTGCATTCACCTTCGCAATGCCTGGGAACACTCCCTCCACGGCGGGCCTGACATTCTTGCGGTAGGCGATCTCGCGTCGTTGATGCTCCACTGCGGTGAAGGCATCCAGCTGTGGTACAGAGTAGATCTCGTATGAAGGGCCGGGCTTGAAGTCGATTCCCTGGTCGAGATAACCACACAGGAAACCGAATTCATCGGAATCGAGAGGAATAGTCGTGTAGACCTGAAAGGCGAATTCGGGATCAGGCATCACTTCATCGTCCTCACCGGGGTTGAGATGTCTGACTAGGTAGTTGAAGGTGATCAGCGTGACTGGGTTGCCGGCGTGATCCTTGAATGAGCGTTTCAGCAATCGCATCTCTGGGCGCAGCCCTTCAAGGTGCCACGAGGGACGAGCCATGTTGTCTTGAGTTGGTTGGAGGGGTCGATGAGGATGTGGATGTAGAGGTCCAAGCAAGAGGATGTTAAATGATTCGATCGGTGTCGATGGAATGGTTGAAAGAGAAGTGTGGAGTAAAAGAAGAAAAGAAGAAAAGAAGTTTGTTGGGGACTGAGGTTGTTGATGAAGATAGGATAAGTTACCTCTAGGCAGGCAGGCAGGCAGGCAGGCAGGCAGGCAGGCAGGCAACACGGAGGATGCAAACAACACATACACACCACCACCACCATGTAAACCATTCACTTCGACTCATACTCCACCCACTCCACCCACTTCATCCACCTCGCCAGAGATCCCTTCTACATGGTCTGGGAGGAGATCAACAAACTACGCACAATCAAGCAAAGAAAGCGGGGTATAATTGCATCACATATCACAAGGGCTAAATGCCCGGTTGGTTCTGTTCTATTATCCTCAGTCACAGACTCATTTCGTCAATTCACTAACATGGTTACATCCAAAGCACAGGGCCAATAAAACACCCTCACCCCAATCCTCTCTCCTACAGCAAGGCAGCCACCGCTGCGGCCGCGACCACAGGAGCAGCAGTGATCATCGCGCCCACTGCCCCATTGCCGTTCGCCGCATCAGCCGTCTTGGTGGCGGCAGGCTCCGTCAGCGACTTGAGTCCGCCCGTGACCACCAGCTCGGCGAAGGTCTTGGTCGGACCGTAGGTGGAATGGGTGGAGGTGGAAGACGCGTACGATCCGCCATTGAAAGTGCCGGTGATGGCCACGCTCATCGTGCAGCTGGCCGACTCGCTCCAGGACTTGAGGGAACATTCGTACGTGCGGGTCACGGTGTAGTCGTAGCTCGTGCTCTTGCCGGAGGTCGACGCGATGTATTCGCCCGACACGCTCACCGTCGAGGGACCCTGGATGATGGTCCACGAGTGCTTGATGTCACAGTCGGTCTTGGGGGCGTCCTTGAGACAGCCCAGGTGGTAGGTGGTGGCCTTGGCGTTGACCCCCGCGACACTGGCCGCCGTGCTGGTCCATCCGCCGTACTTGGGGACGGTGACATCCCAGTCCGGGTTGTAGAGGCCCACCGTAGTGGTCTTGTCGTCGGCGCTGGCCGTCAGCACCGACAGGGCTGCGGCGAGGAGGAAAGTGGCGCGCATGTTGTCAAAGGGGAGCTTTGGAGGGGGGATAATCAGGTCTGCCGATGATGAGGGGTGGAGGATCAGCAGAATATCACCGGGGAACAACCCTCTCAGAAACGCTCCAGGAGCGCCACCCGCCTTATGTATGGAGAAAGGAGGGGGCAGAGCTCACCCTCACGCCGGGCTTCCCTTGACCAGATTGGCAATGAGTCAAATGAGGCAGACTAGGTACCCAGGAGCCTCCTGCTGGTGCCTTCGCCGTCTGCGAATCAGCGGTTGCCAACTTGATAAGCGTAGGCGCCGTGGGCCCCGCGCGAGGTAACATTTCCGATAGTTTCCTTTTAGCGAGAGGTTAGCGGGGGTTAGCGAAGGGGGCTACTGGCTGCATGGAGTCAAGCCCCATCTGACATGCATTCACTGGACTGTACCATTGGTCCGAAGTCCACCGCAATCTCGGAACTTGGAAGGACAGGACTGACAGGCATTCCTCTTCTTCGGCCCGCTGCAGGAGACACAGGAGCACATGGGGTAACTAACGTCTGAGAGCGTTACATTCAATAATGTATTGGCTGTTCGATGACACCACCTCCGACATGTCGGGAATCAGACTGAATTGCTGACATGTGCCTGTCTGACTGACACATATAGTCCACCATCTCTAATGTTGGTCGAATTTCGTGTTTCAGACTCGAGACAGATTTCTCGTAAGGGTTGTGGAGGATGATGCGGGAGGCAAATACTCATGTGCCTACTGGTAGTGTAATTCGGTCGGAGATGACAGCATATCAGTTTTCTAACTTTACATGAGTGCGTCCGTTCCCCACATTACCATCAAGTCAAGTTCTATGCCACAACAACGCCACAACAATTCCATTGATTCCATTGAGTTGTCTTAGATCCACGAGCTTGTTGAGTGCGATTTGCACTCGGCAGTGGACCAGTCGGCTATAGCCGAAAGGAAATTACCCGAGCGGCAACCTCGTCCCAAATCGAGACTAGCCTCAGGGCCTTGCAGACCGAGCTAGACCAAACTAGGGTCCTCAGTCCAGAGACTAAACCCTTCATGGAACAGGGTTTGCCAAGCAGGGGTAAGTTTGGACTTAAGTTCCAGGCCGCCGGCGCCTGGACCCATGATGGGCACCCCCTCCCCTTGTTTTTGTTCCAGCTTTTGCCACTCTTTCTTTTTAAAACCCATGTAAAATCTCCGATCACAGCATGGATATCGCCATTGTTGCTGCCTTTCTTCTCCCTCCCACAAGATGAACGCCAAGTTGCTTCTGGGGCTGGCTGCCGCCGCCCGCCTGGTCTCCGCGCAAACCACCGTCACCTCCATGTTCATCTATGATGCCGATCCTCAACCCTTGGTGGCATCTGTCATGGGCGTTGTATGTGCCTTGGGTGCTTGTTCTAGTAGACTTGCAGCATCAGCTAACTTACGAGACAGGCCGCAACAGCAACCACCTACTACATCAACTGTCCTCCGGGAACCGACAGCTCCGACTGCGGCATGGGGCCCGGATTGACCGTGATCGCGGGCCCGCAAACCACCTCCTATCTGATGGAGGAGCCTGACGAGGACTTCTACTGGTCGGTTGCGTGTTCTCTGCAAGGAACCACGACGGGTTCCTGCGTTGAAATGGCCTCAGGGACGGGCGCCAACTTCCCGGGAACTAGCACCATCCCCCTCGACACCGACGACATTGCCAGTGGCTTGATGCCGGTGACTATCACCGCGGGGGCGGGCAGCATCACTGCTTCCGGCACTGCCTCGGCCACGGCTTCGATCACGGCTACCGGTACCGGTACCGGAGCTTCGACCACCGCCACGACCGCATCGGCCAGCCACAAGTCTGTGAGTGCTGGTGCCAACAGCACCACTGCGACTTCCGCGACATCCGCTGCCTCGACGACTAGCACTGGAGCCGGTGCAGTTATTTCAAACGATGCCACGCTGATCTTTGGCGGTGCTGCTGTAGCGGCTCTGGTGGCGGCTGTTCTGTAAATATGGCTGTATGATATCATTGCTGTGTATTACTATATATATATCAATATTCATAGATAAATCGGTTGGTTCCACATCATGAGAACTCTATCCCCTCTTTCTCTTCGGGCTGGGCTCTTCATCTTTAACCTCATCGGAAGTAGCCCCGTCTTCTCCATCGACCACCTCATCACCACCAGACCGCTTCCGAGTGTGATCCGTTAAACTCTTCGCCTCTCGACCCGTCGTCTCATCCACCACCTTCCCTCCTTCATCATGGAAGTCAAACAGCTCTTTCCACGACCCATCCATAACCTTGGGATCATCCCCGTAGAGATTCATCTCGTATGCATGCTTGATCTGCGCAATGCAGAAGTCCCTCCGCTCGTTGAAGTCGAACATCGGCTTCGGGTAGGTCTGCAGCCCGCTTGCCTCGTCTCGATCGCTCGACCCGTCGCCGATGATCCGGCATTTCCATTTCTTCTGGTCGGCGATAGGCGCCCTCCACGGCTCGTAGATATACTTCTTGTCGAAGTGCGCCAGCTCGGGACAGTAGCGCCGCACAAACCGCCCTTCCGGGTCCCATTTCTTGCCGAAGGCGATTGGGGAGTAGCAGCGGTAGTACTGGGAGAAGAATGCGGTGCAGGAGAGCCACATCCAGTTTCCGACATTCGAGGCGGTTTCGTCTGCGGTTCATTAGTGAATCTTGTATGTTTTGCTAGCATGCATAGAGGGGGGAAACCCACGGTCAACCAGCCACTCCTCGAAGACCTCCGCGCCGCGTTCCCAGCTCACGTAGCAGCCCCCGCGGGTCAAGAAGCACGCGACACTGTGGCGTCCAAGATGGTGGATCCAGCCTTCCTGCTTCAGTTGCCGCATCAATGCATCAATCCACGGGAACCCAGTGCGCCCGTGCTTCCACCGTCGAAAATAGGTCTCTGCCTCGGGGTCGTCGATCGTGTATGTTCCATCCAGCAGATGCTCGCCTCGCGGGACTTGGGAGTAGTTAGACTGCAGATGCCAAGGGACGAAGCGGGCAATCTTGTTCCCCTGGGTCTGCGCATAGGCGTACCCCAGGGCTGCCTGGGCCGCAAAATACATGTCCCGGAAGAGGAGTTGGCCCGGCAGGTTGGTCGGGATATGTGCGACGGGCTTTTTCTCACTCTTTCTCTTCTGAAGCACGGCGTCTACATCCCACCAGAACTTTCGGACGGACAAGGTTCCAAAATGGAGATGCGGTGATAGCAAGGTGGTAGCCTGAGGCTCGAACGCGGCGGGAGAAGTTTTGGGCTTTTCGAATGTACCGACGTAGTCCTCATCCTCAATACAATCGCTGAGGATTTGGAGAGCCACTGACTCGCCCCCGCGATGCGGCGTCGTCGCCTGCGACGGGTCAATGCCCAATTCCTCGAGCGTGGGCGCCGCGAAGTCCCCCTTCGGACCCATGATATTATGGTACTGTGTCTCCGACTTCTTGTTTCTGTGTTCCGAGTTCACATCCGGCTCTGTGTCAGGGATGTCCTGGTCCAATTCCCTCAGGTCCATGCGACTCTCCTCCCACGGATCCGGGACGCTGGTCGGGGCCGCCAGCGGCTGGTCTGGCACCCCGCCATTGAGCTTCTCGGCCGCCTTCTCCAATTGAGTGATGCTCATCGTTGGCTTGCGGTCGTTGACGCGCACGATCTCGTCCGAATCGAACAGTGTCCTCCCACTCTTGATGACCACCGTCACGCCCGCCTTCTCCGCCAGCTGCACCACTTGGTTGTCTCGATCCCGAGCATAGGCGTCGGTGTCCTTCTCGAAGACCAGGTGGGTCACCCCCCAGGTCCTCCACAGCTTCGGGAGCACGGTCTGGGGCGCCTCGCGCACGAGCCAGAGTCTCTGCTTCGGGTTCAGCTTTGTGTAGGCGGCAGAGAGATCTTGTTGGCTTTCGAGCAGGAATCGCCAGCGGTTGGGCCCGACGCGGGCGCGGTAGACGTAGTGAGGATCCCAGGTCCAGACAGGGATGAAAATGGATGGTTTGAGTTCCAATGCGGCGGTGAGTGCTGGCGCGTCGTGGAGACGAAGGTCGGTTCGGTGCCAGAGGAGGACAACGGGCCCGCCGTTCGGTTTCTTGAGCTTCGGAGGCATGCTGCTGGATGATGGTGCGCGCGCAGGCGCGATTGAGGACGAGCGAGCGCTGCTTTTGTTGAATTTAAAAACAGCAGCGAGATTGGTGTGAGTGAGAGAGAGGGAGGGAGGGAGGGAGAGAGAGAGAGAGAGATGAATCTCCTGCTGGTCTAGACTCGGCCGATCGTCGCGTCGCATTCCGATCGATCTGATGATGTCATGCGGTCCACCCTTGCGGTGTTTGCGGTGTTTGCGGTGTTTGTGGTGTTTGTGCTCTTTGGTTTATTCTGCCGTCGCACACCGTACCGCCAGTCCTCTTATCTTATCGGCCCAGCTTCAAGTTGCATCAGCGATGTCATGGTCAGTCAGTGGTCGCAAACACCTGGCAACAACAGAGTCTTCGTCTCTTTGGAATCACGGACTCACGGAATTACGGAATCACGGACTGCATGAGTTCTCCAGTGTGACATACTCCCAGCTCTGTCAGTTACATCAGGAAAGCCTCTTCAGTCATTTTTCATTTTTCACTTATAGCCAAGGATGCGTTGAATCAACAGTGTATGCGGGGTATATTTTCGCAACAATCTGGCTTGCTGATTTCGATTCGTATCATTCCCACCAGCGTCCGGATCCAAGGTATCCTGGCCTGTTCCACAGCTCTCTTGGCCGCCAAGAGCAAGTATCATCCGTCCGATCCCTACTCAAGGGTTATTCCGGCGGCCGGTCTGACAGCCTGGCAATGTAACGCAGGACTCAGTCATCTTCAGAAGAAGACTTGCCATTTTGCCCCCCGTGAAAAGTTGAACATCCCCCCTCAGATGTCCCCTGTGCGCGAGTACTCGTTCCCTCGGAGTCGATATGAATTCATCTGCATATAATAGCCATGAGATCCGGACACATACACAACGACTAAATGATTCCAGCCGCTAAAGTGCTCCCATCTACGCTTCTCTTGCTGGATCCTCTCATCTCTTCCCGTGCTCGCATCTATTCCTATATCCGCATCCTTTTCAATGCCTTCGTACTTGATCACGGGAGCCTCTCGGGGCCTGGGTGTGGGTACTGTATCCAACCTTGTGGATATGATACTGAAACGTGCATAGCAGTGGGAATTTCTCCGCCAGATATCAAGCGATCCGAAGAATACGGTCATTGAGCTCGTCCGCGATAAGCCTGCAACCGAGAAGCGGGTTATGGAAGAGCTGGAATCCCCCTTGAACATGCACATCTTGCAGGCAGACATAACCGACTACAACAGCTTACAGGTGGAGATTCGCATTTTCCAGCACGGATGCTTACTGTGTGGCTAATGATACCCAGGCAGCATCAGCTCAGACCGCGCTCATCACCGGTGGAGGTCTCGACTACCTCATCGCTAATGCAGGCTACGTATCGAAATTCGATGCATATGATGGAATTGGTGTTCTGTAGGAAGATTCTAATGCCCCTGCATCACTGGAGACAACTGACATGTTTTTGTTCTCCTAGGGGCGAGCAACCCGAGGCGCTGGAAGAAGACCTCACACACGGCTTTCGAGTCAACGTCCTGGGCAACATCCACCTGTTCAACATTTTCCTGCCCCTAATCCTCCAGGGCGAGGCCAAGAAGGTCATCGCTATCTCTACCGGTGTGGCAAATCTGAGCCTTATCCCGAAGTATAATGTGGAGGTCGCGTCGCTGTATGCCATCAGCAAGGCGGGGTTGAACACCGCGGTGGCCAAGTTCAGTGCACAGTATGCCAAAAAGGGGGTGTTGTTCATGAGCATCTGTCCCGGCATGGTGGAAACCGGCCATTTCACAGACGGTATGTAACCTGCGACCGGTGCATTGTCGTACCATCGAGGAGCTCTAATTCTACCTAGCGACTCCCGAGCAAATGCGAGGCCTGGCAGGCATGCTCACGGCTTTTCGCGAGTACGCCCCGCATTTCCGCGGCCCCAGTACCCCCGAAGCAGCCGAGCGAGACGTGCTCTCAGTGATGCACAGAGCTAGTGTTCAGAACGGAAACGGCGGCACCTTCGTCTCGCATGATGGGACTCAGCAGTTTCTGTGACAAGACTCAGACAGCATTTCATACACTCTCCCCCACAGCACTATATCCACAGACCCAAAGGAAAACATATTCAGAAGAACTCCAGCTAGGCCACCCGCAAATAACAAGTATGATCAATTACACATTGCATCTGACACAGCCCAACCCCTCTTCACAAAGCACGGCCTCTCCTTATAAACCCTTCTTCCCCTGATAATACTCAGGATACGAAACCTGATACCCAAGCATCCACCTGCCCCACGCCGCCACCACAATCGTGAACACCCGACTCACAATCACTCCCAGCCCATGCCACGGCAACGGCAACGCGAGCGGGATATCCGCCGCATGCAGGAACACCATCAGCTGGAACAGGCTCGGCGCCTGCTGGGCGATCTTGCAGTCGTCCAGGTACCCGAAGAAATTGCGAAAGAAGCGCTCCTCGACCTCGTAGTCCACGGGGGAAAGCCTGACGTCGAAGACGAGTTCCTCGGTGGCGGAGGCGTTTTGCAGGCGGTGGTACGTCTTGGGCGGGATCGTCGCGGTGGGTTGATGGTTTCCAGCGTCGTCGTTGGTGGTGGTAGTGGTAGCCGTCAGCTGTTTCCAGGGTTTCGGGTCCACGCCTTTGTACAGGTTCATGCTGCCCATTACGACGCGGAAGGTCTCGGTTTGGTGGATGTGATAGTGGAAGGGGGGCTCCATGATGGAGATGTCGTTGTCGCGTGGTGGCAGGGTCGTGCGGAAGACGTAGTCCTCGTGCGAGGCGTAGAAGGAGACGGAGGAGCGGCCATTTTCATACACAATGGGGTTTTGGGAGGCCCGGTTGATTCGGGGAGGGGGTTGAGCGCGCAGAAAGGATAGCATGGTGGATGGCTTGCTGGAGGGTGAGGCTGATGATCTACACTGGGACGGGAGGGCGGCCTGTAAGCTTGCCTATATATACCTGTAGGTGAATGGGATGGCGGCTTATTCTGGCCCGATTATGGTTTGTCATGAAAGAAAGGAGGCTCTTTCATGGTTTCATAAGATAGCTCATAAGAGGTCACGGTGGATCATCGCCCTCGTATCCTGCGTCATCGGGCCAATGATGTGCTGGGAAGACTCGTGATCAGTAATCATCAGACCCCTTGACCGCTGGTTCGCATTCAGCTTGACACGTGAAGCCCCAAGCCAGAACATGGTAGGGCTGGAGAAGGTTGGGCTGATGAACACTGGAGATGGAAGTAGGGTTGGGCATGAGGAGGTGGTGGCTGCCGGTCTTGTGGCTGCCGGTCTTGTGGCTGCCTTAGATATTAGGCACCGACCGTCATTCTGTTATTCGAGGGAGTTCCATTGCTGCAGGTGAGCGATGACTCCAATCTCCATACAACTACAAACATTTTGGCAGCGATACAAGAGAGGGTAGAATGGACGTCACGCAGCAGATCAGCAGTTAGAGGCAATGGCAATCGGTGTCTTGACAACGAACCAATTTCAGGGCATGACAGTCTACCGACCTACAACATCCACTCGGTTCAACCACCTCGGATTACTTCAAAGAGCGTCAAAGAGCAAAGTACAGTCATCATCAAAGTACATTGAAATTTTCAGTCTCAACCACGGTATCCTGCATGTGCCACCGTCCTCCCTATGATTTAGCCCAAGCACGGAAATAGGTATGCATCAGCTCACCCATGCTGGGCACCGCAAGCAATTCGGGAAACTCCTCCAACGCTTCTCGAAGCTTCCGTGTGTCAAAGTATGCATCCGTGCCAGCATCGAGCCTCCAGAAGTTGATAAACTCGTGCAATGTATCGACCATCATGGACGAACCCTGTCTCAGTCGCGGATCCGCGCCTTGTCGGAATTCTTCGATCCATTCGGCCGTCGGCAAGCGGCGGAGTGGGGAGGGGCATTCGCGACTCAGCAGCTCGAAGGTCTCTTCGAGTGTCACGGTTTGAGTCTGGTCTGGCCGCACAATGTTGAACGCATGGCCAAGGCTGGCAGGGGCTAGAGACAAGCGCAAAAGAGCAGAGCAACAAAAGTCAACCGGGGTAAATTGATTGCGGATGTTAGGCGCAGCCGGATAGCTGCCCAGGCGGATGCAACTGCTCATCAGATAATTCACCAAGTCGGACGCTTTGGATATGCCCGTCACACTATGAGCAGTGACATAGCCGGGTCGGTGGATGGTGACGGGGAAGCCGTTGGCAATCGCGTTCCAGGCCACCTGTTCGGCGACAACCTTGCTTTGTGCATAGCCAAACAGTTGTTTGAGAGCATCCGGGTCGAAAGTTGGTCGCTCATCCTCAGGAAACATCCCGCCCGTGAGATGAATGACCGTACCCCAGGCACTGATCGAGGAGGTATAATGGAATGGCTTCAGACGACCGGTGTTGGCGAAACAAAGTAGATGGTACAGGCCCATGACATTGACGTCTCGGTGGTATGAGTAAGGCAAAGTCCAATCAACCACCGCGCCCAAATGAAACACCACACTCGCCCAATGGGCGAGTTCTGTATACTGCTTCGCTCCGAGACCTAGCATGGGATCGACGAGATCTCCGGCAACTGCCTTCAACTTGGACTCCAAACCGAGCTGGAGACCATAGTCGTGAAGGGCCTCCTTGATTCTCGAGAGACCCGTTTCGGCATCGGGAGCTCTTACAAGACACATCACCTGCTGTACATGCGGTAGGCCAACCAGTAAGGTGAGGAGGTAAGCCCCGAGAAACCCAGTCGCGCCGGTGAGTAAAACACGGCCTTCTCCAGGGGTATGCCATTCTGGCGCTGTCCCCGCTACTGGGTGGAGGTCTCGACCCAGTTCCCAATCTCGTTGGCATAACTCGGCATCGTCCGTCTCGCCACGATTGGCATCAAGCAGGGCACCTGCATCACCAGGCTTCAGCTCCTCAGAGGCATACTTGGCACGGAGAATCTTCATCGTTGCTTTGCTGAGTCCCCCTACGGTCCCCGCGTTCGCGATCTCAAGGAGGGAGATTTCGACTTTGACGTGACGGCGGAACCAGCTTCGAATCTCAATCGCCATGAGCGAGTCAATAGCAATAGCAGCCAGTTCTTCCAGTTCCATGTCCTCTGGGTAAGACATGTGGGTCGCAATCATCTTCCCCAGCTCGTAAGTGAATTGGTTCTCGGTATCTGGGTCGTAGAGGATGGATGGATCTTTGTCAATCTCGGCGAGGAAGTAACGGAGCTTGTCTTCCTGTTCACCTAGGTCTGGCCCATCGGTGTTTGAGGGATGGCTCCACGCTGCAAATCGGATGTCTCTGACCCACCAAGGTTTCGCATTACCTTCCGTAGAAGTCCCACTCGTACTAATCCCGAGGGCAACCTGAGGGGGCCCGTTGAGAACCGCGAGTTCCAGGGCCTGTAACAGATCCCGCTCACTCAATACCTGCATGCGGAGAGTTCGATTGAGTTCCACCGTCCGCTGGGACTTCTCAGCGATGTATCCAATGTCTCCCATGAATCCAAGGTCGAGCACATGAGCAGGAAGATTCTGGGCTCGGCGAAAGTGAGCGAAGGCGTCGAGATAGGTGTTCGCAGCAGCATAGTTGGCTTGACCTGTCATACCACACAGTCCACTGATTGAACTGAAAAGAATGAAGAAGTCAAGTGGCAGAGTCTTGGTGGCCTGATGGAGATTCCACGTTCCGTCCACTTTCGGCTGAAGCACTTGGGTCCATTCATCGAACGTCATCTCGGCGAATGATTGATTCTGTATGTGTGCCGTTCCAGACCGGTGTCAGTTAGTCCAAACAAAGCAATCTTATGTTGAGGGGGTCAATGGTGATCCTAACCTGAAGAACCATGGACATTTAAATCACACCCGCTAGAGGTTTAGGTGAGCATCGCACGGCGCGATCAACGTCATCCAGGTTGACTACAGTCCCTTGAATGACCGTAACCTCGCATTCAGCTTGCGCCTTCAGGTCCTCGATAAATGATCTGACGATAAGCGCGCTTGAGCCTGAGCGAGACAGAAACACAAAGTTGCGTGCCCCCCTCTCAACCATCCAGGTAGCAATCGCGCGGCCGAGGCCTCCCAAGCCTCCGACGAGAAGATAAGTTACGTCAGATCGGAACAAAGCGCTGCTGACATGGGCGCCAGTTGCCTGGAGTGTAGAAGGGTCGTCGGGCATGCGAATAACAATTTTGCCAAGGTGCTGTCCAGCTTGCATCAGTCGAAAGGCTTTGACAGCATCTGCCGCGTCGAACATATTGACTGGTTGAATGGGCTGCAACGTTCGCTCTTCATGTAATTTCATTAGCTTGGTTATTGTCTCACGAACAACATCAGGGCGTTCCAGTCTGAGCTTGAACAAATCCACCCCAAAAAAGGCGCGATTCCCACCGAACATGTCCATGTCCAGCTTGCCGTGGCCGAGGAAGTCTCGTTTTCCCAGTTCAACCATCTTGCCATACGCAGCGACGCATCTCCAAGAGGCATGCAACAGCTCGCCTGCCAGGGAGTTCAATACGACGTCGACACCTCGATTCTTGGTGCGCTCCATGATGCCCGAGACAAAAGATGTGCTGCGTGAATCGAAGATGTGGTCTTCGGAGATAGCACAGTGGTCCATCAAGTACTGTCTCTTCTCCGGACTTCCTGCCGTGACATAAATTTCAGCGCCTAGCATCTGACAGATTTGAATTGAAGCAAGTCCGACGCCACCGCAGGCGCTGTGGATTAACACCGACTGACCAGGCTGTATGTCTGCCACGGTCACCAACGAATACATCGCGGTCAAGAAGATGCATGGCGTTGCAGCGGCATCTGCCAAGTTCATCTGGGTTGGAATTCGGTAACAAAAGTCGGCGGGCAGCACCTTGCGTGTGCACATCAACCCCGTACCTGAGAGTACCACAGACTCGCCTACCTGCAGCGTAGCCACGGCGGATCCCACTCTGCGCACGATCCCGCTGCCATCAATGCCGATTTCATCGGTAGAGCCCATCAAGCCCATGCTGACCATGATATCCTAGAAAACGTATGGTCTGAGTACACGGATTTGCCATCCGGAATGGAGGACCTAACTCACCCGAAAGTTTAACCCAACGAACTTGATGTCAACTTCCACCTCGTCTGCCCCAAGGGCCTGAGGTGGATTGGCGAACTGCCATGCGATTGAGTCGAGGATACCGAAGCACTTCACATCCATGGCTCTCGGAACACAGCTCTGTACCGAGCTCATAGCATGTTCCGTAGAGTACCATCCGAAACGCGGAACGTGTATCAATCCATCATGCAGTGCGAACTCATGATCAAACTCGAAGCGAGTCTCTTCCCCGTGAGCTTTGATCGCGTCGAGGACGCCGAGAACACCTCGGATGGCATCGTCGTCGAATTCATCGACCTCAATAGTCATGGCCTTAACACCAATGTCCTGGCGAAGGACTCTTATCAATCCAGATACCAGAGCGTATCGCGGATCGAGCTTCAGGCCATACAGCGGGTGAATTGGTCTTGTCAGCCATATTAGGTGTCCTCGAAGGGAAACGACCGACTTTTGGAAATTCTCGTAATTCTCGCGAGTGATGGTGTGTAAAAATGGGCTTTCTACATCCAACAGAGAGATGACATCCGTGTTCTCTGCTGGAGTGGTGCCTAGAGCGAGCCATTGGACATCCCAACCATGTAGAAGAAGTTGAGTCTCAAGTTGACGAGCCCATTTGGGGATGGGGCCATGATGAAGGAGACCTAGCGCCCCCCTCTCACTTGCCCTTGGCGACGAGACTCTCGACAGCATATTTGCGTTAACATGATAAGGGGCCTCATTATCCAAGCGCACGACATCGGTGCCCGTAAAGCCTGCTTCCAGCAGAGCATGATGCCATTGCTCTGGGCTGAGGTAGGGGCGTTCGCGCCCATCATTTGCAAGCCACCAACTTGGTAGAGCGCCCATGATGTAATCAAATATAGGAACATCATGACTCAACTCCTGTAGCAACAAGCGGCCCTCGGGTGCCAGAAGCTGCCTGACGTTTTTCAAAGACTCGAGAATGTTAGGGGTTGCGTGCAGGACATTTGATGCGATCACCAAGTCGTAGCTCTCGCTCTCGAATTCTTGCTCCCGGGGATCTTTAGATATATCCAGCGTTAGATATTCCATCCCTGCATGCTGTTTGAACCTTTCTTTCGCTGGTGCGAGGAAGGCTGCTGAAATGTCGGTAAAAGTGTACTTATCGTACATCCTGCCTTTGTTTGGTCCCGATGCCCTTGAGAGGCCATCAAGTACAGCGGAGGTGGTCCCACCGGTGCCGCCCCCAATCTCTAATACGCGCAGTGTCGGCTTCGAATGCGCGAGTGTTGCCAGGTACTCCTCCCACCGCGTGATCGAGGGCATGTTGGCATACAGATGCTGAAGTCCGTCATCCTGCATCAGTAGCTCCAGCGGGTTGACTTGATTGTCGAGAATCTCGGTAATGTTCAAAAGGATCCTCTCAGCAAGTGCAAGTGGGTCAGCAATTGATGGGGGAAGCGATTGGCGCAATGACGCCTCGAGGTAGGGCCATCGTGCAGTCGGGTTATTGGCAAACTTGTCCCTGATCTCTGGGACAAGGTTGGAATTGCGATCACAAATCTGAGCATGGGTTTTCTCAATCCAAGAGAGGTATTTCTTCAGGTGGTCTTGTTTGGGGCAAGCCGAACGTGTTCTGTGAAAGGTCTCGACGATGAACAATCCAAAAAGTTCTGCCAACAGCTTTCCTGGGAATAGGCCCTTCTCAATAGGAGGCAATAAAGTGTCGAGTGGCGTGAAATCAACATACGGTCTCCATTCGATGGTTGACAGCGGCGGTGCCGGCGTATCCTCAAGAGCAGACTCCGAAACACCAAAGAATGTTGCGTGCTGCATCGAGAGAACCACACGATCCTGACACGCGAGGAAGGCCTCCCCGGTCATCATTCCACCGGTCATGTCACACGAAACATTCAGTTGCATAGTATCGCGCGCGTGAGCAACATGGAGATCTTGAATGGCAGTCGGGATACACAATCGAGTCATACGACGACTAATACCCTGTGTGGCCGCCACACTCAAGAGCTGCAGACACTGATCGATGAGAATGGGGTGGAGAGCATACTCGCTCACATGGTAGTTATCGCTGTCTTGTAACTCCGCAGCCGCACGGCTGCTTGATGGGCTCGCAGTGATCTTGCGGAGTCTCCGGAAATGGGCTCCGTACTCTAATCCTCGAGCTTCCAGTGCAGCATACCATTTTTCCGAAGACACTTCTCGTAAGTAAGCTTGGATTTGCGTGTCCGGGTGTCTGCGATTGGACCCAGCGCGGATTTGCCCCACACAATGTTTGGTCCAGACCCCGTGCTGATACGAGCTGATAGTGAATTCATACCAGTGAGAGTCGACATTATCCGCCAGCTTGTGAGGACGAATACTTGTGATGAGTTCGATTCCTTCGGGTTCGTCACCGGAAAGAACCAAGGCAGCTCTAATAAAGAGATTTTGAATGGTGTAGTCATCGCTATTCGATACTTGGCGGACTGCTTCACCCGCCATGGCGACATATGCTGCACAAGGAAACACAACCTCTCCAGTGATTCTATGATCTAGAAGCCAGAGAACGTTATCCAGTTGCAGCAGGTTTCTCCAAACAGGCTCTACATCAGTGGATTCGAGGCATCGCGACCCCAGCAATTCGTGATGCCGCGTTTCGCGTAACCGCCAGTCGTGCGCCATCCGAGTCTCGCTCCAAAAGCGCTCATCATGCGTCCAATAGTACGGTGGGAGGTCCGTGAGGACCTTCGCCTGAGGAATAACTTTACTCAAATCAATCGACACGCCACGTATGTGTAGGTGGCCGGCTGTCCTCAGGAGGCATTCCCAGGGCTCTTTGCCTCTGACTAAAGTCGGCGTATATTCTGGTCGCTGTTTCTCTTCCACCTGAGATATAATGTGGCGCAAAGGCGCCTCGAGCACAGAGTGTGGGCCAAGTTCCACGAAAAAATGAGACCCTGGGTGAGTGCTCCAGCAAGTTCTGGACTGCCGTTCTGAACAGAAACGGAGACTCTAAGTTCTGTCGCCAGTATGCAGCAGTGAGTTGCCCGGGTTCCATAATGGTCTCGCCGGTGACGGTCGAGTAGAGCGGAACCATGGTGGTGTTGAACATCAAATTGCCCAACAGTCGCTCATAAGCTTCGCCAACTGATTTCATATGATGGGAGTGATATGCAACGTTGACGGCCAGGCGACGACAAAAGACCTCCTTGGCCTCCAGGTCTCTAATGATCTCCTCCAGCAGCTCCTTGTCACCAGAAAGCGTGACACTTTTGGAGCTGTTGTCACATGCGATGACCACGCCTTCTTTGAGGAACGATTTCGCCTCCTCGATACCCAACCCGACCGCCGCCATAGCACCTGCAGAGTTTGCTGTATCAATAGCTTGCCCACGGCGGTATGCAATTGTGATCGCTGTTTCTGCTGAGGTGGCCCCAGATGCATATGCAGCAGCTATCTCTCCGCTCGAATGGCCCGCGACCATCGATGGGATAACTCCCCACTCTCGAAGCAGGTTGACGAGACCGATCTGAACTGCTGTACAAAGCGGCTGGGCTAGCCTTGATGCACGCATCCGGTCGACATCGTCGCAATTGAGAAGTTCGTCTAAGGAATATGAGTTTCATTGATGCCAAAACAATGTTTATATCATACCTTCAATGGACCACCCAGTTGCGTTTGGAAGTTGCTGCAAGTGCCGATCGAGGGCACGAATGTCTGCTTGGAATTGGGGTGATCTTCGCAGAAGCTCTCTTCCCATTCCAGGCCACTGGGCCCCTTGACCGCTGAAGATGAACACAGTCTCCCGACTGGTGACTCGAGACCGAGCGACTGTAGTCAGAGCTCCATCCGCACCCACTATAGAAAACGCCCGATGGGGTAGTTGTTCCCTGTGGAACCCCAGGGTGTAAGCCATATTACCACTAAGCGCTGGGTAAGCCTCGAAGTAATCACAGGCATTCTGGACGTTGCCATCCAGTGATTTGGAACTTTTAGCGGAGTGTAGTAATAGATGAGCCACTTCATTTCTCAGGCTCGCATCCGTCTTGTTCTCGGGTCGTTGGCCACAGATCGAGGCGGCAGAGTCGATCACAACCTTGGTCGAGTTACAGTGAGCACACTCGAGCATTATCAGCTGTTCCAGGGGACTTACGTGCGCATTGGTGCCTCCAATACCAAAGGAGTTCATACTAACTCTTTCATGTCGGTCGCTTGGCCATGGAATGGCTTCGACCGGTACCTTTAATTTAGCCTGTTCAAAGGGAACTATTCCCATGTAAGTGAGGTAATTTTTGGGGGCTGTGATCATGCAAACCCACTTTTCGAATTGGGCTCCTCGAAGAACACATTCGGAGGTATAGTCCTATTTTCTAAAGCGAGGACACATTTGATGATACTCGTAATGCCAGAGGCACCTTCCGAGTGACCGACATTGGGCTTGACCTGAATGCCTCATCATATTATAGCTGTCACTTAAATCTTCACACAGCGGAGAGGGGCCAACTTACCGCGCCTATGTAGATGCCGTCTTTGCCGAAGATTTCGGCCACCACCGAGGTCTCCGCCACGTCTCCCACCGCAGTGCCTGTGCCGTGACATTCAAAAAATGCTGTCTTGCCGATGTCCTCGATTCCAGCTTTGTGGTACGTTCTGCGGATCAATCGTTCTTGTGCCTGGGATCTGGGTGTAGATATGCTCGGAGTTTTTCCATCGCAGTTGACGGACGTTGATCGGATCACCGCACGGATGGGATCGCCGTCCCGGATGGCCGCATCGAGAGGCTTGATGAAAATGGCATTGATAGCCTCTCCTCGGCCATAGCCGTCCGCGTTCTCGTCGAATGTTCTGCACGTTCCACTGGGAGATAGCACCATATTGAGGGAGGTCGTGATTGACATTGTGGGTGTGATGATCAGACTAGTCCCTGCGACGATGGCAGAGAGACATTCCCCGGAATAGAGTGCCTGGCACGCTTCATGCAGGGCAACCATGGACGATGAACAACCCGTCCGAAAGACCACGCTGGGGCCCCTCAGGTCATACTGGTAGGAGACATTGTTGGCCAGCGCAAAGTCCCCCGTCCCCATCACGCGGTATCGGTCAATGGCCAGAGTGTCCTTACTGGCCAGGTCTAGCCAGTCTTCACCGAAATTGCCCACATAGCAGCCAATATTGGTTCCTTGCCAATCGGTCTGGCCCGCGTTCTCCATACACTCCCACACCACCTCCAGTAACATTCGCTGCTGGGGATCCAATTTGGAGGCCTCGATCTTCGACATGCCGAAGAAGCCGGTGTCTATCTGGGCGATGTCTTGTTGTAAGAAGTAGCCGTGCTCAGTCCGAATGGTCCCGGGAACCCCGTCACAATGGTAGAAGGCGTCGATATTGTACCGATCCCTGGGTACCCGGCAAAGGCCGTCTCTTTTGTCGATCAGCATCTGCCAGAAGTCACTGGCGTTGGTCACGCCTCCCGGTAGCCTCATCGCCATACCTACGATCGCAATGGGGACGGGAGCAGGGAAACCGGTGTCATCGACATTATCGTTCGGATGTGTCGCACTCATCGTCTCAGTGGCTGTGGGCAGTTGTGCCGCTGCTGGAGAGGAAGAAAGCCCAGCTGAGTGCTCGAAGAAGGGCGAGATGTCATCCAAGGAGGATTGGGCCATTTTTGCTTGTCGGGATATTTGAGAGAATGGTGAGAATTACAGGAGAGACGAGAGTGAGAGTAATAACCCGTGCATCAGGGTAGGCGAGGGTAGAGTAATCTGGCTCGGAGGTTCTCACATGTCGATGATGATGATAATGATGGTGTGCCCGGTTTACTGGGTGGTGATACGATAAATTCGGCAGGTGATGGTACCGCGAATTCGAGCTGTCAAGCTCCATCGTGGTCAGCGGAGGGAAAGGGCTTGATGGATCATGATTGATCATTGCCCTGGGTTGGCAGCGAGGATCTGCGAAGACTGCGAAGACTGCGAAGACTGCAAAGACTAGCATAAGGTGAGATGTGTTGCTGTCGGTGGAGGATAGGTAGATGAAGTTGTAACCGTGAAAGCACCGATCGAGGGATCGTCCCGAGTCAGTGACACCGCTAGTCCCAATCAAGTCATACGTAGTACGCGCCCGCCGCGGTCGGGAGCAATGGTGTACAAGCCTAGTAGGTAGTAACTATACAAGTATCTGGTTAAGAGTGTCGAATTGCATGGATTCACCAACTATGTATAACTATGTATAACTCTACTATGCCTAAGGCGAACTCTTCGTCAGCGGCCAAAGCAACGCCCCAACCATCCCCTTGGCCCAGCCAATCCATCCCCGCGCAGCCACCACCGTTTTCACGGCCTTCATCATCCGGTCCGTGAAGATGTCCGTGGTCTCCACATCGTGCAATTGACACTCCCAAACGCCTTTCTCGTAATCCTCGCCCGCAGCAATCGTGTACTGCACCGCCTCCTCGAGAGAATCCCGGGTCAAGTACGCACGGTCGGGGAGGTCCAGCTTCAACCGGGGGCCAGTGACCAGAGAGCGGCCGCTGCATTTCTGGTTGGCCATGAGATACGTGGCCGCCTCGACCACATCCTCCGGCTGCCCGAGGGGGACTCCAGCTAATACCATGCGACCTGGCCCATTCAACATGCCAATGTCGGTGAAATAGGGGCAGATGATGTTGACGCGAATGCCGCCCGAAACGGGGGCTGTGACGCGCAGGCACCGGAACAGACCCAAGACCGCATGTTTGGTGATCGTGTAGGGTGCCTGAGTGATGAGCGGGTGCAAGCTCGCCGTTGAGCCGACCAGAAGGATATGGCGATCTCGCGGAGCGGTCTGCCCGGTTTCGGAGCATGGTAGCGAGTCGGGGTTCCGAGGGAGGTACCACTGGGCCAGGTGGACCGTATACAGGACCCCCGTCAGATTGATGTCGACCGTCTTCATGCTGGGCGCTGGGGGGTTGGGGTCATTCGAGTAGTCCACGGCAGGGTACTCGAGCCGTCTCGCCTCGTCCCGATCGTTGACGCCAGCATTAGCCACGACGGCATCAATCCCACCGTGCGAGCTGAGCTGCACCGCTTGTCGGAAGAAGTTGACTTGGGAAGCCCACGATGTGACGTCGAGATGGATGAAGTGCACGTTGTCGTTGGAGGAGTCGGAGCGAATCTGCGCCACGGCCGTCTCTCCGGCGGGATTGATGTCCCCAACAATCACCTGGGCGCCAGCGGCAGCCCAGCGAGTGGCAAAGGCGGCCCCGAAGCCCGAGGCACCGCCCGTGACGAGGATCGTTTTGCCTTGGAGGTTCGAAAGGCTGTAGTCCAGGCTCAACATGGTGGTTGTTTCCGCTGGTGAAAGCAACCCCCGACGACGGGAGGCCGAGGTTGAGCAGAAGCTTTTGTAGCGGAAATCAAACAGGGTGCGGACCTCATCGATGGCTCATCGATGGCTCATCGGGTTTTCTTGCTGGTTGAGCTGTGGCGTGCGATGTTCAGCTGAGTGTTACTCGTATCGACTGGTGGAGGCTGGCTGCGTGACGGGGCCGGCCAGGCAGGCAGGCTAGTAGGTTCATGATGTATGTAAAGTTATCATCCAGTGGCTGTACTGGACTGGGGTGATCTTCATCGGCTAATGTGGCCTCATTTGAGGGTTTCTTGCTGCTGCTGCTCCACCCGTCGCCAGCTGTGGTGTGTAAGTAGTTGGGTGGACGATCTGCTTGTGAACGCCGGGCGAAAATTGCCCAGTGCGACCGTGGAGTGCGACCGTGGGGGTCAGGCACTCAGGCAGTCAGGCAGCCAGGCAGCACTTGACTTCTGAGGCATCCATCGCCCGACCCATCATCAACCGTGGACATGTCTTACATCTAGATACCTTATCCTAGAGGTACGGTACTCACCACTCTACAGTACGTGTACGCATGCCAGTGTACATACAGTCTATGGTACTCCTTGCGGTGTCGTATACAAAGATACTCGGGTCTTTCTGCGGTTAGTGTTATTTTGTCCTGCTTATCTCTCTCTCTCTCTCTTTCTGGTTTTGATCATTATTTTGTATCTCAATTTCTTTGTGATTTATGTTGGATTATGCTGTGCTGACCCTACCAGGATTAGCAATCAGCTTGGTTTTTGTTTTATTGTTTTGTACTTTCCTTGCCCTCGTCTGTGGCCAATCCGCTCTCCGCAGTCAGCAGGACTCAGGACTGCGTACAAATGTCATCCGGGGTGGGATTATCTCTGGTATCATCGCTAGTGCCAACACCGGCCGAGTCCTTGACAGCAAGCTGGCTGGGTTGAGCCTCTGCCACTTCCACTTCTGTCTCCACAGAGGAAGGTGGCTCGGAGTCTGTGGACGAAGTCAAAGAAGGTGGAATACGCTCAGCCCTATCCTTGTCCGGACTCTTCCGAGTGCTCGGACTCGACTCCACGTCACGGAAGGAGTTTTTGGCACTGGGATGTGCAGACGAAAGCTCCATAGGATCATGAACCGGCGCCGCCACGTCCTCTTCGGTCACCATAGAAGAGCCTGCAGAATATTGCTCCGGTTCATCTTCTTCGGTGGCCATTGGAGACCCTGGCTCGGAATCTGAGCCAGCGACTGTTTCGGGGAGAGAACCAAATGAAACGTTGGCAGGAAGAACGGGATAGGCCTCTTGATCTTTGGGTGGATCAGAAGCAGCGACATCGGCTTCAGCATCAGCGGTGGCTTCAGGGCTGCTTGGAGATGGTCCGGGGGCAGTCGGATCTTCAGCAGCACCAATCACCTTGCTCCTCGCAGTAAGCTCTTCTTCAGGAGTTCCAGGAACACCGGGATCGTCACCTTCTTCAGCAACGTCAGTCTTAGCAGTCCACTCAGTTTCAGGGGTACCAGGAACTTGAACCGCGGCATTGTCGGAGTCCGAAGTGGCAGTGCTTGCCACAGCCCTTGAGGGCGCTGGCGGCTCTTCCTCAGTCACAGGCGTGCTGGGATCACTAAGGGCTGCAAAACTACTCGCAACCGAAGTATTCGCGATTGTGGGATGAAAACTATCGCCAGACGTGCTCGCCATGGATCCCCCGGCAAAAGCACTGTAATCAGGGACATCACCATCGTAGATGTCGCGAGCCAATTTCTCTGGCCACTGAGGGGTGGGCAAAGGCGCGAGGATGCCTACCTTGTCCAAGGCCTGCGCCATGCGCTGCACATAGACCTCAAGCTCCTTGAAAGGCTCTCGAGCATGCACCGCGCGCCAGACTCCATCCAAGTGATGGTCCAGGGCCTCATAGCCGATGACCTCCGGTTTGAGCTTCCTTGAGATCAGATAGTCCAGGACGCGCGCGCCCATGAACCAGTGATAGCTTTCTTCCGGCCCCAAACACCACCGCCGCGCCCACTGGATTAGGTGCATCTTAATATAGTACACCGGCTTCAGCATCCTGAGCCTGGTTAGAACGAACTTGGGGAGTTCCCACTGGTCCTCATTCATCCAGATCTCATCATCGTCCTCGGGGACTACACATGACCCAAGGACCTTGGAGCATGTGTGCAGGTACAGATCCAAGTGCGGCGCGCCCCCGGTGGACAGTTGCACGATTTCGGTTCCCACATCATGAGAACCCCCGGATCGGCCGCACACCTGGTTCAGACCACGACTGAAGCTCTTCTCGTAAAGAAGCTGGACCGCACGGGCCATAGAGGCATTTTCGACGACGAATTCGATGTAGTGCGGCACGCCCAACTGGGTATCCTCCACTCCGTATAGCCGAACTATGGAGCCAGTCCACACGATGTACTTGATTTCGGCCTCGTCGAAGATCTGGGCGATCTTCTCGATCTGGGTGATCGCAGGGAGTTTCTCAAAGGGGAAAATCATGGTGTAGCCTTTTCCGTTGGTGTGTAAGCGGACTAAGCGGGGGTTACAGAGGGAATAGTCGCCACCAGTGGTGTTCGCATGAATCTTTATATACACCATGATGTGACTTCCGACGCCGGTAGAAATGAGTGCAATCATCCGTTCCACAACTCGTCCAACCGAAACACTCCATCAAAATGGACGGTGAGTATGCCCAGAAAAGCCATAGCAAGAGGAGGATATCAACCCATCACTGTTTGAGGGTATAACCCGGTAAGATTGTGAAGAACTTCTTATAGTGTGTCCGGAAATTGTCCTTTCCCCATGATATCTTTATTCTCACCGGAGAATTTAGCTGGAGGAATGGAAACTACTCATCGTGACCTAGGTCAGGATGGACTTCGACGGGATAAGCCTGATCGCACATTCACACGCTGCGATCCTCATATTCACCCGACAGCTCCGAGAACGGAAAGTGGTATATGGTGCCCCCAGGGCCTATGCAATAGCTTCGATCTCATCCGGGTACTGCAACTGATTCTGCTCGCGAACCTGGTCAAACACCCTCATCATCAATAGCGTCTCTGCCAAGGGCATGACCGGCGATTCGCGCTCGCCAGCCTGCACGCGCCGGGCACATTCATCTGCCTCCCAGAACAGTCCATGGCCCACCGGGATCGGAAATGCGGTTGTAGAAACGTCTCCCGCCGACCCATAAACCACCACTTTGATACTATCCGGACGCGCGGCGGGTCCAAATACTTGGATCTGTCCTTTTGTCCCAAGAATGCGGACGCCTGGTTCTTGCGGATCGGCCGTGACTCGGAGACTAGCCGTCGCTACCCCCTGCGTCTGCGTTTCAGGGGAGGTGAGGACGACCGTTACGGTCTCATCTACCCCTGTCTCTTTGTACTTGATCACGGAGCCGGTCGTTCGCAGGGGAACCGAAGCAAGAGGCCGGTCGGGACTCAGGAAAAGGAAGACCCAGGTCAAGGGGTAGACGGCCACTAGAAACAAAATCCCATGTTAGCATGAAGACTGAGATTTGGCGGAGGCCGAGGAAAAACCGACAGTCCAGCAAGGCGCCGCCAGCCAAGGCGGGGCTGACCAGGCGATGCTCGGTGCCATACAGCTCCTCCACGTTGCGACCCAGGCTCCGATCGGCCACGATCCGCTGAACCGTCCCGATGGCCCCTTCTCGGACGAGATGTTGTACGTGGCGTGTGAGAGGGAAGAACCGGGTCCAAAGCGCTTCCATGAGGAAAAGTCCTCGTTTCCTGGCCAGATCCACGAGCACCTGGGCCTGCTCGGCATTCACCGTGAAAGCCTTCTCCACGAGGACGTGTTTATTGGCGAGCAAGGCCAGACGCGTGTGGGCAAAATGATGTGAGTGAGGAGACGCAACGTAGACAATGTCGACGTTGGGATCAGCGACGAGGGCTTCGTAAGAACCGTAGGCACGAGCAGTGGACGGGGTGTGGGTAGTGGAGAGGAGGTTCTGGGCTTTTTCTATCGTGCTGGACGAAGCGACCGCCACAATGTCATGGGTGACGTCGTGGACCTGGCGGGTGGCAGGGTCGATGAGAAGGTCTTTGACGAACTCTGTACATGGTAGGTATACTGAGTTAAAGGTGGCAACTTGGAAGTGATTGGGGGTTTTTCGATGGACGACTGACTGGTGGCATTGTCGCCGGTTCCTAATCAAGATGGGATGAGCGCTTAGTTGGACTGTAGCTGGCTGGTCCTGGAAATCAACTCATCGCACCTAAAATTCCCCAACGAACCATACTTGCTTGCTGTGTCATCGGATATTTTCCAAGATTAAGGAGGTGGTGACAGGTAAGGTATTGTGGCGCGGAGTGGGATCAGGATTTGTACTCTAAATAAATAAATGAGTGAGTGACGACTAGGGTCTGGAATGCCATCCAGCCTGCAGATCGCGTCATCCTCGGGCAGCCAACTTCCACGAATGAGAAACAACCTTAGCATCATGTTGAGGATAATATACATTATATTTATATTTATGTGGATACACCATGAGATTGACTTAACCCCCCCTGCATCCTCAGAAAAAGAGAATTCTGAAGCGGCGACTGGCTCCCGAGGTAGAAGTAGTCGTGGTGATGGCAGCACTGCCCGTCGCGGTTTGGCTGGCCGCAGCAGTCGTTGATGAAGTGGGACCACTGACACTGGGCGATGTCAATACAGCATTTATCGCAGTGGTCGCGGAAGCAGAAGCAGTGGTGGTTGCGACAGCAGTGGATGTATTGTTCCAGTCACTGTAGGAATCACTGCCGGACTCATCGTCATCGTCGTCGTCGTCGTCGTCGTCGTCGTCATTTAAGCTCAAGGCATATGCTTGCGAAACCCACAGGGAATAGACACCATCCCCGCCACCTGTTCGTCAGGTCAGGTCAGCAAGATAGACAGGCATTGTCTCGGGAAAGAGAACTTCATTCGTACACGTATCAACAGCATAACCGGGGCACGCGGCATTGCAAGCACTCTCGTCGTCGGCCAAGGCCATGTCCTGGATATCAAGAGCCGCAGTTCCGCAGTAACACAGCTCCTCTTGCACCGCGGCAAACACCCCGTTGACCTTCTCGCATTCAGTTGTACAGTGGCCGACCGATTGGAACTCATAGCTCCCCATGTTCTCCATGTTTCCAGTGGAGGTGAAGCAGCTGACCTGCGCCCAGAGGTCGTTGGCTTGGGTCGGGAGGACCAAGGGCAGCAGAGCCGCCAGCGAGTAGACGGTAGATTTCATGGTTACTGGGTAGTGCTGCAGGGAACCTGTCAAGTTGAACTGTAGAGCGGGCGATCTACAACGAATATAAGAGTTACATCGGTCCCTGGTGCCCCTGCGCAATGATAATGCTACTGCTGCTGTTGGCTTGCTGTTGGTGGGCTTGCAGGTGAAACTCCTCGTATCAGGCCAGGTCTGGCCCCACTTAGCGCAACCTAGTCGTACCTGCGTAGCATTACTATCGAAGTCTGTCGAAATTGCATGACCCTGAGTTCAGTTTGGCGTGTTTTGACGAGTTTTGATTGCATGGCTAAGATTTGCTGCCGCTATACCTAGTAAGGTGTGTGTGGAATTATGCAGTGTCAGGGGTCATTATGTCAGCGTGCATAACTTTGTGCGGGGGCGCATAATAAAGTTCCTGCCTGAGGCAACCCACCTAGAATCGAAAATCCCGTCCCTGCAGGTTCCAAGTTCTTGTTCCAACTTCTCGAGTCCCTTCTACTTGTATACCAAAACACCAATCCTTTCCATCCTTTCCATCCTTTCCATCCTTTCCATCCTCTCCAACGGATCCATTCTCCTGCACTCCACATGATCCAAAGCTTTTCTGGTCACTCTTTCATTCTTTCATTCTTGCGAAATTCTCTTGCCACAATGCTTCCCTTCTTCTCTTCCAGAGCCTCCGTTATCCTTGGAACGTCCGCTTGAGCCATCGACTACTTACCTAGTCTAGTCCCTAGTCAAATCTCCTTCGAATCTCCTTCGAATCTCCATCGGAGACACCGCACCACCAACACTGGCTCATCCAAACGCCACGACCGGCGGACTACCTCAATGGAGCCAGCTCGGAGAATCCCATTCCCGCTCAGGCGATGGATGGTCAGTGTGGCGGTGCTGAATGCCAGACCCGCAGACCCGCAACCGGGAATTCGCTGCCAGCCAACCTTCGGCTCGTCCACTCGACACCCCTCGATCTAGCCACTCCAAGGCCCGGCCGCATCTTCGCAGCATCTGGCCGAGTCTATGGCGTTCCTGACACCCGATCCCTTCCAAGGTCACTCGGGGAGAAAGGGGGCTGCGATCCCGAGAGCAAATTTTGCACTTGTCCACGCAACAACCAATCCATATCCATCTAGGGAGACAAAGAGAGGGAGAGAGAGGGCAACAGACATCATCTCGTGCCTATTGTGCCAAGGGAGTCTTTCAACCTTGATGCAAGAGATGCGAGAAGCGAATGATCTCCGGTCAGGAACGGGGGAAGACACGAGGCCAGGAACCGATCGACACGGATGCCAATCGCCTAGATTTACCTCCCCCTGGCCCGAACCATGCGCAATGCTTATCGTCCTTTCGGCCGTTCCAAACTGGTGCTTGGTGCTTATCAGATATGCCACCAATCGTGAAGCGTTAGGGCTTCTTCCGGCTGGACTCCGACGCCACGTGCTTGGCAGCTGCTCTTCAGCAATCAAGCAATCTATTAGTCTTCATCGCCTTCGTAATCGGATCAAAATCCCATCTTGGGCTTTAGTGCCCCGGCCCTCATCGTGGTGTCACCGGGACCATGATCGATCTGCCCTGGAAATCCCCTCGGCTACGCTTGCCCCTGGCCTGCAGAACTCTTCGCTGCCACCTACAGGCCGAATGCCCTCAACTGCCCGGCTCAGTGTATAAATATCTTCGTAATGGCCCATGGCCCATGGCCCTTAATCTCTACCCCTGTTCGTCCCTACTACCTCCTTCCGACTGGTTCCGCGCTTGATCGTGGTCCAGAATCGGACGAGTAACGACAACCACCATGCAAGTCTGGTCTGTCTTGGGCGTCGCCGGCCTGGCTCTGGCCCAGAGCTGTGCTGCTGCCCTACCGTCCTCTTCTTCCGTCACCTCTCAGGCAGTCATCCCCACCGCGGCTGCAGCATCCCCAGCTAGCACGCAGGATGCCACAACTGCCACACGGGTAGTGAATACTGTATCGTCCGCTGAGAATGCTGCCACGACGTCCGCCTCGAGTCAGTCTTATCTGCACCATGTATCTCCTTCTCTTCTCACATCACTGACTCTTCTCCAGCATCTGCCACCGCTGTCGTCGTTGCCACAGACACCTCCGGGCAATTCACCGCCATTGGAGATGCCATTTCCTACGCTCAGTCGATGGGCATCCCCACTGTGACCGTCAAGGCCGGCACCTACACCCAAGCCGTGACCGTCTCGGCTACCGCAACTGTTACCGTCATCGCTGAATCCCCCAGCCAGCGCGATTATAGCCAGAACCAGGTCACCATCTCGGCCACAAGTCCTCTGACCATTTCGTCTAATGTCCTTGGTATCACCTTCCGCAATATCAACTTTGTCAACACGGCTACTGGCAGCTATGCGGCTGCCACCATTCGCGGCTCCAAGAACGCGTTCTATGGCTGTCAATTCGTCTCGGCTGGGAGTCTGGGTATCAATGCCAACTTGGGTCTTGCCGTCATTGCCGACAGCTACATCGAAGCGCTGGACAAGATCATCTATGGGTATCCCGGCTTGTATGTGTACAATACTACGGTCGTACCCGTGGACAATAGTGCCTTGATCGTCTACAACAGAGGTACTACGTATAACTCGGTTCTCTACAACTCCACCGTCGTCTTCGATTCCTGCTCGGTGCAGCAGAAGTCCGGCACCAGTACGAAGAACGTCTACCTTGGAGCGGCCAACAATGGCTACGGCTCCGTGGTGGTCTACCGGGATTCGACTCTGGGCAGCTTGATCACAGCCACGGGTGCCTACACCGACAGCTACTCTACGGACCCTCGGAACTTTTATGGTGAATTCGAGAACACCGGCGCGGGCTCCTATGCGAACAACGAAGCTAAGCGGTCAGCATATGTTCACCTGCTGAGTGCATCTGACCTCACTCGATTCTCCCCAGCCCAGGTCTTTGCTAGTGTCTATTATCAATTCGCCGCGACCAACACCGATTGGGTCGATACTGACGTTCTGGCCGCTATTGAGAGTGCTGATGTCATCCAGCAATCAACATTTACTCCTGGTACTACGGCCTCGTCCAGCATCAGTGCCACCTCGGCACCCGCATCCCAGGTCACAGCCACCCGCGCTGCTTCGACTCTGATTCGGTCGAGTGCCACTGGGACGACTACGGTGTCGTCGGCTGCGGTCAGAGTGTCTGCTTCTTCCTCGGCTGTCTCGTCTGCAACCACCTCGTCTTCCACTGGATGTTCCTTGCCCTCCACGGTACCTACTAGTGCCCTAGTGGTTGGTCCTTCTGGAGGTTGTGCGCAGTACACCAGCATTGCCTCGGCTGTTGCTGCTCTGCCTTCCGATTCTACTACCCAGTACGTCTACATCCTTTCGGGTACTTACGAGGAAGCCATTACCATCAGCCGTGAGGGAGCTACTGTATTCCGCGGGCAGACTACGAATGCGCTGGACCAGTCGAGCAATACTGTCACCATCGTTCACACCGCCGGAGTGCTGTCTAGCAACGGTGGATCTGCATCTACCGCAACGTTCCAAGCGTCCCAATACTATGCCAAGGGGATTTCTTTCTACAACATCAATTTCGAGAACGACTATACGCCCACTAAGAACAATATTGCAGTGGCTGTCGCTGCTAAGGCTCAAGTCCTGGGCTTCTACGGCTGTGGCATCAAGTCTTCTCAGGGAAGTTTGCTGATCAATTACGGTGCCTTCTACTTCTCCGATTGTCGGATCGAGGGCACCACTGACTTTATCTGGGGCTACGGTGGCATCTACGTGTATAATTCTCGCATTATCTCGGATGGAACCACCACCGGTCAGACCATTGCTGCGCAATCCTACCAGACTTCCTATGGGCCATCTCAATTTGTTTTCGACAGCTGCGCCTTTGTACCCAGTGATAGCTCCGTCCCGAAGAGCAGCACCTACTTGGGCCGGGACTACTCTACCAACGCCCATGTTGCCGTTCTGAACTCGTATCTTGATGCCCACATCGCCCCACTGGGTTGGTTAATCTCGTCGTCCAGCAGCAGTGTGACCTTTGCAGAGTATAACAACACTGGCCCTGGCGCCTCCACCAGCTCGCGGAGCAGTGTCGTGGATATCCTGTCTGATGATAGCTCGTATTCTGTTACTGATGTCTTGGGGAGCACGAGCTGGATTGATACATCAGCCATTGCTCCCTTCTCCGGCTTCCCGGATTCTGCTTATGGCTCCTCCGTTTCCTCCTCTGCCAGTGCTTCTGTCACTGCTACAGCAAGCTCGTCTGTCGTAGCCTCAGCCACAAGTGCGGCAGCCACGAGCACCTCGACATTCGTGGTCTCGCAGAATGCTACCACTGGACAGTATCGCAATGTCACTGCAGCTATCGCTGCTCTGCCCAGTGACGGCAAGGCTTACACCATCTACATCCTTGCAGGTACTTACACTGAGCAAATTTCTATCACGCGCTCTGGAAAGGTCACTCTGCGCGGTGAGACTTCGTTCGAGAATGATTACACTCAGAACCTGGTCACCATCGAGTTCTCAAACGGAGAGCTCACCAGTGCCGGCAAAGATGAGAGTACACCTGTCATCAACGCAAAGAAGACTGACGGCACCGGCTTGGCCCTGTACAACATCAACTTCCAGAACACCTATCCCCAGACCAGCAACACAGCCGCGCTGGCTGCTGACTTTTATGGCACTAACATGGCGGCCTATGGCTGCTCCTTTATCGGCTTCCAAGACACCTTGCTCGCCAACAAGGGCACGCAGGTCTTCTCTAATTGTTATATCGAAGGGTCGATTGATTACATTTGGGGCTATTCGACCGCCTACTTCCATCAATGCTACATCGCTACAAACACTCCAGGGGCGTGCATTGCGGCGCAGAGTCGTTCTTCATCAACCGCGTCTGGCGGTTACGTCTTCGATACCTGCTATGTCACCTACACCAGCACCTATGGGTCGACTTACGGCAAGTCATATCTCGGACGGCCTTATTCGGCATACAGCATTGCGGTCTACATGAACTCCTACCTGGATAAGCACATCAACGCTGCTGGCTGGGAACAGTGGTCGACAAGTTCTCCCAACACCGCGTATGTGACTTTCGGAGAATACAACAATTCCGGTCCTGGAGCCTGGTCCTCGAGCCGTGTCTCTTTCGCTACCAACCTGACTGCCACCCAGGCAGCCTCGTATAGCTTGTCGTCATGGGTCGGCGATACCACTTGGCTGGACATGACTGCCTATAACTATGTGCCTTCATACAGTCTGACGGGGCCGTCAACCGCGACCAGCACCAACACGTCAACGTCGACTGCCACTGCCACCTGGGCGCATCCGACTAGTGGCACTGTGCCCCCGGCAGGTGCAGTACTCGTCTCGCCTAGCGGTGCTGTCAACGGCTCGTACAGTAGTCTGACCGACGCGCTGGCTTCTCTGCCCGATGACTCTTCCACTCAGATCATCTTCATGTACGCCGGCTCGTACAACGAGCAAGTGCCGTCAGTGGACCGTGATGGCCCAGTGATGATCATTGGCTATCAGTCTGGCAGTCCCGGTGCTACATACATGAACAATCAAGTCACCATTACCTACTCGCGGGGCTTGTCTGTCAGCCCTTTGCCGACAGGTCACTCGGATGCTGAGACAGCTACTTTCGCCACCGCCAGCAACCAGATTGCTTTGTACAACATCAACATCATCAACACCGCCAACCTGGACGGCTCCCAGTCGTCGTACGTGACTCTCGCTGGTTCGATCTATGGCTCTGAAATTGGCTTCTACGGCTGCAGCCTCGTTGGCTGGCAAGACACCCTGCTCACCGGCAGTACCACTGGCTACCAATACTACGAATCGTCCTACATCGAGGGTGCCATCGACTTCATCTGGGGTTACTCCAAGGCCTACTTCAAGGGCTGCACTATTGGTGCCAAACGTCAGAAGTCTGCCATCACTGCCCAAAGCCGTGCCTCATCGACCGCCGTTGGTGGGTATATCTTTGACCAGTGTCTTTTTGAGGCAGCCAGCGATGCCACGGTCGACTTGACCGAGCTTGTCTACTTGGGTCGGCCTTACTCAAAATACGCGCTTGTGGTTGTGAAGAACTCTTATCTCACGGATATCATCAACCCCGCTGGCTGGAAGGTCTGGAGCACGACTGATCCTCGCACCGACTATGTCACGTTCGCTGAGTATAACAACACTGGCCCCGGCAACTGGGAGAACAATGCTGCGTCGCGCGAGGCCTTTGGGTACTGTACGTTGTTGACCTCGGACACATACACGTTGGCCGAGGTTATGGGATCGACTGACTGGATTGATATGACTTACTGGGACTCTATTGTCACCCCTCAGCCTGCGTCTACAACTACAACTACCACTGGTTCGAACTCAACCACGGTCTATGATGGAACGACCCCTCCGGCTGGGGCTTACCTTGTGTCGAAGACGGCTATTGCCAATGTGACGACCTATGATACTATTCAAAGTGCACTCAACGCTCTGCCTACCTCCAGCAAGGTGACACCCACGGTGTTCATCTACCCTGGTACGTACGAGGAACAGTTGGTGGTCAACCGGTCCGGCACCACGATCTTCATGGGATACTCGGACAATCACCTCGATTATTCGAGCAACCAGGTAACGATCCAGTACAACCACGGTGTGGACACGCAGGCCGACGAGTCCAACTCGGACAGCGCCACCGTATATGCTACGGGCAACTACTTGCAGGCAGTCAACATCAATTTCGTGAACAATTACGGCACGACCAAGAACTACGCCTCCCTCGGATTCGCCGTCAAGTCTAGCAAATACGCCTCACTTTATGGCTGCCAGGTCACGGGTAATCAAGATGCGCTGTTGATCAACGGCTACTTTTTCGCCAGCAACAGCTACATTGAGGGTAATATCGATATGATCTGGGGTTCTGGATCTGGCTACTTCCTCAACTCGACCATCTCTCCCAACGAAGATGGCATCAACCTGACGGCCGACAAGCGCAGTACTAGCACCACGGTTGGCGGCTTTGTGTTCGACCAGTGCACCATCACCCCGGCTTCTGGAGCTGGCAGCATGTCCGAGATCTCGTTGGGTCGCCCCTGGAACAACTACGCTCGCGTGGCATATGTCGAATCGTACCTTGACTCCTGCGTCGAGGCGGCTGGATGGGAGCAGTGGTCCTCCAGCAGTCCCCAGACCGATGGTGTTCTGTTTGGTGAATACCAGAACTATGGTCCTGGATCGTCCACCGCCGATCGGGCGTCGTTTGCGACAGTCATGGATGCCAGTACGGTCGCCCAATTTGAGCTCACCAGCTTCTTCGCCTCGACTTCCTGGATCAACTTCACTCTGGTTGATGGCACTCCTTTCGTGCCGGGCAACTCGACGACCCTGCCAGTCACCAGCACCGGCGTGATCCCCAGCACATCAGTGTTGGCCACGGCAACTCCCACGGCGACTTTCACTACCCTCGTGACTGTCACTGATAAGGAGACGGCCTTCACCACCCTTACACCTGCTGATCGTACCTCCACTGTCAAGGTGACGGTCACGCAGGACATTGGCACTACCGTGACTCTGGCTGAGTCTTTCAAGACCACCGTCGAGAAGACCACCATATCCAGCACCACGACCATCGTCGAACCGACGGTGACGAGCATCCAATCGACGGTGATCACCAGTTCGGATATCGAGACCATCACGGCTCCTGCTAGCACCAAGACGACTACTGTCAAAGACACCACGACGGTCACCGCTACCGTCACCGAGGGCGATGTCACCACCACGGTCAAGAGCACGGTCACCGCCACCAGCACCGTGACCTCGTCTGCCAAGGCCAAGACGATCACCGAGACCGTGGCCAGCACGACAACCAGCGTTAAGACCTCCACTCCTGGCACCGTCAAGGTCACCTCGTACACCACCGTCACCAAGGGCAGCGGCGGTACTAGCACGAAGAGCACCAAGGCCACCACCACCACCATCGACGTGACCTCCACCAAGACCACCACGAAGAGTGTCACCACCACCCTCAGCTGTATCCCTGCCGCCAACGCCAAGCGCGCTCTGATTCTGCCCCGCGCTGCTGTGAACGCGGCCACCGTCACTCAGTATACCACCCTGACGACCTATGTCAAGACCTCGACTGACGAGCTCGCCTCGCCTACGGTCTACGTTACATCTACCACAACCAAGACCACTGGCAAGACCTCGACACTCAAGGCCTCCACTAGCACTATCACCAGTGTGTCGGCCACCACCAAAGTGGCCACAGAAACCATCAAGGCCGTGACCGTCATTCTGACCGAGAGCAGCACCACGGTGGTTGCAAAGACTACTACGCTCAAGGCCAGCACGATCACCGACACGATCACATCGGCGGCCACCAAGACCTCGACTGTGTCTGTGCCGGGAGCGACGGTGACCGTCACCAGCCTGAAGACCACCACGATCAAGTCCACGGTCACCTTGCCCCAGAGCACCATCACCAAGACCAAGGCCACCGTGACCACTGTTAAGGAGACCGTCACTCTGGCGACTCCTTCCACTACGGTACTGAAGACAACCACTCTCAGCCTTGAGCCCTCGGTGACAATCACGGAGCGGGCGACCAGCACTCGCACGTCTACCATCAATCAGACCGTCACCGAGACGGAGACTGTGACCAAGACCTCCAAGAGTGCCAAGGCCTGCCCTACTGACTGAGGGATCCACTCTCTTCATCCTCTTTTTGAGTTCGGGTTTGTGATTCCTGTATACTAGTTATATAATTTACTTAATCTATGCTTTAATACTCCAAGCGATGTGTATTGAATGAGTAGTTGCTTGTCGTTGTACGTATTGAAGATTGGGCGAGTAGGATGCGGTGTGCCCCGAACGCTCTTGACACGAGCACATATATATCTCTAGCAGACAGCAATTGTGCAAGGGAGGGATGCTTGGAGGCTGTGTAACAATGTTTTCCTAGCGTTAGTATCACTTTCTCATAGAAGGAGCAGCACAAACTGTCAATTCAGTGTCAAGTACGTGGTACGTGTAGTTGGGACAATGCAAGGTGCGTGATGAAATGCAAAAGATGTCGCATGATTGTTTAGCAGATTTATTTGTTAGGTGGACTCTGGGGCCAGAAAAAAAGCTATTCCTCAACAACTGGCCTGCTGGCCCAATGGTAAGGCGCTTGACTACGAATCAAGAGATTGCAGGTTCGAGCCCTGCGTAGGTCATTCTTTTTTTACTCTGCGAATTGCTCATCATTATTTTATGACTCTCAATATAGTCCCGCGATCAGCCAACCTTGATTCAACTTCACCACCGCCTCTCAAAGCTTCACTTGTCGAGATTTCTTCTCCCGATCGCGCAGCAACCGTCGCAGGATCTTCCCACTAGGACTCTTGGGAATGAGATCCACGAACTCGACGCCGCCCTTCAGCCACTTATGCCGGGCCTTGGTCTCCTGCACATGCGCGACAATCGCCTGGACGGTGGCGGCATCATCCGGTCCAGCCTGCGCCGATTTGACCACAAACGCCTTGGGCAGCTCGCCGGCCTCGGAATCGGGCACGGGGATGACGGCGCAATCGCCCACGGCGGGGTGCGCCAGCAAATGCGCCTCCAGTTCGGCGGGGGCCACCTGCAGCCCCTTCACTTTGATCAGTTCCTTGATCCGGTCGATGATGAACAGATGCTCGTTGCCCCGGGGGCTCAGCCGCATCACGCCCACGTCGCCCGTGTGGTACCAGCCGTCCCGGTAGGATTCGACGGTGGCTTTGGGGTTGTTGAGATACCCCATCGTCACGTTGGGGCCAGCGATGACGACCTCGCCTGGAGTGTCGTAGGAGGTGATTTCGCTGCCGTCGGGGTCGAGGAGCTTCCACTGCGAGCCTGGCATCGGACAGCCCACGGAGCCGGCCCATTGGTCGATGATGGGGGTTAGGCCGACTACGGTGGTGGCTTCGGTGATTCCTGGTGGAGGACACTGGGTCAGTGGTGTATCGGAATGTATCATTGTGCTGGTGGGCACCCACCATAGCCCTGACCGATATTCATGGCGGGATACTGCTCTCGCACCGCTGCCTCGACCTCCTCGCCCAGCGGAGCTGCCCCCGTGAAGAGTCCCACCACGCTGCTGAGATCATACCGTCGGCACAGCTCCTGGCTCTTGGCGATGCGCAGCACGATGGGTGGCACTAGGAGGAGAACGGTGATTCTGAAACGTTGCGTCGCCTCCAGAAGGCTCTCCAGCTGGAAGCGCGCGAACACCACCGTCTGGTCGCCGCGGTAGGCCGCGTAGTGCGCGACGTAGTTCAGCCCGTAGGCGTGGCTCATGGGCAAGACACAGCTCGTCACCTCAGACTTGCCCTTGGTGCGCATTCCCGATGCTTCATCGTATTGCTTGAATTGGAGGATGTTGGCTATCATGTTGTAGTGGGAGATCATCACGCCTTTCTGGGGAGAGGACAGTTAGTGGCCGGGAAGAGAGGGAGAGGGTTTGGCTGTGCGAGATATCGTACCGGCAGCCCGGAAGTACCGCTGGAATAACACAAAAATGCTGGCTGACGGCGACCCTGCCCGGCCTGCCATTTCAACGGAGCTACTGGGGGCAGCGTCTGGCCTGCTGCGACCAATTGTGATACCGTCTCGAACTCCGATGCTGCGGCGGGGAGCGACTGGCCCGGTTCGACGGGCGTCTCGAGCACGAAGACGCGCTGACGGGGGATCCCGACTTGGGCTGCTGCTTCCAGCGCGGTGGCCAACAAGGGCAGACAAGTGAAAAGCACCGTGGCCTTGGAGTCCCTCATCTGATAGGCCAATTCCGAGGCCGAATACGCGGCGTTGGCGGGCGAGACTATCCCCGATAATCGATGCACCGCCCAGGACAGAGGCATTGTGTCGATCTTCGAGGAAACGTCAGCATTGCTCCGGGTGGGACTCTGGATGGGACTCCAGGGACTGTTGACTCACCGTATTCATACTGAAGATTCCAATGACTTTGTCTTCTGCTGCCCCGGTGTTGGGTTCCCAGCCCAACTTGCGAGAAAGGGCCCGGGCCATGTAATCCACCCGCTCGACGATCTCGGCCGGTGAGTAACCCTGGCCGGTGACATTGCAAACGTATGGAGCGGGCGATTGGTCGATGGGGGCACGCCCATATCGCTCGTCGAGCATGAAGTCGCAGAGGGGCACCGTGTCGGGGATGGGAGGCAATTCGCCTACCCACTTGGGCGGAAAAAAGACCATGGCGGGAGATCTAGAGAATGGATGCTCGCTGGTGTCGAGATATTCGAAAAGACGAAAAGAAAATGCAGCAGTGGTGGATGGAGAAGGCCTTTAATAGCAGACGCCGACGGTGGTGTTGCTGACCTCAGAATGATCCCTGCTTGGCTCTTCCTAAGCCTTCAGCCGCGTTTCACCATGACAGGATGACTGCAGGCCCCATCGAGCAGCTCATGAACAGCCTCATTGGAGAATTGAGATGATCAGCAGCCTTAGCCCGGGCCTACCCACCTGCCAGCGTAAGCCGAGGCAAGCGAAGCAGCCAACATTCGTCCTCCAGATGGCTTTCCTGGCTCCACCGGGGGTTTCAACGGCGACCGTTGGCCTGGGGATCAGACCACCTAGACTAAGCCCACCTGCCAGCTCAGTGGGTGAAATGAGCACAGGGGTCGATTTCTGGAGATAATTAGCATGAGCCATGCAGCAAGGAAATGCGAGACTTCACTGCCAGCCAGCAAGACCCTCTCTTGCGAGAAGATGGAGTGGTCGACTCGAAGAGTGAGGACCTCGCGGAAACCCTAAGTCCGCAGCCGGAGATCCCCAACAATGGCTTCGTTTCCAACGGTCGCGATTTTGCTTAAGTCGAAATCATCTTTCAAAACCACATGGATGTAGATGTTATGACTCCAATGCATGGATTGCGGTCGTAGCTTGGCCTATGAAGCATGTTATTCTGGTTGCTGCCCAGGAAAATCGAGCATAGTGAGTCCTAGACGGGACGGCGAGAAGGAGCCACCGCAGTCGCCACTGACCAAACCTACCCTAATCTTTCAAACGGCCGATATAATTAATGCACATTTGTCGATAGCTACATGCTCACCTACGGAGTATAAGTATGTCCTTCGATCTACATGTTTCCCCACATCCTGCCCGGTCGCAGCCGGACTACTACTCACTGTCGGGTGAAATCTCCGACCTCCAGCAGCATCACTAGTCCAGGGTGGCACGGGCAGCAGAGCCAATAGTCAAGCAATAGACTGGAAGTCTCGAGCATCATGCGACCTCATTCCCACGTGGGAACCCGTGCAGAATGGGCAGCAGGAGCATGGCCTGGCAGGCTGGGAACCTCCTCTTCCCCTGGCTTCGGTGGGGCACAACAAGGATCGAAAAACCTAATCGAGCTTAATTGAGAGCGAGATCCAGTGAGTTCACTGAAATGCCATCTCTTCGGACTTGACCGTGAGCGTTCAGGGGCAAATCTGGTGGATAGTCGGCATAAATTGCTGCATTGTGTGAGGCGCCCCCCCCGCCGTCGCCTAAACTCGCCTTCTTTGCGCCTCTAGTTAACGCGATCCATTCGAAGGCCACAGGAAACCAAAAAAAAGAATACGAGTCCGATCAGGAGAGCTTGAACAAGTCCTCACTATATGTTAAGCTCAATCCCTACCTGTCAACATGGATAGACAGGTAATTGGTACACGATGGCTTCTCTTCGTACCCTGCTCTTCGGAGCGGGCTTTATGCCGCTGATCCAGATGGCTGCGGCCTGTACGGGCACCGATGTCATTCAAGGAGGGTCGTCGGCGTACACTTCCTTCTGGAGTACGAGTGCCGGCCCTACATTGAAGACCTTTTCGGTGGTCGATACTGGGGGTCCCGATGGTGGTGCCTACCTGTAAGTGTGCCTAGTCAATGCGTAGCCAGGTGCATAGCCAATGCATAGCCAAGATGCAGGCGAACCCTAACTCCCTTACAGTGAGATCGACGATTTCAGCTATAGCTGGGTGATTGTGCGCCAGAACATTCCCTCGGTGGAGGTAGGCACCTCCTATCATGTCTCCCTGGACTGGTCCATCACGACAGACGATTCGACCGGAGCCTCCTGTACCCTTACAGTCGCCGTCCAAGGCAATTCCTTCACTGCGGCATCTGCTGCCCTCGTGGCTGGCCGTTCCAGTGGCTGGTCGAGTGTCTCTGGGACGTACACGCCCACTTCCTCCACCGGAATTCCTTTTGTGATCACCATCAGTTGCTCTCAGGGAGCTTCCAACGGAAACCCTGTCATTGGCCTGGCCGACATCTCCATGGTCAGCGCCTGCTCGGACACAACATCCTCCGCGAGTGCCGCAAGCACTGTCACTTCCGCCACAACCGACAGCACGTCGAGCGCCGTGAGCACCACCAGCAGTGATGATTCGAGGGGCTCCGTGACTACGGCCTTGAGCACAACGACATCTTCCTTCCCTGCTGCTTCATCCACTGCCAGCAGTGCCTCTACAGCCACCTGGTCGACGTCTTCTGGCACGACCGCTACAACCGATGACAATGGCACCACGCTCACGGCTGATACCACTGCTGGAACGTCTCTGGAGGCGTCACAGTCCGTAGACACCTCCGACGATGCCTCGGTTTCGGGCACAATCTTAGTTTCCGATTCGGCTGCCACCAAGCGCAAGCGCAGTGGTGTCTCCTGCGCGTTGAGCATTTATCAG